GAATGGTGACGAGACTGGATTCCAGAGATGGGTCGATGCTGCACAAAAGATGTTTATTGTAATTAACAAACCAAGAGAAGGTGACACCCATTATCCTACCGAGAGCGGGACAGAGGACAACGATGATGGCAGCTATATGTATGGACGGAACCAGTGAAGTTCCATTTTTCATTGTACCTACAGTCACAGTCGAAAAGAGTTGTTGGAGTTGGGTATAACAAAAAACAGAGTCTGTCTTAAACATGCCGAAAAGGCGTTTATGAATACCACATTGTTCGATCAATGGCTGTCTGAAGTGTTCGTCAAAAGTCTGAATTACAAAAGAAAAATAATGAATTACTATGGGCCAGCAGCATTAATTTTCGACGGTTTTGGTTCTCATTTGACTTGTGACGCTGTATCCATGTTGACTAAGAACAACGTCAAACTCATTCTCATGCCGAGTCACAGCTCACATTTGTTACAAAGTTTAGACGTATCTATATTTGGTAACCAAAAGCGTATATGTTCTTTTGACAAATGTTTTAACAAAAACAAATACGCGAACCTATCGTACACAACAGTGCAAATTCTTTCGATAGTTGATTCATGGCAGAAAGTAGCCACGACTAAAAATGTAGTGTCCGCTTTTTGTGTCATGTGGACTTGTTCCTCGTCTATTAAAAAACATGAATGTAGTATGTGAAGTCGTTAGGAAATCTTGTACGAAGATTAATTAATTTTTTACTGAAGAAGAAATTTTTCAATGCCAAAATAGTCTCATGATTGAAGAGAACGAGAATGAAAAATCAATCAACAGAAAAGTCTTTAAACGATTAAGAGATGACGCCAGATCTTCAGAGAACTCTTCTTTATACAGTAAACATGGTATTGAGCTTTACAAATTAAAGAGAGTTAGTCTTGAATTGTTTAGAAAAGTTGACAAGAAATAATTAACAAGTTTTTAATCAAAAATGTATTGAAATGATATAAAACTATAGAAATATTATATAAATTGTTATAAAAAATAGTTTTTTTTACTAAATTAATATGGTTGTTATGTTAATTGTTAAACAAAAGCTATAAAAATTGGTTATTATTATGTTTGTTTTAATAACAAATAAAGGTAATAAAATATATAATAAAATAAACATATCATATATAATAACGTTCTTAACCCTGATAAAAAGGTCAAACTAAAAATTTTAAACCACCTACAAAACATAGTCTTTCCATAAGTCTGTTCTTTTATCATTTTCAATCTTGTGTTTACAAATAGCCAATTACAATCATAATATTCTGGTGCTCATTGTTGTTTAATGAAGTCTTGTTACTCGAGCCAAAACTGACAAACTGCTATTGTGCTATTCTTCCTTTTCTGTTTTAATAGAATCAAACGCGGTTACTCGCCTTTGGGTTGCTCTCTTCTCGAGCGTCATTTTGGCGGTGTAATTGAAAAACGGTTGATGTTGAAATCAATGTCAAGAGAACTCAAATTGAATGAAAAATTATTTTTAGTTGTTTACAAATCCAAAAAAATTACAAAAAATACAAAAAAAATATTTTTCTAAAGAAATAACATTTTTGTGTGATAATTTGTTTGGGGGTTGATAAAAATGTTTAGATCAATAAAAAAAGATTCCGAGCCGAACAACGTTTGGGGACTGAACAACGTTATCCGACTGACTCTATCAGAATTTTATTTGATACATTTTTTTTATAAAACCTTTTTTGGAAAGACTTATTTATGTATATTTTATTATACTACAGGTATGGTAAAAACCCATCAATTTGTCTTAAACCCCTTGAGCTTCAAAGAAATTAATTACGATGTCATCCCGAAGAAGTACGATAAAAAATTGGACAAAAAAAATGTTGTATAACAAAAACAATAACAAAATATAAAAATAAAAACCATAAAAAACTACATTTGTTTATAACTGTTCAATACATGATCATAACAAGTCGCGTCTCGTGTAAAACCACAAGAAGTGACATCGGAGAACAAGTTTCAACAACGCGTTTGTGGAATTGGCTTACAATCGTTGTCCGAAAATGTCGTTTCTAAATATAAAATATTTTTTTTTCTGGTTTCAACCAATCAATTGACGACTTGAGGGGTTTTAGAAAACTATAGGGGTTTCGTACCGACCTGTATACACATATTTTTAATATCAAAAATAAAAATATTTAAACATAAAAAAAACAAAAAAAGTCGTCAAATTTTTTTCACTGGAAAAATGAAACTTTTTTCAACAAAAAACAATTTAATGTTAAATTTTACTATTAATTTATAGTAAATTAAATAATTTTTATTATTAATATTTGTTTCGGTGTTTGAAAAAGTTAAAAGCGTTTTTTGCATTATTTTTCTCTATTAAACATTCAAAATGAATAAGAAATAAATGAGTTAACATTTTTTTTTGGTATAAGAAGGATTAAAATAATTTAACCTAAAGTTTGGTTTTAATTTCTATTGTTTGTTGTTTGAGTATTATTTTAATTATAGTCGGGTGATAAAGGGGGTTAATTTGGGACAGAAGTAGTTAATTTGAGTAAAAAACTATAAAATATAATTTATTTAACCATAAAAGTATTAGAAGGGTTTTTTCAATTAACTACTTTGAAAATAATAAAAGAAAACCATAACTATCTATTTTTGATATTATTCAATCTTTGAAAACAATGGAAGAAGAAGAGAAAGGAACCCTCGATGAAACAATTACAGGCAATCAACACAAAAAAGCAATTCAAATGCAAGAAACCAGTTTAAAAACTGTATTTCAATATATATTCATGATGTATATGGTTAAAATGCCAGAGTTTAATGAATTAACTACAATGAGAAGACAAATATATTTTTGTTTTCGAAAAATGTTCATATTTAACCAGTTTATTTGTACAAATGGAAATCAACTTTTCAATTTTTTGAACTCAGTTGACTGTATTGAAAAAGAAGCAGTTGTTGTTACCTTCAACAACAATGAAAGAGGAATCAAACAGGCTGATTTGGCAACGATATTCTGCATATCTTCACCAAGAATTACAATTATTATACAAAAAGAGGACTGTATATTCCACGATGTTGAATTCACACACTCAACACGCATGAACAGAGATAGAGATAAAGTAGTTTTGGATATGATAAATCATAGATTGTCTCGAAATATTGCAGTGACAACAGAAACTCTCCATACTTTTTTCAATACGGTTCTTTCAGTCGAAGTCAGCAAAGACATGATTAGAAAGTGGACTGCAAGACACAATTTGATAAAAGTGAAGTGTATACCCATGGAAGAAAAACGAATTAAAGTGGATGGTCGAGATCTAGTTTCTTATTATAAAAAACTTTCAAATGCAATCAAAAATGTTCATTCTGAATTAATTATTAACATGGATGAAAGTGGATATTCCAGAAGAGCAGATGAACGAGGTTATAGGTGTTTTATGCCGAGTAATTACAAGGGAAAAGTCGTTAATTCTTATCTTGATCAAAGTGATGACTCTTCAACTTTGATTGCAGCAATAAGTGCATGTGGTGATGTGTTAAAACCTGGATTGGTGTTGACTACAAAGACGATACCATATCAATTCCTTGATATGGGGTTTACACCACAGAATGTTTTATTTATGTATTCAGAAAGTGGGTTTATAACAAGAGATTTATGTGAATACTGGTTTATAAATGTGTTTGTCAAATACATCACAGAAAAGAGAAACTGTATTGTCGAGCGCCTCAAAGAATTGAAACGTCAAATACCAGACAAATTACCAGCAGTTTTAATATGGGATAACTGCTCTTCTCATGTTTCTGATGCAATTCTGAAAAATTGTATTGAACTGAATGTAACTATTGTCAACTTGGTTCCTCATTCGTCACATTTAACTCAGATGCTTGATGTTGGAGTGTTTGGAAGGATGAAAAGAAGAATAGTACAACAACGCGCAATGAATGGAAGAATTGAAGCATTGTTTTTGCAAGAAAAAAATAATGTGAAAGAACAAGTTTGTTAAGTGTCGAAATTTTGTATTGTGAAGTAACACTTAGATAGCTGGGAAGTCAGTTTTTGAATACCATATTGACGAAAAATACAAGAAAAAGATTAAAGATGCCTTTTTTCTAATCGATTCGTATTTTGCATCTGCTACTTATTGCTACAATGTATTGGCTTTTAATCTATGTGGAATTGAATCATTTTGGTGTAATGATTATTCAACTTGTCGTGTCAATCCTTTAAAGTGTCATGGAATCACTGAAAATCCATCATTTGTTGAAATCTTTCAATCTTTCGTTGTTGAACCATTCCCATTGAGAAGGGAAAAGAGAAAGACCATTTTAACACCAAAACAATTGGAGTTGAAGAAGAGCAGAAATGAAATGAAACAAAAAGAAAAACAAAGGAAAAAACCTTTAACAAAACAAGTTTCAGACAAACCACAAAAAGTGCTGCGTTTTAGACTTTTACGTTTCTCTAAGTGAACAAATTGAAGCGTTTTTGTTTATTTTTGAAATAGAAATTTATAATTATTCAATTTATAATCATTTAAAATTAAAAAACTATAATTTAAATTAATATTTTAATTTTATGTTTATTTTGACCTTTAAATAGATTTATTAAAAATTATAGTTTCGAAATTATATTTTTCAAAATTAACTACCTTTGTCCCTTTTTAATGCCATTTATCCCCCGACTATATATATTATTTTGAGTTTTTTGGTTTTAATTAATGTTTTTGAAATTATAAAATGTTTTTAACTTATAACAATAAATATTATAATTTACTATTAATTGCAAACTAGCAAAATTTTTTTCTACTAACTCTATTATTTGTATAAAACTACTATATTTTTAACATAAAAACTAATTTATTTAGCCCCTTTTCATTTTATAATACATTTTTAAAACAAGATCCAAATGTTTCGATGTTAATAAAACACACGTTTATTAATTTGACTAATGAGACTTTGTAGTTCTTTTTAATAGTTTAATTTAATAAATAAAACACTTTTTGATGTTCAATTAAATTCCATTTGGGAATGTCTGTAAAAATCTCCACGAATCCTCGCACATTTGTTCCAAATCTAATTCAGTTTTCCACCCGAGTTCTTTTTCGGCCTTTTTGCACTCCGCATATATCACAGGTACGTCTCCGGGTCTTCTATCAACCATCTTATATTCTATTTTTCTTCCGGATGCCTTCTCCATAGCGTGAATGACTTCAAGTACAGTGGACCCTTTCCCAGTCCCCAAATTATATATATTAGTTCCGTACGCATTTTTCAAGACTTTAAGAGCGGCAACATGCCCTTTAGCCAAGTCAACAACATGCAGATAGTCTCTGATACATGTTCCGTCTCGTGTGTCATAATCACTTCCGAACACACTCAGGACCGGAAGTTTACCAGACAAATGCCTCATAAGTATTGGCATCAAATTAGTTGGGAAACCCAAAGGACTCTCTCCAATTAAGCCACTCTTGTGTGCGCCAATGGGGTTGAAATATCTTAAAAGAACTACTGAAGCATCGGGATGCACCTTTGAAAAGTCAGTCAATATCTGCTCAACCATTACTTTAGTTTGACCGTATGGATTACTGGGCTTCTGAAGGGGAGTGTCTTCACTGACGGGAACAGTTTCTGGATCGCCATAAACTGTTGCTGATGATGAGAAAATGATTTTGAATATTTTGTGTCTCTCCATCGAGTCAAGCAAATTCATGAGACCATTTAAATTGTTTCTATAGTACATCACTGGATGTGTCACAGACTCTCCAACAGCTTTTAAAGCTGCGAAATGGATGACGAAGTCGATGTTGTGTTTGTCGAGCACTTCATCAATCAGAGAAATGTCGAGAAGGTCGTAGTTGTAGAAAGTTATTCTACTTTTGTCAACCTTTGTGATTTGAAGAATGTGGTCAATGACTTTCTCAGAAGAATTACTTAAATTGTCGATGATGACAATGTCATAGTTCTGTTCAAGTAACTCAACAACTGTGTGGGAACCGATGAAACCAGTCCCTCCTGTCACTAATGCTGTTTGGTGTGTCATTTTTTTTGTTTTCGTTATTTAGTTCAAAATTGATGGTTTTTATATGTTTGGGTAAAAAGTTGGTACTTATCAAAGTATTTAAATTAAGTTGTTTCGATAAAGTTCTTTCGTAATAAATTAAAAAAATTGTTTGAAAAAAGGAGAAACAGACTGCATAATCATTTCATAAATTGTCATTTTTAATACTATATTATCGGCAAATTAAACTTTGTAACACCAAATAGTGATTAAGGAAAAAAATAAATTGAGATATTTTGAAGCAAGCAAATTTAGCTTCAATGTAATTTATTATTTATATTTGATAATTTAAATATATATTAAATTTGGTTTGTTCTGATTAATGGTTGAGTAAAAATGGATATGCAATTTAAAAGTGTGTTATGAAAGGAAATTTTCGTTTATTTCGTGAAATAATTCGGGAGAAATATTGTACAATAAGTCAAATAAATAAATACAAAAATTTATTGGAATAAATCGGGTGGAAATCATATGTAATTAGAATAAAATATTGGACAAAAAAAAAATGTTATAAATTATAAATTATAATAAAAAATTTATATTATAATTTATAAATATTTTATAAAAAAAACTCAATGTTGAATAAAACATAATTAAAAAATCAATTCAAATACTTATTACGTTACAATTTGTACACTTTTATTATATTTTAAAAAACAATTTTTAATAAAGATAGAGTAATAATTACTATTTTTCACCCATTAATTACTCTGAGTAATTAATGGGTGAAAAAAAAATTATTGGAAAAGATTTTTTTTAAGTAATTAAATAAGTCTTTTATATAAATTGTTTTTACAAAAAAAATAAATAACAAACCAAAACCCATTTTTTAACTTTAATTAATCCCTAATTTTTTTGGTCACTCTATTAATTCCTGTCACCCATTTTTTCCTTCATCTGAATAAATAATTGTTAGTTTTAGAATAAAAATAAAAATATTAATATTCTAACTAACCCAAACAAACTAGTTTATTTCATTTTCTCACAATTTATTATTATTTCTAAAGACAGTTTTATTACTTGTTTATTAATATTAATAATTTGTTGAGCTATTGATCTTTTAAGAAAAACTGTAGTATAATAACGATGAAATATTAGTTTAATATTAATAAATTTTTATTTCTATAATATTATAATAATTGAAATTATTTTTTAACTAAAAATATTTAACAAAAATTTTTCATTTTTTTTTCACCTTTTTTCAAATATTTTACAAAATTGATCTTGAAATTTTTTTTTGCTAATTGACAAACCAATAACTAATAGTAAATTTAAAATAAAAATATTAATACATTGTAAAAAATAACTTCAAAATTTCAAAATTATAAGTTTTCGTGAATCATAAAAATAAAACGTCAAACAGAACAAAGTCCAAGAACTCGAAAACTTATTACTTTCGATGTTTAAAAAGAAAATTGGATTCTCTTTCTTTGGAGCCAAAAAACGTTTGTTTACGTTTTGTAGAACCGTTTTTGTGACACGTAGGCAAAATGTTTGGTGTTAGTGTCGACAAACTCAACCAGACTTATGTTGTTGATGACATTCCAATGTTCGTAACAGATGCAGGGACGTATGTGATGGCGCGTTTGTTTATTTTGTTTTATATGTAATAATTATTTTGTTATTAAATATAGTTTAACATAACGTTGTTTCTAAAATGATATTATTAAAACTATTAAATGTACTATAATAATTGAATTGAAACGACCACTGAGTTATGAGAGATTGAATTGTGTGGAATGAAAGTATTTTTGAGGTAAAAAAAACAAGGAATAGACGAAAAGAATAACACAAAGACATTGTGGAGGGAATATTCAGAATTCCAGGAGAGAGAAAATTGGCTGATGCAATGGTGAAAATGATTGAAAAGAGAGCCGACTTTTTGACGTTGGTCAAAAATCCAAATACAGATGTGCACGCAGTTGCCACCATACTTCTCATGTTTATTAGAGAACTACCAGAGCCACTGATTACATTCAACATGTACAGTATGTTCATCGACACTGCTCGCACGTTCGAAGCTGACCACGAAACAAAGGCTTCTGCAATTCGAGTAGCGATACAATCGTTCCACGCACACGTATCATCTCTCCCACCTCGAAACAAGAAACTCTTGGCGTTTTACATGAACATGTTCTACGAGTTTTGCACGATGAGCAACATTCACAAAATGGAACCAAACAACGTCGCTGTCTGTATAGCTCCAACATTGCTTCGGCCGGAGGAAGAGACTTGGGAATCGGCCATGTCAACGATCAAGTTGCAAACTCTCGTGTGCACATTTTTGATCAAATACTACCCTTTAATATTTAGAGACACGTGCGAGAATAACGGTCTTCTCTACCCACAACTCCAAACTTTTTCTATGAAACAAACAGAGGAGGCTTTAAAGAATTTGACAAAGTCGATGAAAAAGCCGGAAACCCAAGTGAGAAGAAGAGTCCGAAAGACAATTTGGGAGGATGTCACAAACGTTTTGAAAGAGGACGAAAAGGTGAACAAACAACGAAGGTTCAAGCTTAAACAAAACGGTTTCATGTCTCAAACGCTGTGTTTGGGCACAACAGAAGTTGAGGAGGAAAAAGAGGAAGTGAGAAAGAGGCCTAAAAGTGACAGTTTCGCGATGACACTCAAATTCATTGACGACAACCAAACCCAACTTCCCCAAATTAATGACGAAATTCTGAAGATGCACACAAAGAAAACGAAGAGTAGAGACAGCGTGAAGAAAAAAATTCCAACATCGTTTTCTATCCCAAAGAAAAAGACGGAGACAGAGGATTAATTTCTACCAATTTTTAGATTTAATGAAAGTGTGTGTTATTATCTCATTATGCTTTTCAACCAGTAATTCATTTCGCTCATTTCTTTTGTTGGGATATAATTCATTTTCTAGTCTTAACTTATATTATAAAATAGTAAATAAATAGTAAAAATAATGAGAGTAATTAGTTATTAGTAAAAAAACGATATAGTCGGGGGATAAATGGCATTAAAAAGGGACAAAGGTAGTTAATTTTGATAAATATAATTTTGAAACTATAATTTTTAAAAAATCTATTTAAAGGTCAAAATAAACATAAAATTAAAATAATAATATAAATTATCGTTTTTTATTTTAAATGATTATAAATTGAATAATTATAAATTTCTATTTCAAAAATAAACAATAACACCTCAATTTGTTCACTTAAAAAATGTGGAAGTCTAAAACGCAGCACTTTTTATGGTTTGTCTGAAACTTGTTTTGTTAAAGAATTTTTCCTTTGTTTTTTCCTTTGTTTCATTTCTTTTCTGCTCTTTTTCAACTCCAATTGTTTTTATGTTAAAATGGTCTTTCTCTTATCTTTTCTCAATGGAAATGGTTCAACAACGAAAGATTGAAAGATTGAAATAACAAATGATGATTTTTCAGTGATTCCCTGACACTTTCAAAAATTGACACTGTTGTTAATTCATTAAACTCTGGCATTTTAACCATATACATCATGAATATATATTGAAATACAGTTTTTAAACTGGTTTCTTGTATTTAAATTGCTTTTTTATGTTGATTGCCTGTGGTTATTTCATCAAGGGTTCCTTTCTCTTCTTCTTCCATTGTTTTCAAAGATTGAATAATATCAAAAATAGATAGTTATGGTTTTCTTTTATTATTTTCAAAGTAGTTAATTGAAAAAACCCTTCTAATACTTTTATGGTTAAATAAATTATATTTTATAGTTTTTTACTCAAATTAACTACTTCTGTCCCAAATTAACCCCCTTTATCACCCGACTATACAATTAAAAAAAAATAAGAGTTATTGTTCATCAAAAACATTTGATTCAGAAAAATAAATTAGCAATTCCAAAAGTTTTGTGAACAATTTTTATTTAAATAATAAAATTATAATAAAATTATAGTTGTATTTATTACAAAAAAGAATATTTTTTTGTACAGATTTGATGATACATAATTTTCTATGATATATGGAAAATGACAATCAAAAAGAACTGAAAAAGTAATGATTTATTTACTACTGATTTTGCCTATTGTTTTTGGCTTAGATTGTATGACTCAAATGACTTTTACAGGTCCAACGACAGCACTAACTCCAGTCCCGTACATGTGTTCTTATACATTTGAGATACCAAGTTCAGAAGAGAGTTTTTCAGACATTTTAGACATATTAATGGATATCATCAAACAATTTTCAAAATACATCCGTGGCTTCACGGATATCACAACGAAGTCGTATGAGTTCATAATGAATTTTTTCAAAAATACGTGGGTAGGCAAGAAAATATTTTCTTTGTTAAGACAGATGGTTGGCTTCTACGACATTTTTGTTGACATTGAAAATCTGAAAAAAGACGAACAGCTCAATGAAGACATTGAGGAATTGAAACTTCGTACTTTATTTTTGAAAATAAAAATTATACAATGGAAGAAAACCATATGGGACAAAGGGGTCGTTTCTTTATTCGCCGAATTAAACTACAAAAATTTGGAAAATCGCGCCAAAAAAACTGTTCTTGAAGCGTCCCAGAAAATTGCAGGGTTTGTCAATTCGTTCTTCAAAAAGTAAAATAATTATATTTTTTTTTATTTTTTAATAGTTGGTATAAACTATCGTTTTATATATTTAATATCGTTTTATATCAAATTTTGCATAATATAAAAAATTCATGAAATTTTCTTTTTTGTGAGTCGAGAATTATGTTGTGTGTTTTGTTAATAAGTGTCGAGTAAAAAAAAGTAATATTGGCAGTTTTGTGTTAAACCCTGGATTTTATTAAAAAATATACTATTAATTATAATAAAAATGACATTTATACTAGCTAATAAAAAAACTTTTGATAATGTTTTCGAGTTTTTTCAAACTTGAAATTGTGTTGGAATGAGTAGGAAATTGGTGAGTTTAAAATAAAGAAAGAAATGTTAATTCACAAAAATGTTATTAGAATGTGTTTAATCTTTTCAGTCGCTAAAAGACGGGGATTTCTAATAATTTAAACAATCTGGTCATTTTAAAATGAATTCCTGTCTTGAAAAAGTTCGAAAAATAACACCAAAAACTTGTAATTTCAAAGAAAATGCTTAAAATGAAAATAAAACGGTGTTTCACAATATTTCACGGCATATTTAACTAATCGTTTGCAATAACCGCAGTTTACTATAATTTTAAGTAAAATAAATTAAAATCAATAGTTAATAATAGCCATATGGTGCGCAACGCAAGAAAAAGAAGATTACAAGACAAAAAGCGACCAATCCATTTGCGAAAAAAGAATCCATAGATTATAATTCCCAATTCTATTTTTTCGATGATTCAAGAACTTCAACAAGATGTTCAAAATTTTGGCCTTCTAAAAGAATGAAAGGAAGCTTCCTTTTTGTGGAAGATTCCATTTCAACTGGAGTTCAAAAGTTTATAATAAAAATAAGAAGAAGAGAAAGGCCCACGTATATGAGGAATATAAACCCTGATTACCACTTAAATACCAAATTGAGTTACTACAATGTCTGATGTCTTCATTGCGACCAAAATGAATGTATCATCTGAAGAAACACAAGTAACACAATCGTGCAATTGTCTCTTTTGTCGAATGAAAGATGTCCTCATCTTAAATAGATATATTCCTTGGATTACACTCTCAAGAATATTCTTCTTGTCTTTAATGACACTTTACCCTTCCAAAAATTATTTCTCAGTGAAAACGGATATTCCGGACTTCATCCAATCGCACTGGGCAGTGATCTCAAAGCTTTCCCAATTCAGTGAAGGTGGAAAATGGAGGAAAAGTATGTTAGATGCAATCAATCATTCCCGGTACTTCGAGTCGGGTAAAGTCGAATACCACGTCTCTGGATTTTGGAAGTTGAAAGACACGTCAATTCCTTTTGTCGAAAATTGGCTGGCGTCCGACGAACAAAAAGAGGAGTACTGCGTGAATGAGACCTCAATCTCATCAGAACCGTCGGTCTTCAATTTGGGAATGAACACTCAGAAACAACAGACAGGTTCTACTCAAACTATAGTAAACTATTATATTTATAATATCAGCGTGTGCAAAGGAAATATACTAACACTCATCAATTTGTATAATACAAACACCGATCTCAATCTCAGACAAAGAGTCGTCGAGGAAATTAAACACAACGAAATAGCTTTACAACACTATACGGAGGCTCTCTATAAAAACGCAGAGGTCGATAACCCTAACTATTCCTCGGCTTGCTTTATGGTAAGGACCGTCTTTTAAGGTGTTTATTTGGTGTATTATTATAGTTCTTTTTAATTTATTTTATTAGTCAAATATGAGTTTTAGATTGAAATTACAATTATTATAATTATAATTATTTTTATTAATATTATTAAATAAAAGAAAAACTCAACACATCAAAAAGTAGATTGATCTTCGAGATTGTGAGAAGTGATACTAAGTGCGGAAAGGTTTTTAATTTCATTTGTTGGAAGTTCTTTTTGTTCAAAGCGTTGAGGCGTTGATTCAAAAGAAATTTGTGGCGTTTCAATCCCCTGTGATATGAGTTGTGATGAATTGATTTTTTGGTTGGAAACAAGAAGAACAAACAGAAAAAATTGAGTCGAAGTTGTCAATGAAATACTGAGTACATGTCGTTGCGGGATTGTCGGGTCTGATGAGATCTAAAGCTTCTTGGTGATTAAATAGATTTGGGCCGAAAACTACAAGATGAGTTATTATAGTTTATTAGAAAATAATAATAATTAAACTATTTGAGAAAAAAAGTTTAAACAAAGATTACAAACTGAGTGACAAATTCTTCGAATCCATTTTGTTAATATCTTTCTTTTGTTCCACCAGCACGAGAAATTGAATTAAAGTTTTCAAGACATTCAGATAAACGCTATTAATTATTTATTATTAACTTTTTCACATCAATTTATCAAAAAATATCTTAAACAAAAAGCACCAAATGACATAGAAAAAGCTAGTAAATTTCTAAAATATATATTTTTATAACAATTCTAAAATAAATTAGTATAATTATTAGTATAATTATTAGTATAATTAATTATTTAAATTAATTACTAAAAACAAACAGTGGTAATTCGTTTAGTACATTTTGTAGTTTTGTAATAGTTTTGTTTTTGTCTTGATTAAATTTTTGATCCAACTCGATGAACACCAGAAACAAGTCGGTATTTTCCGCAGTCACAAGACTTTCAGGTAATTCTCTAAAAAACGCTTTGAACGTTGCCGACACGGTGTGGACGTCATATTTTTCAAGATCGACTTGTTGTCCTTCGTTGTACAACTTTTTGATCTCTAAAATGTTTGTTAAACTCCCAGAAACTCGAAAAAGCCCTTCTGTTTCTAAAAGATCCGGATGATGGTGAAAATAACATAATGTGTCATACACGGGTTTTGGTACACCTTCATACAATTCAACATCTTCCAACTGCACACCAAACACTTTTTTCATATCTGAAATTCAAGTTTGATATTTTGTTATTCGGTGGAGCTGAAAATGTTATTCAGCATTAAAATAATTTGAAAATGTATTTCAGTTAATTTATTTCCGTGATTGATTGATATTAATTTAAAAAATAAACTATCGAATTTTTTATTACTTTCATTCAGTTAATAAAAACTAAATTAAAATTTTATAAAAATGTTTGGAAAGTACCAGTTCATATACAATATTAAATTTATACTTGTAATTTATAAATACTATTAATAGTTAATCGTATTATATTTTTTCTAAATGTTAAATAATATAATTTTTTAATAAATTATGATAAAACTATTAGAATTATAAATCAAAGTGGTTATGCGCCAAGTGAAAAAACTATTGGAACGATGTGAGAACCCTATAAATCGAGATTGAAAAATGCGAAACGAACGGACATAAAGGGGTAAAAATTTCACTAAAACTTAAGAGACGATGGCGGAAGCTGTGTTAGCGTCGTACTTGAATGAGCTGTCGACGACCTTAGTAGTTTTGTAGTATCTCACGAGTCTGTGGATTTTGGATTCAGTCAAGATCAAATGGTACTTTGAGATTTTATCCTTTTTGTTTCTCTCCAAGTGCTTTCTGATTGAGACAGCTCTTTTCATCAAGAAGTACAAGTCCTCTGGGAGCTTTGGTGCGAGTCCCGCGAGTTTCAAAATTCTGAGAACCTTTGAGCCGGTAATGCTCTTGACCAAACCAATGGCCTCAACATCTCTCAAATAAGCTCCAATTTGCGATGGTGGCATACCCTTCTTTGCCAACTTGCACATCTCCTCGATAACTTCCAACGAGGTCTTCTTTTGCCATGCCGGCGCGGTTCTGCGGTATGGAATACATCGGCGGCTGATACCTTTTCCTCTGCTGTACATACGTCCCATCGCTCACAGACTCAATCAATCAGTTCTTTTTTGTGCGTTTTCTTAAAAAAGAAGGTAAGGGTTTTACTGTTTGTTTATTAGTTCTTTTACTATAATACCATTCTATCCTCGTCCTATCACTTGTACTATATATTATAATTCTTTTTATTAGATTTTATAATACAGTTAAATACTTATTCAATAACATTTTCTGCGTCATCCTCAATCATCTCGAAGTGCTCTCCAGACGACTGGTTTGTGATTTTCTGATTCTCCATGTCGGCCATTCGCTCAACAGCTCTGTTGTACCGCGACTTATACTCTTCGACAAGAATGTTTGCCCTTTGGACTTCCATCTTCATTTCGTTCATTTTCAAGGCAATGCTCTCGGGCTCCACAGCGATTTTATTTTTATCGCAGGCTTCCTTTACTTTTGTCATGAAGGTCTCGCGCTTCAAACGTTCTTCGTCGATATCAACTTTTAACCTCATGCACTGCTCACTCGACAAATTGACTTTGTTTTTGCACTGCTCGACAACTTTGACAAGAGCTAAGATGCGGCTCTCATACTCAGAAATCTTTTTCTTCAACCCTTCGTTGGTCGTTTTGAGTGTAGCGGCTTCTTCTCCACCACTCCGCAATGAGTCGTTCTCACGACGTAACACCAAGTTCTGTTTTTGATACTTGTCAAGCTCGGAAGCTACAACATTTAACTCGTCTCGTAAAGACAACGACTCGTCTCGCCAATGCGTGTCTCCTTTCATCTCCTCTTTTTCAATTAACAATTCCATATTCTCGTCTTTCAATTTTTTTAATTCGGACTCCATCTCAGCACGATCAGATTTCATTTTAACAAGAACATCGTGCTGTCGACGGACTATCTCGAGAAGTTTATCTTTGTCTTGTTCTTCTGACATGTATTTTGTTTTTTTTTGTTTCTTGTAAGAATTTAATTAATTAAATTAATTAATTAAATTAATTCAATTAATAAGAAATTACTTATCAATTAATACTTATTATATATAGATTTATATATTATAATTGTATAGTTGTTGATAATTATAAAATATGTGAAGAAAAGAAAACAGTTTGAGGTTTTTTTTTGAGATTTTTTTTTTCATGTTGAAGTCAAATAATATTAGAACTATTAATTAATAGTAAAAGTATATTTTTTTAATTAAAAAAATAAAAAGTGTTTAATAAACCAATTAATTATATGGGAAGTATTATATTGAAATACATAAAGTTGGTAATGGAAAAGCAAGCGAGACATCTGAACACAAAAACCGAAATAACAGTTTCTCTTTTGTTGTTGATGGAAAAAAGTTGTATAAAGAGTGAAATTGTGTGAAGATGATAAATTTAAAAACTGTTGACACATTGAGTTTTGGGCGAATGAAAAAACTCACAAGTGACAAGGCGGGTATTACTGCCTTGTACAGTGGAAATATGAATAATTGATTTGTCCCACTTTTACTTGCCCAAATTCTCCGTCGTTCCATCAATGGAGAAATCATCTCAAAAAATGAGATGTTGATTTGGTATTAAAAAAAGAGATACCATACCCAATAATTTATATATAGTATATTGAACTGCAGGTCGAAATCAAAATACGAAAATAGAAAAAGAAATATATAGTTTTTGTTCATATATATATAGTAAAAACAAATAAAAAAATAGATCTTCATAGTGTGATTATTATTAAAAGAAAAAGAACTATAATCTGATCTAGACGAAAAGTCGAGTTTTCGAAAAAAAAGAAATGAAAAAATTGAAAAGAAAAACAAACTCAAAAACAACACGAGATGACTGAAAACGCAGATTACACTTTTAAAATATTAATTATTGGCGAGCCTTCTGTTGGCAAGGTTTATTTCTTACTTTATAATTTTAACAACTAACATCAAGACCGCAATCATGGAAAGATACTGTGAAGGTATTTTTCACGAGGAATTGATCTCGACAATTGGTGTTGACTTTAATTCGAAGGTTTGTTTTTGTGCTTAAGTGAACGGTCGTTCCGCCCTTTTTAATCTTCGTTTCACAAAATTGACAAGATTGCTAAAAATCATTAAAATGATAAAGTGAAACGAAATGACGAATAGCTTGTTAAGGTTGGTGACGTCACAATCAAGCTACAACTTTGTTTGTTTTTCAACACACCACAAACATGAAATGAAAATATGGACTTACAACAAGGGGACACTGGTTTGTTTTTATTCCGCCATCTTAAAAATTATAGTAAAATATATTATAATTTGTGGTTTCTCATTCACTCACACCACAGCTGGACAAGAACGGTTCCGAAACGTGACTTCAAGTTATTACAGAGGCACACAAGGTTGTTTAATTGTCTATGACGTCTCAGATCCCGAGTCTTTTACAAAAGTGTGTTTCTTCTTTCCTGAAGTATAAAAAAATTATAGTATAAAAAGAACTATACAAATTACTATTAAAGTATAGTAAAACAATTATAAAATCGTAATTTAATAAGAATGCGAATAACACTGAAGATTTCCAATTGGGTCCAAGAGTACCAAAACGAGCAGGAGATAGCTTACATTATCTTTGTGGGAAATAAGACTGACCTTCCACCAAAAGTGACGGTCGAACAAGGAGAGGCTATGGCGAGAGAACAAGGCTTCCAACATATGAGATGTAGTGCAAAAACAGGGGAGGGTGTGAACGAAATATTCGAGGCACTTGCGAAGGGGATTTATGGAAATAAGGAGATCATGGCGATTCTCCCGAAGAAGAATAACATCACCGTTGTCCACTCAGAAAAGGACACAAACTGTTGCTGAGCTCTTTTGTTTCAAAATTCGTCGATTTTTTATTCAATTTCTCGGTTTTTTTTGTCACTTCACATTTTATCACTCCTCTTATGACAGTTCGTTACGACAAGGTGTTGTAATGACAAGTGAGATTGTGAAATCCAAAAATGACTGTTGTTTGAATTTGTAAAATGGTTTATAGCATGGTTGAAGTTTATATATTTCTGGGAATTATACTGTTATAATTATATTATTATTATTTTCAATTATATTTTTTATTTATTATATTAAAATTAGATTATTATTAATTAACATTGTCAACGAAACTATATTTTATTCACAAAATATAATATAATTTTTGTTTGAAAAATGGGAATTAAAAAAAATATCTTAAAAGTTAAAAATTTATCAGACAATGATTTCAAGGTGTTTTAAACAATTTCCCGAATTATTTTGATTAAATGATTTAATCATTTTATCAATTATTGATTATAACGGGTTATCATATAATAGACAAATTTGAATATGAATTATTAAAAAATAAAGAACTAAATGAAAGATTTCTAATTTTATGAGGAAATAACAAAATGTCATTTTTTGATATGGATTGAAAATGGTGGAAAGAAAACACATAAAAGGGAAAAGGATGGGAAGAAATTGATTAGGACTTTAAGCGTCATCCATGAGGTTGAGGGTCAAATTCATGAACTTGGCAAAGGTCGCTCTTTGGAAAGGTCCTTGTGCTTGCTTGAAGCCGTGTTGATAGATGGTTCTGATTTGTCCGAGATAAGCAGCACATCCGATGAATTGCGAGACGTTGACTTTCTTTGACAAGAGTCCTTTTCCACAGGTCTTGAGAAGGATTCTGCATGAGTTCATGTTCAAGTCAAATCCGAGTTGTGGCATTGCTCTGAAGATCTCTTGTTCGTCGAGGGAGTTGCTTTTGTCCTTGTCGAATTGTTTGAAGATGGCGGTTGTAAGTTCGACATATTTCATAAGAGCCAAGTACTCATAAAATCCAATTGAGTTGGATCTGTCGATATCGAAAATGCTCATGAGGTGTTTGCAGGTGTCATCATCGAGTTTGATTTTGCCTGGGAAGGTAGCCTTCTTGAGTTCGTTCAACTCAAGAGTTCCAGATTTATCCTTGTCGACTTTTTGGAACCAGTCTTGATACCCTCTGAATTCGGTTGCAGCTACGGAGGAGGCAAGTGGGTACCACCACTCATTCTTTACTCTTGGATCGGCGGCATAAGCAGCTGTAATGTTTTGTGCCAACCATGCGTCGGCTGCGGCTTGAATTTGAAACAACGACATCTGAATGAGTTTCTAATTTCTCAGATGAATTTATATATCTCCGTGGACTTTTCCCGAACAAAGACACACTAGTTGTGCGACTTATTTTTAGTCCATATGAAGAAGTGATACGGCGCCAAATCAGGGAGGTGCAAAATACCCAATAAAAGAGTCTGAGGAATCCGAGTATAATACCAAGATCTTTTGAGATCTGTAAGAACGTCGTATTGATTGTTCTATCAGCCTCTTGTATCAAACTAAAAGTGCTTTATTATCTTTTTCGACAAACAGACGCTTTCATTTCTTACAAATCTCATATTGAAGATCACAACAATAAAACTACCATTTTCAGTAGTAAAAACAACAATTGGGAATAGTAAATCACAGTGAGGAATCCACGTGTTGTCCAATGGTAGACAAAAGTAAAAATAGTACAATAATCCAAGAGGATTTAAACGTGAACTTGTAACTCAAAGCCCAGAGATGTCCCTTTTCGCTATACAAGCTGCAGCAGACAAGTTTGTCGCTGATATGATCCAGGCTGCTATCAAACAAGACCCAAAACTCCAATTCCAGTGGTGGTTCCCATTGGTCGAGAGTGTAACTGCCGTTGAATTCCATCAGAACCAAGATTGGTTCATTAAGGTCGACAAAGACAAATCGGGAACTCTTGACGCCAAGGAAATCGTGAAAGCTAAATTCCCAGGTGACATTAAAATTGACGAGACTACCACTAAAAGACTTATTAGAGTCTTCGACGTCGACTGCTCGGGCTCAATTGGATTCATCGAGTTCTTGGCACTCTATAACTTCGTCAAGCTCTGCCTCGACACATTCAAACACTTCGACTCCGATAAGGGTGGATCCCTCGACAACAAAGAAATGGCCAAAGCACTCCCCGCTCTTGGATTCAACTGCAGCAAAAGATCTATTGATACTCTTCTCAAGCTCAACTCATGCCTTGGCAAGAAGGTCTCGAAAAACCAATTCGTCGCTGCAGCAGCTTATCTTGGACAATGCAGATCAATTTACCAGAGAACCTTCGATATGAAAAGAACTGAAATCGACAACAGAGAGTTCGACAAGTTCGTCGACTTAGTCCTCTCTTTGGTCGACTAATCCTAATTCACCACTTCCCATCTTTTTTTATGTGTTGTCCTATTGAAATTCTTCTTTACGTATTGATTCATATTCATTATTTTAATTATTAATTTCATTAATATAATATATAAATATATTTATTATTATATTTATTAGAGCAACTTACTTGAACAATAAACTATAAATAACTATTAAGAACTCATTTTTAAAAGTTCAAAGAACGGATCGAGTCTAACACCTTCTTGGCAGCTTTTTTGTGAGACTCTTTAGTGAGGTGAACACCGTCTTCTCCGACCTGTAAGTCCGAGAAATCAGCATAGGCATCTACATTGTCTAAAGATCTTTTTAAGAGAATTTGGGTTAATATAATGGATTGCTCTCTTCCTCTTTGTGTAATTTCAGCCCATGGTTGAAAGGTGCATTCTTTAATAGAAGGTGGAATGACTAATATTGTCTTTGAATTTGAAGTCTCTTTGATCCTTTTCAGACACATTTTGATGGAAGAAATCGTCTCCTCTGCCGTTGCTCCAGCTAAAATGTCATTCACACACAATGAAAAAACAAAGATCTTTTTCTTTGTTGTTTCAATACGAGAGAAAGACTTGAGGAATGCCATAAACACTTTTTCTCCACTAAAAATCCCAAAAACGGTGTCTTCCCTTTCGATGGATCTCCCAGGCATTCCGTCGACTTTATATTCAACGTTTCCCATCTTCTTCAACTCTTTGATAACAATTGAATGAAATATGTCTTCGCGTGGGTATTGAGTCATAGTCACTGCTTGCATTCCAAACAAGTTTGAGTCTCCAAACATATAGACCACTGTCATATGAACTACTTTGTATTATTAATAAGTTTTTATTGTTTTGTCTTCTTTCAAATTTAAATCAAATTACTTTGAAAATACTTGAAACAAATGAACTCTCTTAACCAACAATTGTGTCCGTAGCTGAGTAAAACACACGACCTCGTTAAAAACATTTAATTTACACAACAATCGCTATTATTTTTATTATTTTCTTCTCATCATTCCTCGTGTACTTCATATTGTTTTCGGGGCTGTATCTTTCCTAAAATTATCGAATCAAAGAGCCATGATGGCTTGAGGTTTTTCTCTTCCTCTCCAATAATCGCAAACGGCTTTTTTACACTTTGAAAAATGGCCCCAGAGAATGTGATCAAACTCATTAACTTCTCTAAGCTGTATTGGTAATTCTCCAATTTCCCAATCTTGATGTATTTGTTTTTAAATATATCGCGCCGCTTTCCAACAACGCTTTCTCTCCCGTTGGAAAAGCATTCAAATGGTTTCTCATTGACTACAACATGTTGTTCGATACACTCTTGTATCCACTCCTCGTTAACTACCCAACGCCCTAAACATATTGCTGTCACCACTTTAAGCGTTCGTTCTTCTCTCTTTACAACGACATGCGTAGTGTTGGGAGTAACATCGTTGTCTAACGTAGCAAAGCTTTTACACGCCTTTTTATAAGCTGATACCTCTTTCTCATTAAACATAGATAAAACTATAACTGGGCGCTGGACATCTCTAAGTTTATACTCACGAATATTTTTTCTGTGCTTTTGTGAATCGGAAGATTTCAGGATTAAAGTGGTTGGAAGTGTTTGATGAGTCGATGAGATTATTTGAGTTGGCAACTCACTATCATTTGTTTCATGACGTTCGGTTGTACCAGAAATTGCCAGTTCGTTCTGGGTATCTGCACATGTCAAATCATTCTTCATTTTTTCCCCGCCTTTATCTGTGCTTAACGTTCCGTCATCACTCAAATCTTTTTTTGTCATTTTTTTCTTTTGGTTGATGGTCGTTTCGCTTTTGTTCTTTTTGATTGGTTTTGTTGACGTTTTGATTTTTGTTTCACTCTTTTTTTCTTTTTGAGCTTTTTGTTTCTTTAAAGGGATTTTTATTGTTTCACTCTCACTGTCCGATATTTCTTTTTCGATTGTTTTGAGTGTTATCTTCGTCAGTATTTTTTTCTTTAATTTTGTTTTTGCGATTGTTTTCCTTATGGGTTTGGTTTCTTTTTTCTCTTCATGTTCTTCCTCATCTTTTTTAACTTTCTTTCTTCTTGTTTTTTGCAAAGGCATTGTGATTCTTTTTACTTGTCTTTTCTTTATATTTTTCTTTTCTACTAGTTGCTTTAATTTCTTTATAGTTTTTTTACTATTTTTTGTATTTTCTTTTTCTTCTTCATTTGAATGATCATTGACGGGTGTGTCTGTTAATATTTCGTTGTTTTCTGATGTGCTTGAATTATGTTGTTTAAAGGTTCCCTCTTCTAGAGTGTATATATCGGGAAAATCTTGGCTGTTTGACATGTCATCTGTAATACCAAGCTGTTGCTCCAACCGCTCAGTCCTCTTCAAATTATATAGTGCGTCCGCCATTTCGCCAAGTATATCTTCGTCATCACTCATTCGCTCTATTTTTTAAGGTCTCATTTTTATATTTTCAAATTCGATTCTATAATATTTATAGTTTAATTGTAATTATATTATAATAAAAATTTATTCTTATTTTTAAAATAATATTAACTAATCAAAAAATGGTAAATTATTATTAAAAAATCGGGAATTATTCAATAATACCAAATCAAACCTAATTTCCCGAATTTGTTCGATAAATACTTCAAATTTGCTCCTTTTTTTTAAGAAATATCACAAATGAAATTGAAAAGCCGCAATCTTGTCATTCTTGTTTATACCATGACACGTTTTGACCAAAAATAAAATAATAAAGATGAATGAGAAAAAAACCTAAATATAATCATTAAACAATGACAAGTGATTTAGACACCATTGACTTAATTAAACAAATGAAAAACTCATTAGATTCTCTTGGCAGAATAAAGCGGTGGGAGCGGCAGATTGGGATAACTGAACAACCAAATGTGAAACCAGAACAAAGCCAAGATATATATACTTTAGAAGTAAATACCACACACTCTTTGAGTATAAAAAACACACCACCTCCGATTGAATCTTCATTAATCATTTCATCAAATCCTTCCAAAAGTCAAAAGAAGTCGAAAAGTCGGAAGTTGAAAAGGAAGATGATTGTTCTCAATCACAAATCCATATGCGGAATGAAAAAGCCTAAGAAAAAATCGTCGAGTCAACGGAAACTCAAGCAAATAGATTTGAGTCAGTCCAAGTAATTTATTGTTGTTTCATATCCCACACATTTCAAAAATATCAAATCGTTCGCCCGAACACCACAAGTCCTTAATAAATTACATGAAAAAAATATTTAATGGTGAACGATTTCTCTAATTTGAAACATAATGTGATGAACCAAAAGACACGAAACGTTTGATTAGTAATTAGTAGTGGCAGTAGCCATAATAGCAAAGAAGATGATCAAATAAATGACAAGAATGACCATCGATAACGAAACGGCTACTGTTGAAATGATAAAGAAGACCAACGAAAGAATAGCAAAGAGACGAGCGTTGCTATTAGTAGATGACTTGTATTTGCAATAGCCGACACACCACAAACAACAACACAAGAAGCCAAAAGCAAACATCAAAAGAGACATCGTTGACTCATCTTCCGTTGTAAGAGGTTGTTGTTGCTGTTGTTGAGTATAAACTGGTTGTGGAGGGACTTGGTATTGTTGATATTGTTGTTGTTGAGGAGCAATGAGTGGTTGATATTGTGTGTTTGAATCCATTGATTTTTGGAGTACATTTCGTGTTTTTATAGGCAACTTTTTATAAAGGTTGAGATTATTTGAAAATGAATTATTTAATTATTTTATTAAATGAATATTGCGATATTGAAGCGTGTTTTTGCGGGATTTTACATCAAAATTTATTTGATATTTTTTGAAATGTGAAATATAAAGGAATGAGGAACACGATATTTTTGTTTGAATAAAATATAGTTTGTTGTTGTATTTATTTTGTTAATATTATAAAATTTGTTCAGAACAAAATTGGATTGGGTTTAGAGGAATGGAATCCATCAACCATTTTTCTTCGCGCTTGATAATAATAAGTAAAGACGTGGAATCCATATTAAATTTTTGTAAATTATTAGTTCAAAATATTATAAATATTTGGCATTATTTATCGTTTTGTACCATTTTAATTTTTTTGTATAAAAATGAATAAAAATTTTTTTGTAAAATAACAAAAAAAAAGACTTGAGCAAGTGATGATTAAATTTTGTTTGGAAATAATCAAACAAATAATTCAAAAATTGTAAAACTAATTTAAACTAATTTTAATAATATTGTTTTTATTCACTATTTTAAATATAACATGAGAATTATTATAACCAAATTATAATAATAATTTTAAAACTATTAGATAAAAATTATAGTTGTAAAACTATAATTATATAATTTATATTAATAATTACAATAAAATAAAAATATTTTTGTTTATTTTTGTTTTACTATTAACAATTAATAAAAATTAATAATATATAATTATATATACATAAATAAAAAACTATAAATTAAACAATATTTTTATATTTATTAAAATAATTATATTTATAATTATTATTGATACAAAAACATATAAAAAAATATAATTTACATTATTATGTTTAAATTTTGATGTCTCTTTAATTTTTCACTTTTTTGTACAAGATTGTTTAAAAAAATAAGAAAGAAATCTGAAACTCTTTACTATTTTAAAACAAAATACATAAATAATAATTAAATAAAAAAAGAATTATATTTAATAATTATATAAATAAATTGATTTTATTGTCGTTTTTTAAATATTTTGAAATGTAAGAAAAAAAAGAGCCAAAAAAAAGTTTAAATAAAACTTTACATTGAAAAGGTATTCGAAAAACTAATATAATTACTATACTTTATAGATTATTTTAATATTATTTATTGTTGATTTAAATTGTACACTAAAAGCAACAGACCAATACCTTTGGCAAATAAAAGACGCAATCTTTGATACTCAAATCACAATGACAACCAAAGAGACCAAATCCATTAAAATAATTTTACTTGGTGAGTCTGGAGTAGGTAAGACTGCACTAACACAGCGATATATGGAGAATACATTTGACCAATTATACTTAAGTACAATAGGTGTAGATTTTAGTTATAAAGAGATCACACGAAATGGTATTAACTTACGAGTATGTGTATGGGATACTGGTTTGTTCTTTTTTCATTAATATAGTTTTTTTATTAACTCTCTACAACTCTAACTATACTATAATAAGTATAGTATTTTTATATTATTCAGTTATTATAAGTGTTATTAATGGTAAAGCTGGCCAAGAGCGCTTCCGTTCAATAGGTAAAAGTTATTACAAAGGAGCTGATGGGGCTGTTGTAGTTTTTGATGTGAACAACCCCGACTCTTTTCGACGAGTTTGTGTTTTCTAATTTCAATAGTTCAATAGCAATGACATTTCAGGCTCAATATTGGATTGATGAGCTTCAAACGGAAGACGCTGGTCAATGCACACTTCTTGTAGGCAACAAAATTGATTTAGAAAAGCGAGTGAATGACGAACAAGTCTATCAAATGTATCCCGGCAAATTGTATATCAAGACATCCGCCAAGACAAGTTTTAACATCGATCTAGTCTTCTCGAAGTTCCTCGACTTATATTTCCAAAATACGACACATGAGTGTTCCACCCCGCCTTCTGTTGTATCACCGACGCTTGATGTCCACCCGCCTCTTCTTTTACACAAAGGACAACACCTGTGCACTTGTTAATTCAATATATTTCATTTCACATAACTAACTATTGAGTATAGTTATATATATTATTATATATTATTATATAACTAACTATTTAATATAGTTATCTATATTATAAAATTGTAGTTCTTCCATTCTTCTCTCAAATACATTACACAATCAATTCAAGTACTTCATCAGCTTCTTCTCGATCTTCGACTTAAATTCTGCAGTGATTGTCAAGTCGCGAATACCACCGAAGTGCTTTGTAAATTGTTCCATTGTTTCCGTCTCTTTGTTCTTCGAGATATTTCCTTTGATATGAATTTTACAGACTTTGATGGTCTTTGGGAGTTCATATTTGTCGACTTTGACTATCGAATTTGAGACTAACACGGTGGCTGCGAGTTGTGTCAAATGTGTCAACTGACTGAGTCCGAAACTTGGAGTTGAATGGATCAGTAAATTCTTTAAAGTGCTTGGGAGCTTGTTTCCATCGCCTTTCTTCATAACTTCGACTTCAAGGGAGAGAAGAGGACAACTTAGTTTCTTATTGAAACAAGGGACGTACAAATACTCGACGGTATGTGGGATGAAATCCAGTAATTGACAGATGAACAATTCTTTGAGTCCTGAGTTCAGTGTGATCTGTGGCTTATTAGCTACGTCTGATATCCTTAAAAGAGTAACCGACGACGGACTCACAAAATTGTCTTCTAAGACTTCAATGTTCAACTCTTTCAACGTCGTGGGAAGACAGATCTTTTGACTCATCTTAAGCGTGTGAAGATGTGTGATGGCCAAATCCTCTAAATTCTTAATTTGACAGTCAAACGCGATGTTTTGGAGGTTGTACGAGTAATACAAGAAGTCCTCTCCTATTTCTAAAGTTTTCAAAGTACTTGGCAAAGTCAGAGAAAACACTCTCTTCTGCATTTTTAAAGAAGAGAGTGTCGTAATCCATTTATAATTCCCTTCTGTAGCATTTGAGTGTAATTCAGTGATATAATAGTCCTTCAGAAACTCCTCCGTTGATGTCATTTTGTCGTCTTGAAACACAAAGAAAGTGCCTTGAAACACAACCATTTGCATATACACATAATTATTGAAAAAGTCTAAGTAAAATGGGTTTGTCTCGGGATTATAAGGGACTTCGTACTTCGTCAAAAGAGTGTGATAAACCACATTAAAATGGGGGAAGTTCTTTTTGACGAACATTATAAGTTCGTCGTTGGCTTTATTGTACTTCCCAAAGTCCAAGACGACTTTCATGAAGGGGTTGAATTGTTGAATATATAATAAAAAGCCCTTTAGAACTTCTTTTGGAAAAACTATTTTCTCGTCGACATACAATCGAACAAACTCAAGTCGTGGGTATCTCGCCATCGCTTTCTTGAAGTCACACATGGCGCGTTCTGTAAAATGGATTAAAGTAATTCGTTTAAGATTATTACATGGACGGTTGATGGTGGTAAACTCGCCAGTGTACTCCACTAGTTTCTCTAACGTCTCCACACACATATCTATAGTCCGAAACCGTTTCATGTCAGTCACTTTGACGGATTCATAATTCTTCAATTCAACAGGAAGAAGAATTTTCAGCACATCCATCGGCCCACAAAAACACTTCGAAGACGGGTAGAATCGCTGGACAAACAAGAAGTAGTCAATATGACTTGTAAAGTCGTTGTCGAGTGAAACGTTTTCCTTCATCAAAGAAAGGCATAAAACACACTTTTTATTGATCGAATAAAAAACGACGACATCTCTGCGATTGTTCAAATATTGCGCGATCCTCCCAAGTTCGTTCAGATTAAAAGTCCCTTTCATTCTAAAAGTTTTCAAGTTGATGGATTTCTTTTAAGTATTTCATTATTAACTTTTTATTAATTATTTATTAACTTTTTATTAGATTGTATTTAATTGTTTCAAATTGAAGGGAGATTCATTTAAACAAGCTACCTCACCAAAAAGAGCATCCCAAACGTTGAAACAATCCCAAAAATGACAAAGATCAGCATGACCGCAAAACACGTTTTGTCTGGTCCGTAGATGTGAGAGAGAATTCTCTTCAATTTGATATCCTTCTTTTCAAAATCTTCATTGCGATCATCAATTTTCGTCTGCAGCAGTCCAATTTTGAGCTCTTGGTCGTCGACTCTCTCATTCATCCCATCCGCGACTTCTCTGAGTTCTTTCAGTCCAACATGCACAGCGTCTAATTTGTTATCAATTTCTAAGTCTTTTTCCTCGACTTTTCGCATCTTTTTGTCTTCGCTTTGTGGCAATTTTCCCATGTGATACGCGTCGAGCCCAGAAACATGAAATGTGTCATTGACCTTTTTCCCTCTCAGCGCGATCGTTCTCATTGTTGCAATTTCATCCTCCGCACTTTTGAGGGAGAGCCGGTACTGAAGCATTTTCTCGTCGTTTTTGTTGTTTTTCTTCAGTTGTTCTTGTGCGTATTGGTGGTACACGTTTCTCATCTTGTCAAACACCTTTTCGATGTCGTTGATCTTCTTTCTGATCTGCATAGTCAAGTCAACAACGGCAGTGCACTCTCCTCTTGAATCCTCTCTTGCTCGCTCGTCGCACATCCTTTCGACTTCGCAGACCTGAAGGTACAGTAACCGTCTCTGTTTAGTAAATTCATCGATCTCCCCTTCTTCAACTTCCTTGGATAATTTCATCTCCTCCATTTTCACTCCACATTCACACACAATCCCTTCCAGCCGTGTTTGGAGGTGTCGCATTTTTTATAATTATTTCCTCAGTATTCTACGCATAAACAATGCCTCGTTCCAACTTTTGAATCTTTTATCATTCTTTTTTAGTTTACTTTGAGTAATTCTTTTTCTTTAAATAAATTAATGTATATTAGATGAAATAAAATAATTTACTATTAATGAATAATATGTTCTAACATTTTTGCAATTGAAGTGCATTGTTATATATAAAAAAATAATCTATAATAATGTTATTAAGTATAATACAAAATAATTATAATTATTAATTATTTACAATTTAATTAATGATAATTATACAGTAAAAGTAAACAAATAGATATGATTAAAAAAACTATAAGTACTACTAAACTCTTTCTTACGAGAAATGCTCAATAACCTTTTTGAGGATAGACGCCTTCGCTGAAATATTTTCAGTGTCATATGTTGAGACTGGATTAAACAACAGCTCACCGAGTGTTTCAGTAAACGTTTCGATTTGTGCCTGTTGGTGGTTGAACAACTCTGATACACCTCCGTTCTCTGACAAATAGAATGAATGAACGTAAGAGTATTTAAGCCACGAACGTGCCAAGATCAGAACGTCGAAAGCCTCTTCAATACGGTTGATAGTTCTCGTCTGCATCGCAAACATTTTATAGACTTCCTCCATCGCTTGTTCTTTTTTCGTGAGTGTTTGTCTGTGGAGTGAGTTGTGGTTCATCCAACGGTCGAAGTAGTGGTTATATTTCTCGTAAAATGCTTTCATTCCCTGTGCTTTGTTGTCAAGTTGGTTTCCAAGTGATTTCCCCGCAGTGTAAATGTTGCACGAATAGAACCCTCCCGTCTTTTCGCCGTGCGTCTATCAATCAATTATTGTTTCGTTATCTATTATCGAGTTATTATTAGTTTACAGTAATATAAAAAGTTATAGATAGAAGAACACACCTTCCAATCACCTCTACACATCCAACACCACTCGCCGTGACACTTTGGACAAGTCATGTGATTACATCCATGCGTCCGCTCACACAACAACCCACAATGACAACACGCCTTCATCGTGAGCAACAAATACGAGTTTTCATCATCTTTTGTCGACAATGTTTGCCAATCTTGCACTTGTTGACATGTAGCCGGCGCATGAAATTCTCCAAGGCACTTGAAACAGAACTTCTGCCCGCAGAGACACACAATGTTATTCGAGGTTTGTTCCGACGACAAAACAACAATTGCTCTCCCGCACTTTGGGTTTGGGCAGAAGACGTTTCCTTGCATTTCGACAAACTCCTTCTTCAAGAAATACCAAAATCGATCTGCCAATTCAGGCGCAGTCTTTTTGACCAACTCAAAGTGGATTTTGTGTTTACACCCAGCCATCATACACAACGCGTCGATGAAACCTAACCCCTTCTTCATTGTTTCATTGACATAACTCTTCCAACAGTTGACGCAAAAGTAGTGCCCACAAGACAAGGCATACATCTTGTTTGGTGGATAGTCCTCATAACAAACAGGACATGTGGTGACAGCGGTCGGCTCTTCACATGAGCTGAAAGATGTTCCTGCGCGAGCCAAGTACTTGTCTTGGTCGTCATAGTACACGTCGTTCATTTTGTTTAAGTTCCACTTGAAGGAACGGAGGAGAAGAATGGAGTCCCCTTGTGAAAGGCATGTGTTCTCCATCGCTTGCGAAATCGTCTTGTTAATCTCCTCGTCGATCTTCGACGATGGCTTAATCTCGTATTTCTTGAGTTGGGTGTCCACTTCGTCAAAGTCTGTCGATGCACTCAACATACACTCGTTTGGTTTTGAAGTTCTGTTTTGAAGTCCCTTATTTATGGTATTCTTTCCATCTTTTGATTAATAATGACTTGTGGTTTTGAAGCTTGAGATTAGATAGTATATAGTTTTAGACCTATTTTTCGGGGTTTGAAAAAAATCGAAAAAATTGGTGTAATGTGGTCTCATTTTCAAAATTTTGCAAGATGGAAAAAAATATGAGACTGTTTCGTGTTCATTAGTAGTTTGAATGATGGTTTTAAATCGTTTTATAATGGTTTATTGCTTAAGTAGTTTTTGGAACTTATTCCCATTAATAACTTTTCAATTGTATTATACTTGTTATTATAATTAATTTTTAGTTTCATATGAATATTTGATTATTTTGGAATTATTAGTTATATCTATGATAATTGAGGTTTATGAATATTTTTTAAAACAATTATATTACAAATTAATAGTAATAAACTAGTGAACAATAAATAGATTTAATTTATTTCATTTCTATATTAAAGATAAAATATTTAACTATAATAAAATGTATCAAAACAAACCATATTTAATAATAATATTGTTATATATATATTTAATATAAATTAGAAAAAAATTAATTCATTTTTTCTTGAAAAGGAATAACATTTATTTTATTTTTTTAGTTAACATTATTTAAAAAATGTTATATTTTTTTTGACTGTTTTTTTTATAAGTATAAATATTTCTTTTCCCTTCAAATCATATGTAAAATCCTAATAAATTACGTAAAAATTACCTAATTTTTGGAATAGGTTACCCAAACAAAATTCCAACCAATTTAATATTAAAATGAACTCAAATATATATTTTAAACAATGGAAGATGTGCTTCCCCTCGTTACAGAGAGTGATACCATTATAAATAAACTGGATCTTCTTAGTTCTCTATGCAAAAATTATATAACTTATTTTTCTCACCAAAGTGAATGTGACGAGTTTTATAGTAAAAAACTCATAACAATTGACACCAATCAGTTTCAAAATTACAAGTTCAAAATTAGTTCGTCGCTTTATACTTTACTCTCTGACTTTTCAACTCAATCACAAAACATTTCCAAAACGCATCTTGAGTCATCTCATTCTCTCAAAAAGTGCGCCGACGCATTAGCCAGCTTTCTAACGACATTTGATTTCGAAAAAAAAGAAATTGAAACAAAAATACAATCCCTCAACAAATTGTACAAAAGTTCAATAACCAAGGTGGAGAAGTGCCACGCGTTATACAAGAAGTGTCAGTCCGAGATTACAAATGTTTCCACAGAAATTTCATGTGCAATGGCAATCAAAAAAGACCAAACGAAGTTTTTAGACAAACACATCAAACAGAAGCAAAACTTAGTTATAAAACTCAAAACACTCAAAGAAAACTATTTAACTAGTTTTGAAGAAGAACAAAAAATTCGAGAGAAAGTGTATGTAAACGAAATGCCGATTTTAGTGCGAATGGCAATCAATTTAGTCAACTCATTTTATAGTACTTTTCTTAGAATTATTAACAAATTTTTGTCAACATACGAAGACTTGGACTGTATAATGGAAACGGCTGTCAAAACTCTCAAAGAGCATTCAAAAGGTATATCTGAGCAAAACGAAATGGATGACTTCATTCGTTGTATTGAGAGACATTACGTAGCGCCATTAGTTGTCGACGTGGATTACCAAATCGAAAGTGTGAAAGAGATGTTCGAGTTGTTCGAAAAGGATGATGTACAATTATAAACTATTTTGTTTAATTCATATAGACTATTAGTAGTATTTGTTGTATAGTAAAAAAACTATAAATGTAAGTAAACGGTCGTCAATCATTTTTGTTGTTCGGGACTTACAATAACGACAAGGTCACCCCGAATGTATAACACGGGGAAATCACGAGACTAAAATTGAGTTTTGGAATTGATGTGATGCAAAAAACAAACAACCGAATTGTACGTTTCGGTGACTTCAGTCAAAACTAAATTGAGGTGTTGATCAAAAGCCTGTTCGTCAGTCTTGAAAATGTTATTCACTTTTTGTAAAATGTTTTTAAAAACTCAAACGCGAAGTTTGCCTTTCAACTGGCGGTTCCCACGAAGTTTCACCAAAACGACTTCGTCCAACGAAAGTTTCACTAAATCAATTGGTTCCTCCACTTTCGTTTTTTGCATCAGTAAATTTTTCTGAGTTCGTTTCTCTTTTTTATTTTTGTATTAAATGTTTAATTAATTTTTTAATAAATGTATAGAAAAGGGATATAGTTATTTTTTAATTTTAATGTGTTAGAATATTTAACAAAAAAATATCGTTTTATTCTTATATGATGTACTAATTATGAAATTATATTTGAAATTAATAGTTTAATTTAATTTAATAAATAGTTAATTTATAGTTAAAATATAGGTTTAATATGAAAACTATATATAATTAATAAACAATAGTACGGTTCAATGAAAAAGAATTAATCAATTGGAGTGATTATCAACCAGATTATTTGCCGAAACGACGAGTTTTAAAAGCGCTAAAAAAAAGAAAACACTCCAAGCAACTCGCAAAATGACTTTCAAATTGTCTTAAACACAACATATTTAAGACTTCACATATTTTGAACTTTTCACAAATGAAAAAAACAAAAAACTCTTAAAGGATCTACAAAATCAAATGAGCGAACAAAGCATTGCACGCCCGCCTGAGTGCCTCGACCTTCTTTCGGTCAAATACACACTAAAATCACTTTTTGCAGCGATTCGTTTGTTCTCTTGTCTTTTTCGTTGTATCACAATACGCGACCTTTCAATTTCTTACATCCAATAACAAACGAATAACATTTTATTTACAACACTTTTTGAGTTAGAGAAGATATCAAAAGACCAACAGAAAGGGAAAAGGAAATGCCATGACTGTGGTGGTCGTGATGTGTGGGTTTGTTTGACGTGTTTATATGTTGGGTGTTCAACAAATGAATCGAACCACATTGAGAACCACTACAAACAACACGACCATCCAGTTTGCTTTAATTTGCGAACGATGACATTTTATTGCTATGAGTGTGGAGATATCGTGACAAGTGACATACTAACAAAGATCCGGAATTACATCATTGCGGATTATTCGGTCAACTATCGGTTCTATCGACCTTATTTTAACGAGTACTCGCCGGCTGGTGTCGCGCAGTATATCGTGTCACATAATGTGAGAAATATTATTGCGTTGGTGGGTGCTGGGATGTCCACTTCGGCGGGAATACCGGATTTTCGAAGTCCGAAGACGGGGCTTTACTTTAATTTGCAGAAATATAACTTGCCCTATCCGGAAGCTGTTTTTGATATGGAATACTTCCCAACAAACCCCGCGCCGTTCTATGAAGTCATGAAGGATATGTACCCCGGACTTGGAAAGTACTTTCCAACGAAATGCCACCGCTTTTTGAAGATGTTGAATGACATGGGGAGACTGAAAATGATATTCACACAGAACATAGACGGACTTGAAAAAGAGGCGGGGATACCTGATGAGAAGGTTGTGTATTCACACGGAACGTTTAGAACAGCAAGGTGCTTGAAGTGTGGGATGAAGTTTGACAACACGAACGTGTTTATTGAAAATATCACAAAGGGAGAGATTATTAGATGTCAGTGTGGGGGATTGATCAAACCGGATATCGTGTTTTTCAACGAGAGTTTGCCGAATGCATTTTTTGAGAATGTGGAAACGCAGTTTGATGACTGCGACATGCTTTTTGTGATTGGGACGGCGATGGTGGTGTATCCATTTGCATTGTTGATGGAACAAGTCAGTGTGAATTGTCCTCGAATTGTATTCAATAGAGAAGAGATTGGGAAGAGCATTGATTACAGTCAACAAGGAAGAGATGCGGGACTCATGGGGAACTGTGATGACATAGCCGAGGAGATGTGTAAGGCTGTCGGGTGGAAATTGGATTGAACATCTCATACGTGAAATGAAAATTTTGATTAAGTTGATGTTTTCTATTTGTTCTATGTTCTTATTGTTATGTTTATGATGCAAGTCTTATAATTATAATAAGAAAAGAAAACACAATAATTAATTACCAACAGTGTGAGGATCAGCTATACGACCTTTTTGAGTGACGATTTTGTATATCATCTGGAGGATCAGGAAGAACCAATAGATGTGAAGAACCAATAATACACAGAGAAGCGACATAATCAGACAGTAAACCATAAACCCACCTTGTAAATCAGAAGGGACATATTTGATACAACCACCGGCCGCTGGAATTAAATAGCCACCTAAGAAGTATATTCTGAATTTGGGGAATGAATATGCGAGTAACGCAAAGGAAATATAAGCAGGTATTTGCGTTTTGATATCATTCACTGACTTTGCAAAATACATAATCATATCGACTAAGTCGTGGAGTATCAACACTAAGACCCCACATCTCCCACAATTGTTCAAATAACTGAAAACAATGAGAAATACTGTGGCGACATGGTGGAGTAAATTTTCGAAATAATCGGCGCGCTTTTCAGAAGACATATGGTGCACTAAAGAATGGAAGTGGTATCCCAATTCCCAGCAATAGAAAAACGTCAATTTCCATGTAGGGAGCTGAAAAGGGAAGTCTTCCCACATTAAATCTAAGTTTTGAGCGCCTTTCCCATACAACTGACTTGGGAACCAATCTTCATATCTGAACAAAAGAATACCCATTGGTGTAGTAAAGAAAAAGTAACACGCCTTAAAGAAGCAAATTGAAAATCGCTGAACTCGTACTTGCCGTATTTCAGGAGTCCATTCTTGTTTCTTTGTGTTAATTCAACATTTTGTTTAGTACTAAATTAAATTTAAATTGTATCAAACACCAAAAAACAAAAAGGTATAAAAATTACGAATCATGGTACAAAAAGGTATAAATTGAAATTATAGAAAAATTTTGTCATTCAACGCTCCAATCAGAGATAATAAAATAATTAAAAACAAACATATACAACGATTTTTTCTCCAAGTTTCAAAAAAAGGTTTTCAGCTAATATGACTCGAAGGGTGTAAATCATTGTGAAGAATGGGACGAACCAGAGTAAGTTAAAAGGCGACGGGAATGTGTCATATTGTTCACTTCTCCCAAAGGAAGAAGGAATACACAACAAGACAAATGGTAAAATCACAAAGATTTGGATCACATTGATTTGGTCTTGTTTGGACATTTGTGACCATACCTTGAGTTGTGATGGTACTTTCATTTATTGAAATACAAGATGAACAATTAGCTTTATATACATTTTGACGATTTTTCAGTTAATTAATACCCAAATCATTTTGGAAAGGCAACGGAGCAGAGTTGCGGAAATAGGTCTAAACGCCCGAAAGATAAATTAATTCAGAGGAAATCAACTTATTTCATTAAGAACATATGGGTAACTTTTGACGCTTTTTCTTTGGATATGAGAAAGAGTTGAGTAGTTATTTTTATGACTTCTAAACACGGCAAAAGTGTTCTTTGAGTATTCAATCGACGTGTGTACTGGTTATGACAAATTTATTATTCTATATATTTACATTTTAAATAAGCATGAACACCATGTTTGGAAAAAAGCAGTGGTTTTGCGGAAAGTGTTTTAAAGAAGAAATAGAATGAAATAGCCCATAGAAGCTTCTTTATTGGTTTCATTTATTTGTTTCTTCCATTTTGGTTGCGTTGGGTGTTTTCAAGATCAGATCTATGATTCATCCCGATTTCAGGTATTCTTTTTTGCTTCTTTATTTCAAGTTTTACCTAATCGAAAGCTCTTGCCACTTTTTTACCCATTTGAATTTCGATGAAAAATAAGAAATAGAAAAACAGTCAAAATTCTGCGCCTGAGAAAAAAATTTGTTGGGTACTTCTGACGATTTTGCATTGACCATCACTCCGCTTGTTTTGGTATAAAGCCGTCTTATTTTCTGTATTGAAACGGCAAAAAAATAAGCGCTATTTAAGTTATTTCGGCAACACTAACTGGAGTGTAAAAACAAATCAAGCTTGTATGTCATTTTAAGAAACTCCTGAGTCAACACGCAAAAGCCAAATATTATAACCGAATTAATTGAAAAATCAAAATATGTAAAAATCATCCAATAATGCCCAAATTATCAAGTTGAATGCAATGTGGTTTGTTTTCGAATTTCTTGTTTGCTAATAAACAGCAAAAATAGGGAGAAATGGAACACAAAAGTTTGCTTGAAAGGCAGTTTTATGAAAAGACAAATTCTTAGAGATTTGAATGTGTCATTCCTACTGACTGTTAAGAGAGAGGGCAAAATGATTTCTAAACTGATATAAACTATCGAATTATAAAATACTTTAATAAAATAAAGTCCATTCTGCCACACTTTATTTTTACAGAACTATCGATTGTTGATATAAATATTTCAATCAAGTAAATTACTTGCCATATTAACCCTGAAACGTAAAACTTTAGAAGTATTATAGAATCTTTATAAGAACAATTACTTTTTACTCGACGTTTTTATTTGCCTTTATCTAACACTTAATATCCCTAACTTGCTTTAATATACTTAACTTATTCAACCAATTGAAAACAAAGTATTAAAACTCGATTGTTTTATGATGTGTATGTAATCTGAAATAAACCTCAAATGTTTCTTTGTACAGTATTATTTGTATCAAAACATCTAATACATTCAATTAATAACAATAATATTGATTATTATAAATTCAAACATTGTTTGTTTTATATACAAGTTTATCAATGGTTCATTATAATAACTAGTATAATAATATATTATTATAATGGCTATAATAATAAATATTATTTATATATTTAATTATATATATAATTTAATTTTAACTTTAATACAATTTAAATATAGTTTTTTATATATATTCAACTATAGTTAATAACAACTACTTAATTAATTAAATTGTCTAATAAATAAACTAAAATCAAGATAATAATTTTGAATGACAATTTCTGAATTATAATAATTAATAGTATAATATATTATAATACATAATAAATCTCCAACAAATTGAAAATAATACAATAAATTATAATAAATTATAATAATTATCTATTATACAGTCGAGTTATTTTTTGATAAAGAATTTGATGTATAAAACAATAAACGCAATCTGATATTAAATAGATTGGTATTAAAATAGAGAGAAAAAGAGAATAAACTCATAATCTCCATAAACGTCAATGGTACTTGACAGTTATTCCCTTCTGATTGTCTCCCGTTTTTTTGAGTATGATTCTGACTTTATCAACATCACATTTGTGTGTAAAAAGTTTCGGGATACCTTAGAGAAATTACATTACAATCCGATTCCAATCAGTTTAAAAACGGCTCATCTTTTTCCAAAATTAGAGACGCAATACCTCTACACAGAAAAAGATGAAGTGATTGAATGTCCTCTCCACAAAAAGATGTACACTGTGACACTAACTGACAAAATCAATCACCCAAATTTCACATACACAAAAGTTGTGTTGGACCAAAACTCAGTTACTTCAAAGAAGCTTACGACCATCCCACATGATGTCCAAGGCATTGGAGCGCAGTGTTTCCTTCACAGTGAAATGACTTCTTTAGTTCTTCCAAACAACATTATTACATTAGAAGAGTCCTGTTTTGAAAGTTGTTCAAAATTAGAGAGTGTGACACTTTCTCCTCATGTGAGTGTCCTCCCCTTCTGCTGTTTCATGCGGTGTGGCAGTTTGAAGCGCTTTGTTATTCCACGCACAGTGCAGTATATGTCCAACGCCATCTTCTTTGACTGTACGAGTTTATCGGAAGTGATTTTTGAGAACGATATAGACGAACTGTACGAAGAGACTTTTGCGTATTGTGTTCGTCTGAGTAAAATTGTGTTACCAAATTCTATCAAGAAGATTGGATTGGGCTGTTTTAGATTTTGTGTGTCATTACCGTCTTTACACCTCCCCGAGAAGTGTTTAGTGTTATTTGACAAATGTTTTGAAGGGTGTTCGACACTCTCAAAAGTGACGTTACCAAAACATTTAGCCTCTGTCGAATTCGGCTGCTTTAAAGAATGTTTCTCATTAAGAGAATTAGTCTTCCCGGAGAGTACCGTCCACTTCGGAGTTAATGCCTTTTATGGGTGTACCAGTTTAACGCAGTTTAAAGTCCGACTGGGCTACGGGCAGAAACACCTTTCAGACATTTCAACGACAGAGCACCGAGTCTTGTCGGTCTTCCCAATCACATTCCCCCGCGTTTTATTGGAGAAAGTCGACGCTCAAGAGATCATCGACTTCTACAAAACTAACATCGTCGTGATTCCAGAAAACGTCTGCACACGACTGGGACAAAGCTGTTTCCAAGGATTGAAGTTTGCGGAAGTCTTGATACCATATTCCGTCGAATCGATATTGGAAGAGGCCTTCAAGAATAGCACCGGCTATACGACGATTTATATTCCAAATTCAGTGACGATGATCGGAACTGCTGTATTTAAAGGATGCACCGATCTGAGATATATCACTCTTCCAAATACTATTCAAGAACTGAAAAAGGAGGTCTTCGCAAATTGCGTCTCGTTGACTTCAATTGAATTTGGGAAGAACATCGAGAAGGTTGGGGACTACTGTTTCCAAGACTGTCAATCCCTCGTTCAAATAGACATCACTAATGTGAACAAATTGGGACTTGGAGTGTTCGAGGGGTGCACCGCACTGACTGCAATTGGAAATATAGAAACGAAAGATAAAAAGTATAAAGGGAAGGTCTCTTTGAATGAAGTAAGTGTTTTAGAACGACTTCACTGTGAATTTGACACTGTTTATATTACACCACAAGATACGACTCAAAATGAAGTCTTTGAAAAATTACAATACAAAGTGGTACTGACAGATTGGTGCTTTAAAGATACTCAAATTATTGAATATAAGATCCCTGATAATGTCACTGAGCTTGGGGTTGGTGTGTTTGCGAACAGCATGTTCTTAACACAAGTCACTATTTCTAAAAATGTTGTTTTGATGAAGGAGCACTGCTTCTCCAAGTGTGCGAACTTGAAGCGAGTAGTTTTTGAGAGTGAGACGACGACAGTAGGGCCGTGGTGTTTCTCTGAATGTCCATCACTTGTTTCTATTGTTGGGATTCACGAGTTGAGTAACACTGTGTCATTCAATTTAAGTCGTGTGCTTCGATTGAATCACATCACATATCACAAACTTGCGTTGAGCACGAAAAATGTCCTTCGGGAGGTTATTAATATGAACCAAAACATCAATGTGTATAGTTTGGGACAACATGGGACTCAAGAAGATTCAACAGAAACAATCATTCCAAGTAACTGTATTGAAATTGATAAGAATGCGCTTGCTGGAGATTGTCATGTAGAGACTATAGTCATTCCAAGCAGTGTCACTAAGTTGAATGAATGCTGTTTTGGGTATTGTTCGTATGTCAAAAAGGTGATCTTTGAAACGACACGAGTGACGGAAATACCAAAAGAGTGCTTTGCTACGTGTTACGAATTGGAATCAATTCATCTCCCACGTTCTATCACTTCAATTCAAGAAGATGCCTTCGACAGTTGTAACGCTTTGACTTCATTCACTATTAGTAATAGCGTGAAAGATATTGGAGAGGAGGCTTTTGGGCATTGCGTCAACTTAAAAGCACTCTTCTTCGAAGAGAACAGTCTCATTCGAAGTCTTCCCAATTCATTTCTCTTCCAATCGATTGCGGTGACTGAAATCAATCTTCCACAAGGACTCACCGAAATCGGATTCTGCTGTTTTCTCGAGTGCTACTCTCTTGTGACACTCAAACTCCCTCAGAGTCTATTAAAGATCAAAGAAAATGCATTCAAAAAATGTTATTCCCTTCATTCTATCGTTCTTAATGATGGACTCCAATCAATTGGGAACTTCTGTTTCTGTCAGTGCAATGCTTTGAAAACATTATCCATCCCATCGACAGTCACTTTCATTGGTATTTCATGCTTTTTAGACTGTGGCGTCGTCAATTTAAATCTTCCACTTCTGTGTATTGAGAGTGTCGATGCGAGTCTCTTCGACACTCTTGCTTTAACAAAATTCACAATAAACAACGAAGTTATAACAAACATAAACTACACTGTCTCGTATAGTGCAGCGAAGATGTTTGGTGAGATTGGAATTACGTGCGACTGTGTTATTTACACTCGAAAGGATCGTTTGAAATATGGGAATACCATTCCTCCAAATGTGTGTGCATTGGACGATTTCTGTTTTATCGGAAGTGGTCTGCAAACAATTAAAGTCCCAAAGTCCGTTAAACGTATTGGTCATGCCGTCTTTGAAAAGTGCACTGTGGAGATCAGTAATAGTAATACAAAGTATGAGCATGACTCCTTTATTAATTGCCCGGGCAATGAGTCGTGTGTATTCGTTTAATCTAATTATGTTGTTCTATTGAGTTCTTTTGACTTGTGGTGAACGTTCCACAGTGAAATCTAATTGAATAATTAAACTATTATATTTAATTAATATAATTTATTTAATTAAATTTAATTAATTGGTAAACCATTTCAAGCTACTTGCTAACAATTAATGAGTTGTTTTTATTATAATTTAATAAAATTAACGAGTTTTTTCAATTCTATTGAATATCAAAAAATAGTAATAAATAATTAAAATTTTAAATTAAATAATAACAAACGACTGTGTTAATTTAATGATTTAAAAAATAAAAAAGCTCGTTAAATAGATTGGTTTCATACCAGAAAGATCTTTGAAAAAAAATCAAAAGTCTAATTGAGTATATAAAGGACGAAAAACAGAGAAAGTCAAAATGGACTTGCAATGGATGGAAGAACTCAAACAGAGAGCTAGACGACTCAAAGATCCGAAGGCGTTCAAAATCAAAGTAATCATCACAGGATTTATCGGTACCCAAATTGAACTTGCGATGTGGTTGAATCAAAGGTTTGAAGAGGACTTTTACCGTAAGTTTCCGATCTTCAAACTTCCGACGGAGGTGTGGTATATTGAACCATACGGAGAGGAATTGATTGAACGCATTTTGGCAGCGGATGGGAAGTCTGAGTATCGGAATAGTTTCATTAGTTTAACTCCACAACCCCTGCGAACGAAAACGAATGAATTGAAACCGGTAGTCCTTGAATTAATTCGACGGTGGTATAACACATCGACGCAATTACTTTGTATCAACAATTTGGCACAGAAATTGAAGGAGTGTGGATGGAAGAACGGCTTTGATAAAATCACCTTTGCGAATACTTTGAAAATGTTGGGGGAACAAATCCCTATGACCCTCGGCGTCGACTGCCATTCAAATCAACTCAACTCATTGGAACCCCTCCGAAACTTAACACTCTTCTTCCCTTCTCTTCAATTACTCGACTTACGGGAGAACAATATTCAAACTTTAGACCAACTGGGGTATATCAAAGGACTTCAACTGATTGAAATCGATCTCAACGGAAACCCTATTATCACACAAAACGGGTTTATAGCGTTTGATTCTTCTTAAAACACTGTTAAATGGTCTTGTGATTGACTTTAAAATGCTGTCGACCACATCAGAGAAATTGTGCTGAATATATAGCGACATGAGAATGGACTTCCCGTATCTCAGATTCTTGAACGGCCGTCCGTTCGAATACCAAAACAAATTCCCCGTCATGTATACCCCACACTTCTTAACTATTCAACCGGGAAGCATCCTTTCTATTCAGAACTATAACGAAATCAAAAGATACTTCACCGAGTTCTTTGCGAAACAAGACACTAAACAATCAATAATGGGATATTACTTGGACACTTGCACACTCTCCGTATCAAATCATGGAGTTACCCTTGACGAGGAAATGCAGAACGCAGTGAGAAATTTGAAGAACCCCTTGGAAGACATGAACGAGTACAGTAAACGTATAATGATTGGACATCGCATTGAACGGTTCTATAAGAGTCTCACAACAAAGCACTCCTTTGAAAAAATGACATTTGACTACATGACAGTGGGTGACGGGGATGGTCGGTTGATGAACATCTTATTCAGTGGGCAATTTGAACTCTTTGGAAGAGACACGTCGTTTTATAGAACGTTTCTATTGAGGAACTACTCATATATGACTACAGAGAGGGAAGTCGGCAGTAATGTACCGATTCAAGTCCCTCACACACAAATTAAAATCATCGCAGAACACTTACATGTAACAAATGGGTTGATGCCCGCAGCTGTCCCAGCAACAATCGATATGTTAAACAACATCAATGAAATCAGCAGCCAATTGAAAAAGGAAGACCCCGAACTGATTTATATGATCGGGAAACCAGTAGGACACAATGTAGAAATGACTAAGTCGATGCTTGGAACGTACCACTTTGTCAAAATCAATGGAAAGTACAATGACGCGGAAACACTCGAAATGTGCAAAAAGGTCAAATACAACTTGGGGGAATTCATGCAGCAGAAATTTGAGGAAAGCGTCCAAATCGACGAACACAAAAAACCAACAGGAGTCACACCAGAACAAGGGCAACTCCTCTTTTGGGCGTATTTGGAACAACAAAATGGACAACTCCCACACCAACAACAACTACTAAATGGGCAAGAACTCCTTCAACAACAGAAATTCTGTCCTCAAACCGCTTTCTTCCAACAACGACAACAATCAAACACACAATCTACCCAAACAACCTTAAACAACACCTCTCTAATGGAAGTCGAATAATTTTATTAAAAATGTATGTTGTTCTATAATATAATAATAATTATAGAATAATTCTATAAATATAATATTTATTATAATAATAAATAGTAATATAATAATTCAATAGATGTAAAACCAACTTTTTTTGCTTTTGTATTCGTTGACGTTTTTTCTCATTGTTGTTATTTGTAATAGTTTTATACTATTAAAAATGTACTATAAATATGGTTGATTTTACTAAAATACGATTATTTAAGGAAACGATAGTTAATAAAATTTTTAACTATCGTTTTATTTACTTTCACAAAGAAGAGAAGTTCATAAGTAGTAGTATAATAATAGGATATGTTTAATTTAATATTAACAAACAAAAATCCAAAATTGTGAATGAACAGACAGACAAATGGTCAGAAAAAAAAATTCTTAATCAAATATTTCCCGTCACTGAGTGATGGGTTAACATTGAGTAATATGACATTAGTAACATTTATTAAAAATATATAAAACTACCCATTATAGTAAAAATAAATTAGAAGAAGAAGAAAATGCAGAAGGACAAGATGATCGATAGAGTGGTGGTGGAATTTGGCTTTACAATAATTGACTTGACACAACGTGCGTTTTTGTTACATGTTTCTCCAAGATGACAAACCCCACAATAAGGGACACATCCTTCTTGATATGTTTTGACTTCTCCATCGTCTGCATCTATTTCAGAGTTCGTTGGATCGCACTGATCCTCTGGTAAACAAACGAAAGCCGCTAAAGTGCATTGAGTGAAATTGGTTTCTGAGAATGGGCGGAATTCAAGTTGATGTACTATAAGATGGGAATTGAGTTTTCCGGTGTTGAGAGTGAATTTGATGATATTAACTTGAAGTCAATATATTATTATATTATTATATTATTATATTATTATATTATTATATTATTATATTATTATATTATTATATTATTATATTATTATATTATTATATTATTATATTATTATATTATTATATTATTATATTATTATATTTATTAATTATATTTATTATATTTTAATTCCAAAACAACAAACTTGGAGATAAACACTTTGCCCTTTTCATTGAAACATATCCCGAGTAATGATTCGTGCCATTCTCAGTTGTTGAGTTTGCGATTTTGAGATCTTCGTTGACACAAGACACTCGTTTTTCCTCATCAGCATTTGGGTACTTTGCAAACCTTTCAATTTTGAGATTGATCACTTTTTCCGAGACTGAGAAGACTGATAAGAGGGAGGAGTAATAGTTAGAAAGAACTATTGGGAAAGGAAATGAAACTATTAAAGTAGTTTCTGAATCAAATGTGAAGTTATTATTTTCGAGTGTTAATACTTTGACGTCTAAAGAATCCAACGAAACTTTATAAGTCGTTATCCATGCCATCAAAGGGTCTCCACTAGTTGAAGTGTTCAAAATATTATCGTGGAGCCTCAAATAGCATTTTGAGCTTTTCAAGTGTTTTCCCGAGAAAGGGGTCATAGCCGGCTGTGTTTTATTTTCGATGAAATTGAAAGGGATTTTGATTGAGACTCCGAACATGTCGTACGCCTTAATGAAGTTGACGTAATTACTTTTATTGTACATGACGTCGAATTTGAGTGTGACGTTATTTTGAATGACTTCTGTAGTGTTATAGAGAATCTTCTTTACAACGACATTAGTGTTAAACACCGCAATAGATGCGATAGAAGTGTGTGTAAGAGTGTCATCGATAATTTTTGTCGCAACAGCAAAAGGGAGGTTTTGGTAAGGGCAATTAGTGATTCGTGTTGCTATAGGAATAGCATACCCCGTATTCATACCTGAAGGTATTCCTGCTATAAATGTGAATAATTCCTCATCCATAAATATAGTACGAGCATACGCTTGCATCTCAGCTACAGAAGTTGGTTGCATTATTACACTCCCTACTGAGGTACATACCGTTCGCTTAGAAGGTCCTATTAACTCAAGACATATCCCACACCGCGCAAAATTAATACCACCAAAGGACTGATAAAAACTGTTATGTGCAAAATAACAGCGTGTGTTCGTGGATAGACTCGTCACTACTTTGTTCTTGTCGGGAATCCCCGCATAACACTCTTTATAAATTACTGACTTCGAACCAGCTGGTCCTTTCTGCCCGATAAATTTAAGACTCTCCGCTCGAAGCTCCGTCTGTCTGTGAGTGCGGTTGTCGTGAAGTTGAAGTATTAAAATTATTAATTGAAAATTATAACAAACTAAACAAGGACTGTCAATCTGAAGCGATTCGACATCAACAGAAGAGCTCAATGATAAAACAATTAATGTGAAAAAGAACATCAAAAAAGTCAGATGACTACAAAACGAGTTTTTTGTTTTGATCTATTCTACACAAAATTAAACTGTTTATTTCGATATTTCACATTTTAATCAAAATGTAATGTAAATTGAATTACTAAATTAATATAATAAAATAATAGAATACACAAACTATATAAAACTAAATCAGAAAGTAATTTTTGAAAAAAAAAGAGAATCCGTTACAGAGTGACGGATTCGAGTTTTTATTTTTAGCTCTCAATAAAGAAATTGTAAACTTGAAAAAAATGGAATTTTGAAAAAAAAATATTTTTTTGATATAAAACAAATAACATTTAAATAAATATTAGACAATAATTAAATGAATAGTTATATTAGTTCATTTGTGATTTTAATTAAAAATTATTAAAAAATTAAAACTGATATAAATAATAATAGCAAATATTACTTATATTATATTATAATTATATAAAGCGAAAGTCAAGTTCAAAAATGGTATATAATTAAAACTATTAAAAAAGAAATATGAATTTATTATTTTAATAGAATTACATAATAAAAATGTATTTTCTTATTAACTAAATTGTTATAATTAATTTAAAATAATAGTATGATAAACTATAATTAGAATTGTTTGCTTCATTAATTATTTTTATAATTCTATTTCTATTATATTCAATAATACGAGTTATAATTGTTTTATTATTAAACAATTAACATGAAAATCATAATTTGTCACATATTCAAAATGAAGTTTAAATGAATTTTTATTTTTGTCAGATTTAAATTAAAAAAAAATATTTACATGAAAGAATTATACAAATCCCGATTAATACGTTCAAAATATCCTATATTTCTTTGATTTTTTTATGTAAAGTTTTTATTTGTATTATGGAATCAAGCTGTTTTGAGCAATACCATTTTCACATGATCTGACGTTTTTTAAGAAAAATAAGTTGTCATTCTCACAATGAAAACCAAACTAGATATAAATTATTGTTTTATTATTATTGTATAACAAGTAAATTAATTACATAATTATGTTTATAAAGACTATTTTACTATATAAAAACTATAATAAAACTAATAATAAAGTATAAATCAACTATTTTATTTTTTATTTGTGTTTTTTTTTAATATTCTCGCATAAAAACCTAGAATATAAATAACGGCCCAATAGTATGTTATAAATCGGGAATTAATTATATTACAATGAAGCTTCTAATAACACGAATTAAAAATCTAATTTGTTTTTGTTTTATTTCCCGTTATATAAGTTTACACGACCTAAAATTTCAACAATATGTCAAGAGTAAATCAAGATGCCCTCTTTTGTTTTACTATAAGTATAGTACATTTAATCATAAATTGCTCGCAGATGACTTGTATGAAATAAATCACAATAAAACCAAAAATGCAGAGCACACAAGAAAAACCGATAAAAAACACGAAAAAAGCTTCACTAATAAATTCAAAAATATTTTTTGAGAAGTAAAAATAAAAAAAAACATTTTTAATTTATTTGTTGATTTTTTTTCATAATTTAGTGTCTGTGGAAGATTCCAAGATCAAAACAAGAGCTAAAAATAGGAGTCGACCTCTATAAATAGATCTTATTATATTTCGAATCAGAAGAATAGTCTTGTCATAATCCCGAAAAAATACGCATATTTTTAGTGAAATAGAACGGTTTCTCAATTATTCACTATAACAACAAAAAAAGAGTTAGAAAAAAGAGTCAAAAAAAACACGCGAGTTTGTCCAACTTTTTTGAAGACAAAAAGACGAGGAAATGCATTTCCATACGACTTCAAGTTTTCTTTTTGTTGTTCAAAAAAGAATAATTTTATCTCTTAAAGACTTTTCAATGTCATTTCGAGCTTTTACAACGGACCGCTCGTACGTTGATTTATTTGAAGACCTCATAGAGACAACGCAGTCTGAACTTGAGCAGAAGCGGCGTGAAGAAAGTGAAGGGAAGAAAGAAATAGAAATCGTGACAATAGAAGATCTGAGTCAAAAAATGGATTCTTCAATTAACAAAGCAACATTCCCAATAGAATTTCAACAATCCAGTCCTGCTCTTTTGATCCCAAATCAACTCAGAAAATCCATTTCTCCACATCAAATACCATCTAACACTATTAAAGAAACTGTCTTAGTCCCTTTAACAATGGAAAATGGCAAATTTATTGAGACTCCTACTACCCTCGAGGAAGAAAAAGTGCCAGAAAACACTCAAAAAGAGCGAGAGAAAACACCTGCGACGTCATCCTCTGTTTCGCGAATCGAAGTGTTGGTCGACACTTCCGTTAAGTCTGCAGATTTCGATAAACCAATCACCTCTTTTGATATCAAAACGTTTCTGTACAACTTCCCACAAGAGGAATGGTTCTTTGTACTCAACTGTACATCGTTAAACACTCAACTCTCAAAGATCGAGTTCCTTCAAATAGCACAAGAACTCGACAATTTCTGTTTGTCACTGAAAGACACGATGGAGTGCAGTTTTGAAATCATCGCGCAATTTTACTTCACCAAATTGTGTAGTAAAAATGCAGAGTCGAAGAACTCGGAGACTCTTGAGAAGAATATTATGACAACGTACCAACACTACGCAACGGCTATTGGTGCTTATAAGGTCGCAGCGACATTGAAAACTTTAAATTCTTTAAAATGTGACATCACGTACGACATCTTTGCCGACGTCCTCTCTCAGACGTTTTCTATCACACAGAGCGCCACTATTGATGATAAGTTGTATGAGAATCTCAGAATCCTGTGCGATTGCATCTTGAAAAATAGTGAGGGCTTCATGTCGACTGAAAACGCACAAGCAGCACTGGAACGATGTGATATGAGCCACACAAAGTTGGTGGACATCATGTGTCACTGCACTTTTGGGAAGGAGGGGATGATGTCCACTGAGGAGTTTGTGTACTGTGGATTCCACTTGAAATACTTTGAGGCATGTCTTGTTGAATTTACTTGGGCTGGGGTATATAGTCCTTCTTACTCTGTAAATTTGGCTCTTTATAACACACTGTTTCATGCCCTTGATATCACTAGAACAGGAATTCAATTTGGAGCATTCAAAAAGTTCATCTTGACGGGGAAAAAGAGGGGGTTAATGATGACGAGAGACATCAGAAAGTTCTTTAATCAACTCGACAAGAACGGAGATGGCAATTTGGACTTCGAAGAGTTCTCAAAAGCATTTGAGAGAATGCTCCTCTTCGGATTTAAAAAGAACGAGAAGATCCCATATCTTGAGGTCAAAAGTAACTCAATCCTCTTCGACCAAAATGACTCCTTGATCGTGGCCGGGGCAAGAGAGTCATCATCCTTTGCTAAAAATGACATCTTCAACCCACTCAGTGGTATTCAGAAATTCGTCAGCTCTTCAGAACAAAAAATCCTTTCAAAGAGCAAAGAATTGAAAAAGAGTAAAGAACTGAAGAAAAGCAAAGAGGCGATCAAATCAACCGATTTAAATCGAAGCAAAAGTGTTCTCAAATTGGATATCAAAGAATCTCTCAAAAAGGTTCAAGAAAGTCAGGAAAAAGAAAAAAGGTCAAAAACTAAATCCCCAAAGACACAAAACCCAACGAAAAAGGGGAAAAAGTTGAAGAAGGAAAAAAAAGACAAGAAAAAGACGGGAAGTTGTGTCATCTGTTAAAATGTTATTTAAAATGTTATTTGTATTTCTGTTATTTAAAATGTTATTACTCATTTTGTTTTGGGTACTTAATAGAATTAATTATAATTAAAACAATTAGAAACAAATAGTAATGATTATTGTAATGAAACACTTAAAACACGAATTACAAATTGATTGACAAGTTAAATTAATAGTTAATAGTTAAGAAATTAAAAAGTATAGTTATAGTGAATGATTAGATTAGATTATTTTAACACTTGCGGAATGCTATTTGCAATTGATTAGTAATAAATTGAAAGAAAGATAAGTATTGAATGGTAGAACAAAGTCAAAACAAAAAGCGAAGAAAAAAACTTTAATGGCAATGAAGAAGACTGCGGAGAAGAGGCAGTACTATCTCCACCTTGTTGAGATACAAGACGTCCCGAGCGGGTCCGGAGATTACTTGCTCAAGTGGAAACGAGGCGATAAAGACATCAACAAAGGAGTATTAAAGGGATTGAAATGTAACGGAGGATCGATTCAAGGCAACACATTCAATGTCATCATGGCGACGTGCACACTCTTTCACAATAGTAAAGGGTATGATGAAAAGTTAATGAAGTTCACATTAGTCCATCTCACCGACGGTGGGAAGAAGAAGAAGGAAGAAATAGTTGGGATTGGCTATATCGATTTAGCGACGTACGTGGCGTGCGTCGCGAAGAGAACCGTCTCCTTTGATTTGAAGACGAAGAAAGGAGAGAAGTTCCCGTGTCAAGTCTCCGTTCAAAGCTTAGGAGGCCTTGAAGTTTCTGACAACGACAAAACAGAGGTCTACACTAAAGCAAAGGATCAGTTCGATGAAACAGAAGCGGAAACACAAGACGATGACACCAAATCGAAATCTTCAGTTAAATCAAAAACAGAAGGGAAGTCTCCTAATCCTTTTGGTGACGACGAAGACGATGATCGACAAAAGAGTCCAAGAGTTAATGTTACTACTAAGGTTGCGACTTCGCAGAGTAGAAAGTCTGATAATCCATTTGGAGATACTGACGATGAAGAAGAAGAACAAGTCACTAACAAAAGTGGAGCAAAGAAAGAGAACCCATTCGGCGACTCTGATGACGAAGAGGATAAAAAACAACAACAAAGGGCTTCAAAAGGTAATGCCATAACAACACAAACAGTTGGAAATCCATTTGGTGACAGTTCTGAAGAAGAAAAGGAAACAAAGAAAAAGTCGGATAATCCATTTGGAGACTCCGACGACGATGAAGAGGCACTAAAGAGTACCCAAACATCAAAATCACAAACTAAAGTGGTTTCGAATGTTCAAGTTACGCATTCACAAAAGAAAAGTGGCAACCCATTTGGAGTCGACTCGGACGACGAAGACACAAAACCAACACAAGTGCAAACAAAGGAGACAAAACCTCTTGCAAATCCATTTGGCGATGACTCGGAAGAAGACGTGCCAGTTCAAAAACAACCCCATCGTCCTTCAAAAGGAAACGCAAACTCATTTGAAACTTCTAAGACTAACACAAAGACTAAAACAACAACCGTCACATTAGATACTTCGGTGACAAAGAAAAATATTCCACAACCAACGACACAACAAACAAAGGAGAGCGACAAATCATCCAAAACGTCGTCGAAGTCTTCTAAAAAGTCGGTTTCGAGAGATGGCACCCCACGCGCTGTTAAAAAGGCTGATGTCCTTGTGGGCTACACGAAAACCAATGACGGCGATAAACTCTCGTCGCCTGTTAAAGAGACGAATATCTTTAAGCCAACACAATCACTTGAGGATGTTGTTCTTTCACAAAAAGTGACTGAATCAGTTCAATTTAAAGACACTGGTATTGACATCCGGGAGGTGATCGATTCATTTTCAACAAAAGGCCATTTAGACGACTTAGATTCGTTTGTGATATTATTAAAGAAGTGGTGGGCGGATGGGAAGAGCCATGCGGAGCTAGACATTATTCCGATGGTCTTAGAAACGATCGACGACTGTGTTTGGGCGATTATGGCGATTAAAGAGGTTGGTGGGAAATTACAGAAGACGACGAGGAAAGGGGGGCGAGAGGAGCAAATAGATCTGATCTATGAGCGCATCTATATAAAAGCGGTGAAGATCTGTTCGTTTAAAATGGAGGGGTTATTAGACTATTTAGTCGACAGTCCGAGTTTTGATTCGCAGAAGTCGACGTATGAAGAAGGTGTAGCGAATGGGATAGTTGAGATGGTCAATCAATTTTATGAGAAAGCGAACAAATTGAGTGATAATGTTGCTGAACGCCTGACGACACAAATCATTCATTTCATCTGTTATTACATCATCGAAGAATTGATCAGTCGAGACAAGATCCAAGGGATGAAAGGTTTCCAGATGAGTTACTTAGTGAGTTGTATGGTCAATCGGGTGTGTATCAACAACAAGTACATTTGTTTGAAAAAGTATATGATAGGGTTCGACCCTTTGACTGAGTTGTGTCGATTAATCACAATGCCACTTACACTCGATATCGTCAAAATGAAAGAGCAAGTCTATCCAACATTGCCTTATGAGTATGCGATGCGGGCTTTGAACAAATTTAAGTTGGACGATTTCAACTTGTCGCGAATTAAGACGGACGTCAAAGACTATTTGTTTGAGAATGGGTCGGGGGAGGTCCCTACAAGTCGATTTACTATATTACCATGACTTTATTATTGAATTTGTGTTGGGTTTGTTTCGTGGGCATTCTTGAATAAAACAACACCAAACACCGACATTAATTTTGCTCTATTTATGACTCGCCGTATTTACTGTAGTTCACTAAACTTGACAACTAAGTTCTTTGCCTTTTCGGGCAAGATCTTAGCAAACGCTTCTGACGTCGCCGCCACATTTGCACGCAATACATTTTTGAGGAAGATCAAGTCGGCCTCTGGCGTAGCTGTTGTGTTGTTTGCGAGAGCTGGGAAGGCGAAGATGTCCTTCGTTTGTAGACAGCGAGTTTTTCTTCTGACCTCCTTGACAAGTTGTGTTGTGTCGATCTCGTTATTCTGCCTTTCCATCGAGATTGGGAGAAATGTTTTTGACGTGTTAGATATGATGAGTGTCGTCGCCTGTGACGGGGGAGGGATAGATCTCGATATTTTTTGGCGCGGCGGATTCGCCTCGGGAAGCTTTTGTTCCTGCTCGACTGTCGTCAGAAGCGGTTGTTGTTCGTCTTTGTGTTGTGCAGAGAAGCAGCATCCCATCAGTTATCGATACCAAGTACTTTTTTCAGTTCACGGCACATATGATAGTTCTTTCTAGAATAAAACTACTATACCATTTTAATTAGAATGAATGATAAAATTTAGTATAATTATAGTATTAGTATACGAGAAGGAATGGGAGAACAAAAGACTCAATCGGCCATAATTATTACATAGCACAACCACACTAGACAAACAATGGTAGTCACCATCACGATTTTAAGAATAGTCGCAAGCGTCTCTTTGTAAGTTATATTTGTGTTCTTGGGAGGCTGTTCTTGAAGAGCAAATACTGAATTTGGTAATTTCTTTGTTAGAGGGTTGTCTTGAGAAGTTGTTTGATTAAAAAGATGTAAAGGGGTGTTATCTGGAGTGGAAAGGTTCTCATCATTTGATATCACTGGATTGGATGGAAGAGGAAGGGGACTTGGTTCGTCGGACTCAAGAGCAAATACAGTCTTTTTTATTGGGATTGGTCGTTTAATATTTCTATGAATGAGTTTAGGAGTTGAAGAGACCGCTGTCGTTTCGGTTTTTATCTCGAGATTTTGAGAGGTACTATTTTCTACTAGATTTGATGAGGTGTTCATCTCTTTTTTTGATGGGGGTGTTGTCTCAACATGATCATCTGTTGTCACTTCTATATCTTGAATGTTCCCATCTTTTATTTGAACGACACACTTCCCTGTTATAAAATGAACTTCATTTTGATGTGATTCAAGTTCATCAATAGCTTTTTGATGCTCCTTTTTCTCGGATTCTAACTCACGTTGAAGGGATTCCTCTTTCTCTATACACAATTCTAATTCTTTTTTTACTAATTCTAATTGACTGTACGCCATTGCCGTCCGTTCTTCATATTTCTTTTTTTCTTCTATCGTTTTGTTGTATATCGATATCATGGATATTATTTTAGATTTGGCTGCTTGGATCTCGTCCTCCACTGATATCGACTCTCTAGGGGTTTCGCTGGTGCTCATCTTCGTTTTGGAACGTTAAATAGTGAGGTATTCGAGTTTCGTTTCTCTTTCTCCATCACTTTTTTAATACCATTTTATATAACAAATTAAATACCATTTTAAATAACATTTGTATAATTAAGATCTTTTTTTTGTTATTTATCACATTTTGTTCACTCTACTAATTTATTTAGTCAAGCCCAAAATAGTTCAAAATGTTGTTCTATTTTGTCTTTGTAAGCAATAATATACTATTAAATTGTAACTATAATATTAACAGTCTTTTTTTAGTTATTCACCAAAAATTTACTAAAATTTATTATAAAAATATTATATTTGTGTTATTATATATTTTTGGAACAAATCGGTTTGAATAGAATAGTAAAACAATTTATATAATTAATAAATTTGATTAGTTGACTTATTAGTTTAGTCTTTCTTTTATTGGTCAGAATCCATAATTAACACAAACTTTGTTCGAATACAAAAAATAAACTATATTGAATCTATAATAAATTAACCAAATAACTACAATAATAAACTTAGTGATAACAAACAGATTTAAAAAGCCATCATCTCAATAACAGACTTGGATAACATCGTCAAAATGTTTTAGAAGAAGTCGAATTAATACCAAGTAAGGGTAAAGTTATGCTTAGGTGTTAAAGGATAGTGAGTCAATTTGAAAGAATAACAGTCTTATTTTTTAAAGAAAAACGGCAAAAAAAGCCTCAAAATCTCGTCTTAAGCATCAGGAAACCGTTCTTATAGAATCCCACAAAAAGAAAAAAGGAAAACTCGAAACAGCCAGTTGCATGTCGACTAAAAAGCAAATAGTCTCATCACCGGAGACAACACAACAGATGATGGTGGATGAAATAGTCTTGAAACAGAAACAAATGGGATTACTTAACAGCCAATCTTCTTCGACAAAAATAGAGAAGTCTTCTAAAATCGAAAAAACTGAAAAGCCTCCAAAAGCTTCAAAACCAAAAAAAGAAACTTCAGATAAAAAGACCAGCAAAAAGTCTTCAAAAGAACAAAAGAAAGTCAACGCCCAACTCTCCAATATCGTCGCAGAAATGAAAGACTCAACTCCAAAAAATTCTTCGTTACGTCCTAAAACACTTCTCTCACCTAAAAAAGACGACGTCCCCCCTTTGAAATTAGAGGAAAGGTCGCCTACTACTTCCCCAATTACAACTCCTTTAAAACTTATTCCACTCAAAGAAGAACCAAAATCAGAACTCGACTCACAGTCGTGTCCAACACATACTGAACATTCACAACACCAAACTTGGGTTGCGCCAACACATCAACAACACTCTTCTCCTCAATCACTCCCAGTGTCAATTGTTAATTCACCAGTGACAACACCGATAAATCAATCACCCACTCGCGCGGGCATTCAATGCGATAACACAAAGTTTTCCACAAAAAAAACTAAGAGGGTGTGTCAAAGTCAGTTATATATGGAATCGCCTCGATTCGATTCTAACACGTCCCTCATTGCGAAGATCGCACAACTCGAAGACATCTGCAAGAAGCTCAAGGAAGTTGCGAAAAAGCAACAAGAGATTATTGACAACATTTCATCCGAACTCCGACATTAAAGTCTGCAACTTTCTGTCTTATATCAATTTAGCGTTTATTTGTTTGTTTGAATCTTTTGTTAAATCATTGGGTTTTCCAATGGTTTAACACTCAACAGTGTTGAATCGTGAAGGTGTGGAACTTTGTACATCAATACAACAATCATTTCTGATAATCTAATATGAGTAACTTCCCACATTTCATTCCAACTACTACTTTACTATCATCAACGCCTATATCCGATATCTTCTTTTCGGTGTTAGCAAGAAGTCTTGGGTTCCGCAAAGAATTGTTCGTCATGTATGTCACAACAACGGTCTTATCATTTGCAAAACTGAATATCTTCCTATTGTAAAGTTTCACACCTATTAAGTCACCCATGTGGACTTTCCGATCAAGCTCTTTCCAGTTTCTGACATCCCACATTCTGAAAAACCCATCTTCACCCCAACTCACAATTTTATTCTCACAACATTCGATACCATTGACACCACCAAAGTGCCCAATATACTTCTTTCGCATCTCTTTACTTCGTTCATCAAACACTAAGATTTCTCCGTCGGAATTACCAAGGTACTTTCCTTCAAAATACTCGTCGAAGCATGTGATTAAGCCACCACATGTATACTTCCACTTGACTTCATTGGACAAACTGATTTTTTCTGTCTGAGTTCCCCACTTAAGTACCCCGGTTCCTTCACAGTTCATCTTTGCGTTCTGCACCTCGTCAATCTCAATCTTTCCAATCTTCGTTCCATCTTGAAAACTCGAGAATTGGTAAATCGTTCCGGTTTTAAACAAAACGTTGACTTTTTTATGATCACAATGAGTTCTGATTGATTTGACATGCCCATAATTTGTGAATTTCTTGACACCATCTGCGTCGATCCCCAACAGTCGTTTCCCACAATTTGCTGCTATAAAATTATCAGTAACACACACAGAAAATATTTCAGTATGTAAGTCCTCGACGACTCCCTCAAGTTTGCCGTATCTGTTCTTGACTTTCTGGTGTTCCAAAAATATTTTTTTGTACTCGTTCATTTCTCTGTCGTTTTGCACATTCATTCTCTTATCAAATCTCGTGATATCAAGATTCTTCTCGAACAGGTTTTTATAGATGAGATTTCCGTTTTGAGAGACCAAGGCGGAATGAAACTTACGGCATATGAACGGCATTTGAGCGATTTCGTCCGAACTTAAAAAGCAGAAGATCTTGAGGAGGAGGTCGTTCGTCAGAAACAGAATTGGCGAATGCGCAATCACCGGAGCCATTACTTCTCGCTCTTTCATGTCTCGGCACTCATACACGCATTGAAGCATCTTAGTTGATGCCTCGTTAGTACCAAGAAATGAAAGAGGTTGCCTCCCGACTTGGAAGTTCAGCGACGCAAATGCATGCATCGCCAATTGCACAGCCCCAAAGTTGAACAGTGCTTTCTTTCTAAAAGAAAGTGGCTTTGATTGCAAGAAAGGGAATGAGAAGGAGATTCCATACTTCATCGTCTTTTGTGGAGTCCCCAAAAAGATGAAGGCTCCACCAAAAACGCTAATAACGTTGTTGTGGCTATAAAAGCAATCTTTGTCGACTGCACTGGTGAAACAAATCACACCAAAGCCATCACCTATTTTAATACCAGAGGTAAGATCTACACAAGCTTTTTCGCCTAACGTGACTGTTTCTTTGTGTGACACTTTGAACTGCTGTGACTCGCGCAACACACTCGAAAATTGAAAACAAATGTTCCACACGTCGTCACTTGTAATAAAATTGATGATTTCTGAAGCAACGCGCTCGTGGTGAACCTCCCCTTGAACTAACATTTCGGTTAAGTCGCAGTTCACGGAGATGCGGAAACTTTGATTTTCGTGAAACACAATATTAAACTTCTTGTCGGGTTGCATCATCATTTTATACATCTTCTTCTCGTTCGTGCGGAAATAGTCGTGGTTGGGCGCGTTAATCAGATAACACACCAAGTCGTCAACAATTTTTTTGATGCGACTATTTGTTAAAAACACGACATTTGGATCCGCAAGGGACAGACCGCCCAACTCCGCAACTATAATGAATTCTGCCGAATCGCCGTGGTGCTTTGTCGCATAAAAAGTCCTTTGTAGGAACCCTGGCTGGACTCGAAAGTCGTGAATCGAAACGTTGAACACGTCTGTCCGCATGTTGACAAGATGAAAGGCCGAAGGAATCTCAAAAATAGTTGGAAATGTTTCGGTGAATACATAGAAGTCGTCGTTGCGAGTCACTTTTTGTATGAAGGGGTCAAACAACTCGAAGTTCATTGGATTTGATATGAAATCAAAGAGTGAGTCTGTGGAGTAGGGGACTAACGAATTGCAGCGGACGGTGTATTGGTTGTCGCACTTGTAATCGCTCTGCGTTGAGTACGGCGATGGGTTTAAGTCGTTGGTTATTGGAATCCACTTAAAAGAATTCTGCAACAGATCCAAAATGTGGTCGATGTCATTCACATCCATCAAACTAATAATCGAGTTCCTTTTCGACGATTCAACGAATAACATTAGTCGTTGTGCAAAAAACAAAAAATCCACCAAAGGAAAATGAAGAAAAATCAATTTGAAATATGGTGTGTTTATAATGGTGTTATCTTTGACTGATGCGACGAGAACGAGTACGTGGACTTCTTTTTGTACAAACACGCGTGCACAACTATTGCGGAGAGTGAGATTAATGACGAGACGACAAACTTTAATGTACATTGGTTGTTCATTGACACAAAGGCGGGAAGTAACACACAGCAGGGGAAGTACATATACGAGAAATAAAACTTTGTGTCAGCAACAGAAAAGTAGAACTTGTACACAACCATAACACCACCAATTATAGAAGTCAGGAATGTTGTAATAACAGACGGATACATTTGTGGGTATATCAATCTTTCATATGAGTGGATTAATTATATAAATATTTATATTTATAATAGAGAATATCAAGTTACAAGTAACAAACGTTGTAAAGAGGAGAAAATAGTAATACACAACAACATAAGTGAATGTGAAACTAAACAAATTCTTTTTAACCCTTTTTACAAAATCCTCGGTTGTGAGTACATAACTCCCCGTGACTAACAATCCTATTTGTTTGTTTATATGATCAACAACAGCTTCCATTAAACGTGTTTTTAGTAATTCCAAGCATTATTAGTTCACTCGACATTGTATTTTCAATTTAAAAAATTGAATCCCTTTTGAGGAATTAATTTCGTGGTTTCACATAAAAAAGAATTATGGATTTTAATATTTTTTAAATAGTTTTTTTCTAATATAAACTTTCTATTATTTGATATGCAATTTTTTTTTCAATTTTGAAATGTAATATTTTATAGTTAACAAACTATAAAAACAACCAAAAAATGGAAGACTTGAAAATCAACAAATCACTTCAAAAAAGTCAAATTATTGCTTATAGACAAGGATCCAACCAAATTATCCAATTAACTAAAAGAAATTGGTATAATTAATTATAATTAACCATTTTGTAATTCGTTTTGATTTTCTTATTGATTTTGACTTTGTTTAAAAATCTCTTCAAAGAATTGAGAAATAAAAAGAACCAACTAGATATCCCAAAACCATTAGATGGGAGCTGGGCTTGAAAAGACCATTCAAAAACAAGGCGAAAAGGGTGCGACGGAGGTCAACCTTTCGAAGAAAGGAATTAAAAAGGTCCCTCCATGCGTTAATTTAATTCAAAAATGCAAAATATTAAATTTGTCGTTCAACGAAATTCAAGAAGTCCCACAAGAGTTCGGATCGTTATATGAGTTGGAGGATTTGAATATGAACAACAACAAATTAAAGGAAGTTCCTTTGTGTTTCACCAACTTAATGAAGTTGAAAAACATTTATCTTTCTTTCAATCAAATCTCTAAGCTACCAAGTAACTTCTTTATATTCTCCAATTTGAGAGCATTAAACTTTACTCACAATCAGTTTGTTATAATTATATAATTATATAATAATATAATTATATTATATTTATTATTATATTTATTATTATATTATAATAACCGACAGACTGACTTCACTCCCGACTGGTATGGTGTATTGCAGCCAATTAGTCGAACTCCGATTGAACTTTAACAACCTTGAGTATATCTCAAATGAAATTGAGAAGTTGGTGAATCTAAAAACATTAACGTGCACACACAACAAATTGTATGTCCTCCCACCCGGGATGAGCGCATTGAAGTCCATTGATACGTTGGACTTTTCAAATAACCGATTGAGGACTGTTCCATACACATTGTCCCGGTGTTCTACACTTCGGACTTTGAGTCTTGTCATGAACGAGAAACTCGAACCGCAGATATTGAAGAGCTACGAAAAGAAGATGGTTGGGCCGTTTTTGAAAGATTTGGGAACGAAAGAATTTGAGACTTTGTATATCAAAGACTGTTTGAAGCAAATTGAAATCTTTGCGAGGTCGCTCAACATGGAAAAGGGGAAGGCGGAGATCTATTTTGAAACGATGAAAAAAATCGAGGCGGACGCGTTGAAGAGAAAGGAGGAGCTGAAAGAATTGCAGAAACAACGAGACATTGAACAGGCGAAGAAGGAGAGTCTCATTGTAGAACAAGGCGAGTTGGTGAAGGCAAATGATAAAAAGGTGGAAGAGGGGAATACAGAGACGGAAAAGAAAGAGGAGCCCCCCGTTGAGGAGAAGAAAGATGAAAACCAAGAGGAGAAGAGTAAAGCACAAGTCGAGGTCATGTGAAGTGGGTTGAATTGATTTTTCATGAAAAGATTTTTAAATCTTGTGACGTGGCAATCTGAGGAGTTAAGAAGAAGTTAACTTTACTATGTAATTTTAATTTCTATTGAAATAGTTATTAAACAGAAAGAAGAATGGAAATCTCTTTTTAATTTGAGAAGTAAACAACCTCTCAATTAATTATTTAATTAATGATTAATTAACCATATATATAGTTATTATATACATTGTTTATCTATATTTAACTCTAGTTGGCACACTAACTATTTTTTAGTTAATCAAAATATAATAAAAATATTAAAAAATTATGATTTAAATCTTATTTTAAAAATAGTACAATATTATAAAATAATATTAATCAACTAAAATATATAATAATGTAATATAGTTAATTAATTATAATATAGTTCTTAATAACAAATGTTATAATTGTAATTTATTTAAAGCCAAGTATAAAATTGTCGTTCAGCATAAAATGGTTGTAGACTTGGTGTTGCGGTTTTTTCCTTTATAATTTCGGGTTTATAATTAATTATCTCTATTGTTTATTGAAATTTATGTTTTTTTATTTCCGTTTTTTTATTATTTTAAGTTTAATACTTGAATCATTGGTGTTCATTTTTTATGCCGCACGACCATTTTGTGGTGATCTTTAATTCAAATTCAAATACGGTTAGCTAAAATTTAGTTTGTGAGCCAACTATAGTTCAGTAAACTAACTGTGTATATAGTTAATTAGCTTGAGGCTGTTTAGGTTGCAACTCAATTCAATTTTTATCAATACACTCTTATACTATTTTAAGCAGTGTATTAATTAAAAAATATTAATTGAGACTTAACATGGAAATAATACAGATAGAGTATTTAATGGGTGCCAAGAAATTAGAGGATTGATTGATGTAAAAAATAAGGTTTTGTTTATTTATTTATTATTTGTTTTTTTTTCTTGATGATAATTGATATGAAAATGAGTGCCAAACTCATTTCAGTTCTTAAAATAATTCTGGCACCCAATAAGTTTCTGGCGCCTCGTAAATACTCGAACCGTAAACATTGTCTATAATTGGAATATATGAAAATGATACCAAATAAGTCAAAATATTTACTAAATTCAAAACATTAGTATTTTTATTTTTATTGTAACCAAACAAGGTATTACTAACTTTGAATAGTAAAGTAATAATATCAATTGGTTTCAAAGACAGTTCAATATTGATTATATAAAAAGTATCAACACTCCAAATCCAAAACCAGTAAGACAAATTAGGTGGTATAATTTGCCTATAATTATAAATAATTATAACAAATGTAATACTAAGGTTTCGACTAATAATTAATAATTTTTATACCATTGTAAAAACTAAATATGAAAAGTAAATTTTGGACCTTTTTTAATAATGAATAAGGAAATTTGTTCATTGTAATTCAAAAAGTATTAAAATGGTTTGTCAAAACCTTGATACACGTCGAAACATTAAAACAACATTTGTACGTATAAAACAGGAAATGTGGTTTTTCAAAAATATTTTTCTTGTATTTGGTCTACAGTTAGGAAATAATAAGACTCTAATAATAAACAATATTTTTGCTTTGGGTGTTATTTAATAGACTTTTTATCTGTTTAAATTGAATTATTATGCCATTCTATTGTATCTTACTCTGTTGTATTTCTGTTTTATCACAGAATAATGACACCAAATCAATTTGTGTCAACGACTTTATAGCAGTTGATTACACTTCATCTTCTGTTGTTGTAAAAGAAAAATGGGAATGTTATGATAACCTTAAAGATGCAGATAAGAAGATTAAAGGACTAAATCTTAACATAGGGTGCTACACTTCAAGAACCAATTTCTACCTTGATCGTTTGAATTATTCCACAGCAAAATGTGGGGAATATTTATTAGTTGTGGGCCCTTCACAAATTCAATACTATTGTATGGTAAGAGGATGGATGAACTTAGAGTTTGAAGAAAAGACAGATGATATCAAAAATAGTATTATTGGAATAGATACATATTTATACAACAGACTCAGTTCTGGACTACAAGGATCAATTAACTACTTATCTCAAGTGACCATCGCACCAACTGAAATTGCTCTTGGTAGACCTCCTTCAATTTACGTTGTGCGAATGAATTCAAGTGGTGTTGTAATTCAAATAGGAAACTCCAACAAGATAGTAGAGAGAATAAAAATAAAGTCCAATGTAATGGAAAGAGAAATACCAATGGAAAAGGACGCCACATTCATTTTGCCTGCCATAGAAGAGATGGTCACTTTAAGTTTAATATCAATTAATAACGATAAAATAACGACCCCACTTGTTAATATCACTAACGAAGAAACCATCGACTTTGATGTTTCATTTGAATCAAGAAAGAATAAGTCATGTCGTTTTATTATTGATGAAGAAGTGTTCACAGAAGGTGTTCCACGTACGAAATCCACTTTATTGCTATGGGATATATGGCAACTACAATTGAACGGAGATGGTAAACCTGTTGATATAGTGAATAATACAATTGTAATAATACCAATAGTTACTATTGTCGACCCAACTAGGGGTTTGGCTTCATTGGCATTTTATTATTCAAGTGAAATTCTTTTAGGTGACGACTTCAAAGAGTTGTACCTTGAACTCAAAATAAAAGACGTTAGTAGATTTAAGTTACAAGCAACAAGGTATGCTCGAAACAAATATTCCAAAAACTATACCCTTGCTGAGAGAGAAGTTTTTGGAGATCTTGAAACCAAATACTATTATGGAGAAGATGGAGAGACTGTGTACATGCGAGTGGCAATCAATAAAGGATCTCGTGTCTATGCAAATATGGTAATTGTAAATACACTCATCCCAATTAATACCACAATGACTTTAAAAAAAGCCACTTTCACAAGAACAAGCGAGTTAACTAATCAATACAATTGTGATTACAAAACAGTCAATTGTTATCAAACTGAATGTACAATAACAAATGTTTCAATTAAAGATGGGACCAATATTTGGCAAGATGGTTGTTATCCAAGTTGTGGAGTTTGTGGCTCTGGTTACGTTTGTACGACAAGTGGCAGATGTCAAGCTGAGAAAAATTACAACCAGAGAGATGAAGTGAATTATTTTTCTATCTCAGGAGTTCTATTGTTTATGTTATTACTATGAGACTTTACCTTCTAATTAATTATCATTCACTTTGACGTATTGGTATCTATTAATAGTTCTTCTCTAAAATAATTAACAATTAAAAGTTTAAATTAAAGCGAACAATAAAACGCTGAGATACAACAAATACGAGAAAGCAGCACTTGGTTTCTTCTCAGTGGACTGAGTTGTTGGCTTATTAGTATTTGAAGACTCTTCCTCGATTATTTCAGGCGGAGTTAACGATTTTTCATTCAAGTAGCTCCCAGGCTTCCCTTCACAATCGTCCACGTCATTGTAATCAAACACACATGGGTTATAAGTAGTTCTCCCACATTTACAAACAGTTCCTCCTCTGCACTTCAACCAAACTGCCTTTGCATTTTCACCTCTACAATGCATAAAAATACTTTTATCATAACAATAGAATCCATATGTTAAATTATAACACTCATATGTCTGACTGAACGCACTAACTACTAACAATAGAAGGAAACTATTCATTTGATTTTTTAAGTGTTGAAGATGCCTTTTATTGTCTCTTTGTTCTCACTTTCTTTCTATCACTGTGGAACTATTACTTATTAATTTTAATAGCATTTTAATATAGTTTCATAAAAGAATGAAATTTCTGATCTCCGCTCCCATTCTTGTGTGATTGATTTAATGACAAATTGTACGGAAAACAAATTCTAAACAATAGTACTATAAAACCATATCTTAATTAACACCACCATGATTTGCAAATATTTCTCAGTAATGGTCCATCGTTAAAAACGTTTTGTATGACTCCTGATGCGACTCTTTAGTTCTTTCATTCTATTTTATTAATACTTTATGCCTTTACAAAATGACCAATATTTATTATTAATTAATTATTAATTAATACTATAAAACAAACCTCTGGCGCCGCATCAAATAACAAGAAACTGCGATTTCCTATATCATCCAACTCCATCACTGACGCTCTATTCCCACATCTATAACAATAGTTCGGCGCAGACCACACCGTACACACTTTTTCATCAAATTTCCATTCAAACCCTTCCATCACTATTTGATGAGCTCTTGCAACAAACTGCAGGTCATTCACGCGGACAAACTCATCGACCGCTTCTTTCCCAAATAAGTACCCGGCACCTCGGACGGAGGGTTGCCACTTCTCTGTATCATTGTCGGGGTCAGACCATAACAAGTCACTCATCGCTCCATCATGTGGGACCTCACGAACTCGTTCCAGTTTCCTTATCTGTCCGTTATCTCGATGTACTAGTCGACGTTAATTGTTTAATTATAAATGTACTCTATGAAAATATAATAAAATTATAGTATCAATTTACTAGTTTAATGTATGGTAAAATTATAGTATTAATGTACTAGAGTACAAACGTCGTCGATGGTCTTAATGTCTGGAGATAACCCGCCGTGGACACATAGAATGTGATTGTCTATGACTGCTGACAATGCCAAGAAATCAAAAAGTTCACAACACATTTTCCACATCTCGGAATTGCCATACTTTTTCATACACTCATCATAGAAGCCATACGTCTGGGAAATTTGACGAGTCTCGTGATTGCCTCGAAGTAAGTTGATGCGTTTGGGATATTTCACCTTCAAAGTCAACAACAACTGAAAGACTTCGATCCCATTGACTCCACGATCTACAAAATCACCCATAAATATGTAGTTCGTTTCAGGCGTACGCCCTCCGACCCTGAAAAGCTCTAAAACGTCGGGAAATTGGCCATGCTTGGGGTAAAATCAGTTAACCAGTATTTTATAGTTATAATACTAATAATTAAACTAATTACAAACTAAATCGCCAGCAATGGTGATTGGAAGGGCTATTGACAACACATTTTCGGTTTGAGATAGAATTTCTTTGGCTTTTGGATAAATCACATCACGAAAAACATTTTCTTTTAAATATTCGCCTTGCCACAACATCTCCAAACACTCGTCCACAGAACTCATTCGTTTTGTTGAATTTTTTTAGTTTTTTTATAATTTTCTTCCAAAATAATACCTCCGTTTTTCAAAAATGTGTTTAGTAAATTTATCGTTGACGAAATAAATTCATTATAGTTTATTGAAGTGTTAATTCTCATTTTCAAGAAATTAGAAATAAAACCCAGAAATTCAAATTTTTTTTGTCCAAAATTAAAACTTTCATTTTTATTTTTGAAATGATTTTTAAAAAGTAAATTATATTTATAATTAAAAATAAATTATATAATTTTACTATTTATTTATTAGTAAATAACCATTGTTATTCTATTGAATCTATTAATAAACCAATACTATAATGTATTATTTAATTATAGTAGAGTATGAGTAGAACGAAACCAAAGCCAACAGTCTCTTACGCATTCATTCGTCACAAAATACAACTCCTATTAATTACTTTTGTTCGGCTGCAAAGAACCACGCGATGACTGTTCTTGTGAGTATTATATAGATGATTACTAAAATATAAAAAAGGAGCCCACCTTTGAAAATGATCTCCTCTTGGTTTGCGGTGACTTTCATCCAAAACAATTGACTTTTCGACTCGGCAAGTGAGCTCGAAATATCCTCTTGCGTAGTTATCGACGCTTTGATCCGTTCAGTTGACTCTTTGATGATCTCAAAATTCTCTCCGGTGTGTTGGTTCTCTTCTTCTATTCGTTTCAAGACGTTCAATGTCGTGTAGCTTTCATGGGCTTCACGTATTTTGCTCATCAATTGATTTTAATTTGTTCTTTCCTTAGTTTTTTAAATTAACTTATTATAATAAGTTATTAGAATTTGTTTTTAATAAGACATATGTTATTATTTTAACTAGAGTTTAACTATATCATAGCTATTTATAAATATATAATGAATAAATGACAGATTCTGTTATTCAAAATTAATAGCTTAATTATAATTAATTTATAATTAAAGTATAGTATTTTGTGTCTTCGAGTTTAGTTTTTCAACTCATCGATCACAGGCTTGATATACCTCATCTCTGGGTCCAAGTCAATTGCCCAAAACATAACCCCACCAAGTTGCCTTTCCTTGGCGTATTTAGCCTTCAGTTTAATTGTGATTTCGTCGTCAAATGAAAACCACTGATTACTGTACCACCCATACTTGCACACCGCCGTCAGGTCATATCTCTCGTTAACTGTTCTCGTTTCGATTTCGATGTTTGCCATCAGTCCCTCTTCTTGTGTATAAGCGCCTGGTTTACTTGGTCCTATTGCTTTATCACCAATATTGTGATTAACAATTGTCTCTAAACTCCACCCCCGCCCATATAATGCAATGCCAAGTATTATCTTTTCAAGGGGAACTCCTTGTGAGACATAATCGTTAATTGTGGTCTCAATCGACTCAGAACCGCTGTTGAGCGATTTTAACGGAGTGTGCGAATTAACACGGTCATCGTCCGAGTCGTGGTAATCGTAAGTCATCACGTTGAACCAATCAACGTATTTACTCGTCTCACTCAGCTTGTAATTCCCATAAAATTCCTTCGACGAGGACGTCGCAGCAGATAACAATATTTCGGCCTTTCCGCTGCTTTGGGCTTCACTGATTTTGTATTCATAAAACTCCTTCATCAGAGCCGCAAAGTTGTTGACGTCTTCTTTGGAACCTTCATTGTCTTCATCGCCTGGGTATTCCCAGTCAATATCAATTCCATCGAAGTTATAGCGCCGACAGAACGAAACGGCGTTCCTGATAAATGCCGCTCGTTCCTCCCGAGATTTTGACAACTTTGAGAAGATGCCACGTGTCGCCTTTTCACTTGAAAAGTCCCACCCTCCAATTGACGCAAAGATTTTTAGTTTTGAATTTTGAGACTTCAGATTGATAACTTGAGGAATTGTCGTTCCGTCATTTTCGTCGAGAAAAGTGATTTGTTGATTTTTATCGATTCCTACGAACGCATAATTTAATACGTCGTATTGCGTTGGATCTATATGTTTTGGAAGGAACTGGAAATTCGATTTACCCAATTGGCCATTACGGTATTGAGCCCAAGCAGAGAAGTATCCAATCACTTTATACTCTTTTTGCTCGGCCATAGATACCATCAACATACACGCTAATAGTATTCTCATTCTGATTTTTCGTTTTGGAAATAGGAAGAGCTATTTATTGTGTTTCATCACTTTCCTTCTCATTTAACTTTTTTAATTCCCTTTCTTTTCATCAAATTGTATAGTTGGTTTTATTATATTTATAGTTAAAAAATACATTAATAAAAAATGTTATTAATAACATTTTAAATATCAAAATTTGAAGATCAAGAACTTGATTACAACAAGATTGGCTTTTTGGTTGTCATTTCGGTGTAGAGAGATTTGATTTTATTTCTGAGCTTTGATTTTTGTTCCTCATCGTTTTCGTTCTTTTGGGAAAGTTTAGCAAGTTTGAGTTTTTGCTCAAGAATTTTGTTGTGTTTTTTTGCGGATTTGAGTTTTTTCACCAATTTTTTATGTTCAAGATTTTTTGTGTTGTCTTCTTTCGCTTTCTTTTCGACTTTGTTTGTTTCGTTTTGGACGATTTTTTTCTGTTGGTTAAGTTGTTTCTGTTGCATTACACCTCGAATGGCTTGAGCCATTGGGACACCTTTTGGTGGAAGTTCCAGTGATTTAACTTTTGGTTCTGTTACAAATTGAGGTGGATTGAGTTTCGTTTTGTTAACTTGTGGAACTGGAATTGTTGTGGGAGTTATTGGAGTGGTTGTGTTTTGTGGGATGTTGGGGAGTGTCGTGTTGGTTTCGTTTGTTAGTTTTGTGGAATTTGAAAGAGTTGTATTTTGGCTTTGTCCAGCAGGCGTTACATCAGCCGAAAACACGGTTATGAAAAAAACAAAGAAAAGCATTGATTTTTAAAAAATGATTTTTTAGATGATATAAACACATTTTTTTTGATGGTTTAATATTTTTAAATGTTATAATTGTTAAATTAAAAAATTAATATTTTATAATTATAATTAAAATGTATTAACATTATAATAACGTTTATATATTTTATTAAGTAAAATAATTTATTAGTATAAACTATATGTTAATTTTATTTATAATTCGAACTAACAATTTTAGTAATATTTTATTTTTACTAAAAAATGTATTAATAATGTTACTAAAAATTACAATCTAAAAATTAGTATTTTTTTTGTTATATATAACACTTAATTTGTGTTTTTTCAAAATAGTAAAAAAGAATTACTTTTTAGTATTTAAAAATGTGTTCAAAACAGTTTATAAGTAAAAATATAAATTAATTAATGAAAAACTGATAATAATATATAAAAACAATTAAAAGTATAGTTAAAATTATTATATAAAACAAGAGATTATATAAAAAAATCAAGAGTTAATAAAATTTAAAGTGTTGTTTTACTTTTGATTTATTGGATAAACATACAAAACAAGAAGAGTAATAAATAATATTGAAATGTGTGGTGGAACGGTGATAACGATGATGTAAGACCAAGTATTAACGACAGCACCTTAAAACCGCGTTTTTTAGTTTATTTTTTCAATCTCTCCTCTTCATAAATTAATAAATAAATCATAACGCAAATAAAATAATGAAATAAATCAGACACGTTACGCTCTTTGTAATCACGTTTTCATATTGTCAATATCTGATTTGCGTTTCATAATTCAGATCATCTCCATTCTCCTTAACTCGAAATTGTCAAGTAAAAGTATCTGATCCAATTCTCATCATTTACTGTTTGAAATTGCTTACAATGACACTGCACCGCCCCTCAACACAAAGCATCGCCAAACACATACCCACACACTCTACTGCCAAAAACTCATCGAAAAGAGAAAAAAATCTAAAAACAAAAAATAGAAAATCACAAAATTCACAAAAAAATGAAACCCGACAATCTCCCATCACTTTCCAACTCTCAATTATTGTCAAAGGCGCCCAAACTCTCACTCCCCCCTCTTTCCACCCCACTCAATCTCGCTCCCATCTCTCTTCACTCTCTTGACGCCACACCCTCTCAATTACTCAAACAAAAGTCAAGCGAGAGTCAAGCGCTTCCTTCCTTCTTTGGCAACTCCGAACGGGCAAAGGCCGTTCCGGTTGCGAAGCCAAAGACGAAACGAAAGAATGCTGTTCTAGAAGAAATGGAAGAAGAGCCGACTGAGATGCATTATGAATTAAGAAAACGAAGTCGACAGCCCTCTGCTTTAATAGATGAAGATGATGACATTGACGAAACGCTTGAGAAAAAAAAGAAAGAAAAGACGTATGAGAATGGGATACCCGATAGTATCGGCCAACCGAAGATCTTAGACAAAATCATTGGCATCAAAGAGGAGAATTCCCAGAGATTTGTTCTAGTGAAGTGGCGAGGGATGTCGTACCTCCACGTCGACACGTTACCGGAGAATGTCTTTCTGACGATGGACGGCAATGTGAATGCGAACAAACAAAAGATCAAGCGCTTTCTTCAGAAGAAAAAGGAAGAAGAAGAGGAAATGATACCTCAAGAGTATACGACGATCGATCGAGTCATCTCGATGAGTAAAGACAAAACGCGCTGTTTAGTGAAGTGGCAGAAACTTGGGTATAACGAGGCGACGTGGGAGAACACGGAGGAGATAACGGAGAATGACGGGAGTAAAATAGAGGAGTATTACCGGTATAACAACTATCAATTTGTCCAACCGTTAAAGGAGCGAGTGTGGAATAAGAAGATAGAATCACCGGTATATAAGAACAATAACACGCTTCGATCGTATCAATTAGAAGGGCATAATTGGATGGTATATAACTGGTGTAAAGGGAGAGGTTGTATTTTGGCTGATGAGATGGGGCTTGGGAAGACAGTCCAAGTTGTTACGTTTTTGGAGCATCTCCATTCGTATCAGAAGTTACATGGACCGTTTTTAATAGTAATGCCGTTGGGAATGGTAGAACACTGGCATCGAGAGATCTCGGAATGGACTGATTTGAATGTCATATTGTACTCGGGGAGTAAAGAGAATAGGAAATTGGTGAAGAAGTATGAGTGGTTCTATACGGACGAAGAAGGGAATAAAAATACAAATCAAACGAAGTTTAATGTCATGGTAACGACTTACGAAACTTTAATAGCAGATTTTGAAGATCTCCAACAGATCAGCTGGTTTGTGGTAGTCATCGATGAGGCACAACGACTCAAAAATAAAGACTCGAAGTTACTCAAGACGTTAAGCTCGTTGAAGACAGACCACAAGATCTTGTTGACGGGAACACCTATACAAAATAATTTGGGAGAACTGTGGACACTCCTCAACTATATTGAACCAAAAAAGTTTGGGTCGTTGGAGGAGTTTGATAAAATGTACGGGAATATCGATAACAACCCGGAACAAGTCACTGAATTGCAAAAGAGCATTAAACCGTTTCTGCTGAGAAGAGTCAAGTCGGATGTCGAGAAGTCGATACCCCCGAAGGAAGAGACTGTTATAGAAGTAGAACTGACAATGGTGCAGAAACAATATTATCGAGCTCTGTATGAAAAGAATCGAGAGTTTCTGAATAAAGGGTGTGTTGGAAGTAACATGCCAAATCTGCAGGTTTGAATCTATTCAAAAATAGTATAATATAGTATAATACTATATTATAGAATTAATTTACTAATACAATAGAATTTAATGATGCAACTGAGAAAGGTGTGTAACCACCCCTATTTAATTAGTGGAGTGGAGGAAAAGGACACTGCACAGTTTGCGGAGAACAGCGAGGAATACTTCAAACAACTTATTAAGTCATCGGGGAAGCTTGTGTTACTGGACAAGTTGTTACCGAAGTTGTACGAAGACAAACACAAAGTGTTGATATTTAGTCAGTTGAAAAAGGTGCTGAATATCATCGAGAAATATTTGAAATACAAAGGATACTTGTATGAACGACTTGATGGAAGTATTCGAGCGCTGGACCGACAGAATGCGATTGATCGATTTATGAATCCCGAGATGAATAAATTTGTGTTTCTCTTATGCACGCGAGCGGGAGGATTTGGTATCAATTTGAGTGAGGCGGACACCGTTATCATCTACGACAGCGACTGGAACCCCCAAAACGATTTACAAGCGCAGGCGAGGTGTCATCGTATTGGACAGAAGAAGGAGGTGAAGGTGTATCGACTTGTATCGAAGAACACGTATGAGAGATACATGTTTGAACGAGCGTCAAAGAAACTTGGGTTGGACCAGGCGGTGCTTGCAAATGTGACGTCTTCGAATGACTCGAAAGAGAAAACGCAGTTGAGTAAAGCGGAGATTGAGAGTTTGTTAAAGTATGGAGCGTATGGGGTGTTCAAAGATGATGAGGAGTCTTCGTCGAAGTTTTGTGAGGAAGACATTGAACAGATTCTTGAAAAGAGGTCGTCGAAGGTTGTTTGGAAAGGCGACAGTGTGACGGGTGGTTCTTTTTCGACTGCGACGTTCCAAGTCGAGGCGGACGCTGTTGATGTGAATGACAAGAACTTCTGGGAGAAAGTCCTACCGCGGAACATGAGTGTGAGTGAATTGAGCAAAGAGTTCAGTGATATCTTTGAAGGACGTGGTGGGAGAAGTGCGGAGAAGAAACGCAAAGTGTGGATGGAAGAGAAGAAAGATGAGTTTATGAAAGAGATATTTGGGCATATTGACACGATAGTTGGGGAGTATGAGAGCAAAGGGAAGATCAGTAGTGAGCGTGATGCCCTCAATGCGTTGATTGAAGACATATTGAAATATTCCGAATCCTTTGAGACGAGTGAGGTGGAGAGATTGAAGGGAGGATTGGAGGGGTTGAAATTTACACGATATCGACGGAGCACCGTGAATCGGATATCGAGTGCGACGATAGGAGATGAGTTAACGAAAGACGAAGAGATAGTTCTTGAGATAGGGAAGAAGAAAAGGAAGAAAGAGGTGAAGGAGGAGATGAGTGAAGAGAATAAACGGATGTGGTACGATGCAGTGATAGACTATGGACGAATCAACTGGACGATACTCAGAGACCGAGCGCGTGTAGGAGAAGAAGTCAATCAGGAGTACCTGCACGTCATCAGTGTCCGTTTTCTTCAGAACTGCATTGGGTCTTGTTCTGAGCAAAATCTCGAGAAGAAGTATTTTGTGAAGCTGTTGGTGTGCTTTTATGAGTTGAAAGGGAAACGTGAGAGCGAGGTCAGTGAGATAGAGGAATATCCTCTTGAGGACGAGTTCCGGTGGATAGCAAGTAACGTGAAGTCGTGGGGAAACAAACTGAAATTCATTAATCGGCTGTCGACGCTGTTTGAGAATTCTGCGGACGTTGTTAAAGCACTCATCGAGATCCCAAACGAGAACTGCAACTTCAATCAACTGACAAAGTGGTGGAATAACGACTGTGATAAGGACCTTGTCATTGGGATCTACAAATACGGATTTTCATGCGGAGAATATTTGCAACAAGACAAGAAGTTGTGTTTTGCTGAAATGATGCAACAAGACGAAGAAGATGACCACGGCAAAGATGATGAAAGTGAAGACGAAGATGGGATTAATTTTGTCGTTAAACTACCGAAAGAATTTCCAAACGCAAAAGACCTCGATAGACAGGGAAGGTCAATCATCGCGTGGCTTGACAAGTATTTGAAAAAGATGAAAAGAGCTGATGATGATGATTGACTGTGTTTTCTTTGATTTTATTGATGGGTAGTTACTTCTTTATAAGAAACTATATCAATAGAAATCTTATACATGGTTTTAATATAATATAAATGTTATTAAACTACTAATTATTTGTATAATACATTTTAGTAAATTTTATTATAATCTTTAATAATCGTTTTTATCATAATTTCATGAAAAAAGAATAGATGATAAATATAATAAAATGTATTAATAATAATAATACAATAAAGAGCACCTCTCTATTATTATTATACACCAATACACTATATCTTATTAAGGAATAACAAAGAATAGTTAATATATTATAATTAATCAATCATCATCTTTCCCATTCTTGATGTCAAGAAGTCTTTTTTCAGTTTGGTCATCATTTTCAAGTTCTTCTTCGTCGCTCTCCAGAAAACTTTTTGAAAGTGTTACAGGAAATATCTTTATCTGGTCTCCTCTAAATATGTCTAACCTTTCGCGCTCTTTCAAAACGTTCTGATATGCGGACATGAGATTTTCATGTTCAATTGAATCTCTTACATACAATTTCTTTGGAATACTGGAAATGAATTGTACTATATTTTGATGATAAAACAAACTATATTTATAAAAAAGTGTTGTTTATAGTAAATTGTATTAAACTGTATAGTATATTTAATTATAAAATATAATACAATAATAAAAACAAACACGACAGTATAAGTGTTACCTTTCTGGATGAGGTCATACTTCTTATCAGATATTTTGAGCGAGATATCACCGTTTTGAGTATATTGTAGTCTAGCGTTTGACCTTACGCCGTCGTAATATATTTTGAGTTGATTGTCAAACTCTGTTTTAGAGATCGGCTGTGTATTTCTTAGGAAAAGTTCCTCATTCAGTTTTTCAGTGAAAACCTCCGGAGTGGGAAACAAAACTGTGACTACACGAACACTGTTTGTCACGCTGTCGTAAGCTCGGAATTTCATCTCACACGTCTCTTTAACTTCTTGTGTCATTTGATCCTTCGAAGTTCTTGATGAGTCATCAAACAATTTATAGTTTAATTATAATTAATCTAATAATACATACTCATCCATTTCACAAACTAGTTTAATAATAAGTAAACAAATACTAATAATTAGTACATTTACATGAATAGTTTAATTATAGTTAAATAGATAATACATACTAGTAAAATTAATCAAATCCATTAGTTATAGCTGTTCTTCTGTAAGTTGTAAATATTGAAAGGGGAGACAATAACAGGTTGGTCGACGATCTCACAAAAGTGTTGAGCGAGGAGGTCATACCTATTCAAGTAATTAGCAGTAATAGCAAATGAAGTGATTTTAGTCATTAAAGGAGGTGGGATGATCATACCCGAGAGACTATGATACGAGAAGAGAGGCCACTCGACCTTCAAACGGTATTGATTCTGAACCATTCCGACCTTTGTTCTATCTTCTTTAGTCATATAACTCTGTATGAAACAAATTTCTTCGTCGAGTTGAGAAGCGTGGTTAATGAGTTCGTAGAGGTCGTCCGACATTTTAGCGTCGAATTGGATAGTTGCTGGAGCGATGAAGACGTAGTCGAATTGAGCGAGCTGTTTATTCTTTGATGCTTCGAAGAGGTAGTGATTGATTGTGATATCTTCTTGATATTGTTGATATGTGTATTGCTCTTTATTGACTGTCTGATATTCAAATCCAAATATTCCGATGTAATACCCTTTAGATGGCCACCAATTGTTCTTAGTAGTGGTATCATAACTCAGTACCGTGAAGTTCATATGACTGTGTTTTGGGGTGTGTGTAACTCTCATTCCAGGAAGTGGTAACACCGCAATATTATATTTCTTTTCTTCTTTTGGAGAAGGGATGGGATACGTCATTGGACGAATCAGTGGGTTATACGCCGTTTCATTCACCTTCGGAAGATTGTCCTTCCTCTTCTCCATTTCTTCGTTGTCGCTCAGATTGCTGTCACGAACATAATTTTTATTGTCCACAAGAAGTCGCCTTGGACTAAAGAGGGTGAGTTGTCCCACTAAAAATATTAACACCAATGTAGAGAATAAGACCAAACATTGATTAATTCTCATTCGTTTGTTTTTTTCGAGTTACTTTTTCTTGTTCTTTTTATATTGTGTAGTTTCTATTATTATAAATGTACTATTATTCTGGTTTTTGTATGACATTTTCTTCCATAGAAAATGTGTTTTATTTTAATATTTTTTTAATTAATGTATTAGTATAATTTAATTCTCCATTTCTCTCGGTCAAATCAAATTATAAATTATAATAAATTTACTATATAATTATAATACAAGGACGAGTGAAAGTGAATAAGACGGAGATCAAAAGTTAGTTATAAAACGCTCACAACTTCTCAATGAGTTTCTTGAAAGAGACTTTTTCATTGAAGGACTTCTCGTCCATCAGTTTCTGTGCAAGTTCGGCTTTTTGTTGAGGAGTCAATTTGGTCAAGTCTTTTGGATAATCAGCGAGTGTTTTGTCGATTTTAGACATCCACTTTGGTTGTTTGTTTTTGTAGTCGTTTAAGAACTTCTTGCACGGCGCGACTTGTTTTTTCTCGGATATTGTCACGTTATATTTGCATTTTCGGTATCCGTTAGTAACCATTGAAAGTGTAGTTTGTTTCTCAGCCTCGACGATCACCTTTGTGTTCCGCATTTTCTCACGAATATCTTCCATTTTAAGGTCTACAGTCAATTTCTCGAATTTGGTGTTTGTGGTGTTCTGCGGAGTTTTCTTTTCGCATGGCTTCTCGTTCAATATCGCTTTGCCTAACATCTCCTGCACTTCCTCTTTCGCCTCTTTGTAAATACCTGCGTTTGCAAGGACAACTAATACTAAAAAGATCATTGCGCTAATATAATACAATTTTTAAGATCAAATTGTGTTTTTGATTTTCCAAAAATCATAAAAATATCATTCCTAGTATAAAATAGTATTGAAATAGTTTTTTATTTGTTAATATATTTACTAATAAATATGAATATAATAACTAGTAAGGAAATAACAAACTGAATAAATAGAATGGAACGGGTCGGCAATGACTTGGAGACATTTTTGATGAACTTCTCGCACACAGAACAACCCTCCATTGAGTACAAGACGTACATGTCCATCTACAAAGATTGTACACGAAAAGACGTCACTAAAGTTGTGGATGCACACTTCGCTTTTTTTAAAAAAGAGAGAGCACCAGAAACTCGCTTTGTACTTTCGCAGTTCAGAACTGTCGTTTTGACAAGTGACGTATTTCTACAAAAACAACCCTCCTTCCATTCATCTGTTTTAGACAGACTCATTGCAGTCTGGGTCAAGTCCAAAGAAAACGTGTTAATATCCGATTTCCAAGCGACTATTGAAGTCGTTATAGCCATATTGCATTCCGAGAGTGTTTTTTGTTCTAAAATCTACCCTGTTCTCCACCAACAGTTTTGCGCCGAACAGCAAAACAAACGCATTTCAGCACTTCAAATATTTTCCTTCGCTATTACAAAGTGTTTGAGTTACCATTTTTCCAACAACATGGCTCTCCACAAAACATTGGTATATTTACAGAAGAGTGGACACAAACAGATGCCAGAACTGGTATTTTTCTCGATCAAATTTCTCGATGTGCTGGCCACGAAGTTGGTTTTGTCGCCAAAATTTGTTTCTTTAATTCCAAATTATCTCAACTTAATTTCACAATGTTTCAAACCCTCAACACCACTCATCCTCCAACACACTGTTTTTAATTCATTGAGCGAGATTAAAAACTCCGATTCGGATTTGTTTAGACTTAACACCCAAACCATTGTCACATTCAGTGTCACCATTGCAGGTAACGAAAACTTCAGTTACTCCACGGTCGAAAAAGCCATTTCGCTGATTATGTGTTGTATCAACATTTCTCCAAAACTTCTTGAAACGAACAAAACTCTCGGGCAACAGTTGTTAGAAAGCTACATTCTCATTATGAAGAAAGTCCCCAAATACACCGAGGAGTGGCTTTGTAATAAAGACGAAGGGGAGGTTTGTCCCTTTTTAAAACTGCATACAGACACGTTCGGCTTGGTGGTTGACAAGGTTGGTGTATCTCAAGTCTTTTCAAAGTTGAAGATGTTGGTAAAGAATGCTTCGGGTTGGTCCGATCGTCAGGTCATTCTGCAAATGATCAACGGCATATTAAATTCCAACGTTGTTCTTAAGAAGTACTACAAGGGTTTGGTGGAGATAACATTACCGATGTGTACCGACGAAGTCGTGCGGAATCGTCAGGACGCGATGATCATCATGCAGAGGATCTTTCGAAACGATTGCAACCACGATGACTATCTCTCCGAGTACATAAGGGTTGGGTATCTTGCTTTACATGATACTGTTGCTCGGATGAAGCAAAGAGGATGCAACCACCTCATGTCCCTTTTGGATTGTGATGTTCCACTTACGGATGATTTGTTTTACATCTTAATAACCAATATTCTCGACGCTCTTCAATCAACTCGTTCCGACATTGTGATTAATGGATGTATGGATGTTCTCACAAAATTATTAAAATACAAATTACTCAAAAACTGTAATAGTTTATTAATGGTTACAATTACTAACATCATGAGAGAGGCGGAACCGTGTCATTCTTCATGTACAATAAGGTGCATGATTATCAACTTTCTTGTGGTATTTGCGTCTACATACAAATCACAAGAGGCTCAGTGTCAGGCAATTTTGGTTGAATCAATGGAGTGGATATTAACTGTCAAGGGCGTTGAATACTGGTCGCCGTGTTTTGAGATTTTGGAAATTGCCACAACATACTTCATGAAAAACTCAAAACGCATCTCGTCAAATATGATTGACAGAATGATTTGCAATCTCGCACTCATCGAGGCGGAACGAGCAAAAATAAAGGAGCAGTTTTTTGAGGACGATTACGAGCAAAGTGTGCTCTCAGAGTTCTCGTCGGACCCGAGCGAATTACATTCGCGGTGCAACGTTATGACCGGCGAAAATTTCAAAGTGTACGCTTCACGCGACAAAGAAAAGAAAAACATGTTTAACTTTGTTGTAAAGTTTGTTAGAAAGAACGAGGCCAGAGTCAAGAAGTATATTTCCTCGTTTTTTATGGTGATGATTATTGGGTTGGATAACGTTAATGCCGACGCAAGAATGCAGCCAATAGCCGTTTTGGGGCATTGGCTTGATAAGTACTGGAATGTATGTCAAAACAAGCCTGAAGTTGTCAACGGGATAGTCGCCAATTGTATGATGCACATGGGCCAAGAAGTAGCGGTAAATGAGAGAATACAAATGATCAATTTGGTGACAAAAGCTCTTGAAAAGGGGCCGGAAAACATTTTGACCGAAAAAACCGTTGAACAAGTGTTTGATGATATTTATTGTATGTTGAACGATATGATAGACGAGAAGGAAAATGGGTTTAAGAAATACACGGACTGTTTCATTAAGAAAATTCCATTGGAAGAGTTTGTGTTGACCACACTCATCCCGTTCTTCAAAATGCTCTTTTTGAAGTGCAATTTGTTGTACGCAAAGTACGCCAAAAAGACTATAAAATATACAGTAATGAACTATTGCAATTTGACAGAACAACCAGGGGCCTGTGATTTGGATCCGTTGATGGTGTATATCGGAAGTAATTTGTCCTTGGCAGAAATTGTAGACCACGAAATGCTGGGGAACTTTGTTATTAAAGCGATCGAGAAAACAAACGACGAACAAGCACTGAACGTATACTTAACAACTTTGTCTGGTGTGTTGTACAAATACACAATGAAGAGTATCTCTTATGACATGAAAGCAAAATTGGAACAAATTATGGGCTCGAGAAATGGAAATCAGAAAAACAAAACGTATGCGGCGGTTATATATGGCATCGCGATGGTTGATTGCTCGAGCATTTTTACGATTGAAAATGCGTATATGTGGCTATCACAACAACCCCTTGTCGACCATCCATGTCACAACCTCAAGGTGTTTTGTTTGCTTCTTCAAAAGTTTGTTTTTTGCTCATTTCCAACCGACTCACAAATAGAACTTTTATCACTTATACGGAAAAGGTGTTAAAAATCTTTTGCTCGATGTTGGTGCGATACCTTGTGCCTGAAAACAGAAATCTTATTTCAAAAGATGTGTTACGTATGGTGAAAGACACATTCGACAATTGGTCCACCACAAATCCACAAATGATCTCCTCTGTGATTAGTTCTCTTTCATTACAAGACCAGTCGAAAATCACCTCGCTGGAGAATTGGTTGAAATGATTGTATTGTTATTCTCGAGTTGTTGTGTATTGGTAACACAGCAATAACGCAAACATTCATCAAATTCATTTATAGTTTAGAGATATTGAGTTGTTGTGTTTTCGAATTTGCCAAACTGAGTATCGTCGTTGTTCGTTGTATCGACGACTTAATCTCCTTGATCCTCCTGACGTAGTCCTCGTTTTCTTCTTGGAGTAGGAGCAACCTCTCCATCATAAAGCTATGCATTTTTGTTGACGAGTCGATGATTGGTCCAAGTTCGAACTTCCTAATGAAGTTGTCATTCTTCCTTGAGCACGTGAAGACCTTCTCAAACACTTCTGACTTCCCCATAGCGTCGAGTTCCGTCTTAAATTTCGACAAAAATGGTTTAATCGAGTTGAACAATTCGAACGAGACTTGTTTCTGGATATTAAAGTTGATGCCCACAACCTCTTTAGGCCGCAGAGGTTCGCACTGACATATTTCGTTAAACACAAGTCTCATCGACTGACAAAATCCACTGCACGCTTGAATGACATATTCCGATAATTGGTCTTGCGAGCTTCTTCCGTTGACAATCATCTGTCCGAACCTGACAATGGTTTTAATTTGTTCAGCGATTTGTGGGAGTTCGTGTGCGAGTTGTACTGGGACGTATTGTTTTGCGTTGTTAAGAGCGATGAATAAGTACCGTAAGAAGAAGACTGTTTTGTACGTATTATAACGAACGGTCAAATTGGGGTCCTTTTTTTTCACCTCGAACAAGATGTCCCGTAATATCCCGACGACCTGTAACGGGATTTTATTGAAGTTTGACAACAATAATTTTCCTAAGACGTCCATTACAGCAGTGACGCTATCTAAATTCTCAAACAACAAATTTTCATTGTCGGACTGTGTTGGGTCTATCGACTCAAAATAGAGTTTTGGGTCGTCGATCATTTTTGCTACGACACTTCCTATAACGGCCTCTAAAAAGTCTTGTGTGGAGGACTCTAAGTAATAAAAAAAGAGCCGAGTGAACGCGGAGTTCCCACGAAAGATAAAGGAAGCGGGTGGTGTCGAGTTTATCTCAATTCGAGCGAGTGAGATGATCATCTCTTTGAGAAACCCATAAGCGGTGGCGTACCGAATTAAATTGCGCGAGTTGATGCGACCTTCGATTAACTCGACACCCTTGATCATGATTTTACAATACGCAAATAACATGGGCTGAGGCTCAGTTGTAAAAAAAGTCTTTTGTAGGCAGGGGCAATCTGAATCACTCATGAAAAAATGAGAGTTCACAGTTTTATGTTTTCTGTGTATTTTCTTGGTTTGATGTTTTGAGTATTTTTTGCTTGCAAACTGGTTTTCGATGAAGAACACAAAATGTTTTTTGTCATTTTATTTATAGTGTTTGGAGACAATTTAAGATTGTTTTCACCAATTTTCGTCGATTTTGCAATTAGGGTTATTGTCCTGATTATTTAGGCATTTCATTTTGATTAATTTGGATCGTGAATGTGATCGAGAAAAAGTGAAAATGGAAATTAAGTAAATAATTTTGTCGTTTGCTTTTATTCAATTAATAATTTAATTAATTTTAATAATTATAGTATTTAAATTAATAAATTAAATTCTTTTATATTTTTTAAATAGTTTTTGATTTGAGTTGTTTTGAGAAAAACAATTCCCGAGTTTACTTGCAAATTCTATATCAATTTCGAATAACATTTTTCTTCTTATTTTCACCAAAATTAATGGATGTGTTTTATATTATATTTAGTTCTTTCAAAATTAAAAAATTGAATTAAAAAAATTATAATAATAAATTAAATTAAAAAAAAAAGTTTTTTTAATTTTGTTAAAACAAAAAAAAAACAACTTAACAATTTTACAACAAATAAATGTTCTTTGAAAACAAAATTAATTTTTACTTTTTGTATTAAATAATAAAAAATTTGAAAAAAAAATATAATAATTAAAATAATTTTTTTAATAAATTTGTATTTTAAATTTTTGTAAATTATTATGTTATTAAAATGTAAATAATATTTTTTTGTTTTTTTTAACTATTGGAATTAATAAATATTATTTTATATATTTTATTATATCCATCAAATAATAAGAGTTTTATTATTAAAAAAACAAATTTTATAGAAATAATTGATAATAAAATAGTTTAATTGATTTACCATTCAAATAGTAAAACTATATAGATCTAATATAAATCTATAATATATTTTATAAAAGATAATTTAACTCTCATTAAATAAATAATTTGTTAAATAAAACGAAGAAAAAGAGAGAATTGAACTTTGAAAAATAAAAGACAAAATCATGTCTCAAGATCACGTGATTAAAACCGGAACGGTCAGCATATATATTAACGCAAGTGGTATCAACGTTGTCCCGAATACGGACACTGCCCCAGACGTGGCATCCATTACAATTGATCAGCCTTTACGGGGTGAACAAGCCGAACAAGAACCTTCTTTATCATCCATTACAAATCTTTCCCCATCCAATCCCCCAACACAAACTATCGCAGAGAATATTGATCTATCTGATCTTCTTAAACAACTTGAAGAAATCAAACTCCGCACAGATGACATTGTTAAGGAGAAAACGGAACTCTGCAAACAGTTGGGGATATCAATTTAAGTTGTTCTTTTAATTTACTTTAAATCTTAGTGTCGTTATATTTTATATAATATAATGAATTTATATATCGATTAAGTACATTGTATATACTCGAGTTAAATACTAATAAATTATAGTTAAATACTAATATATGAATAATTAACTAATAATTATTGAATAATATATATATAGTTAAATAATAATAAATTATAGTTTAGACACGGATTTTTCACTTTCTTGGTTTTCCTGATTGCTGACGCTTTGTGCGTCAGCGGGAAGTGTCGGCATGAACTGCATGACATGTGACAAGTCGATTGCGGAAGGTGGGACCGAGAAATTGTTTTGCGTGACTTGGTCGAAGAGATTTTTATGAATGATGTCGATGGCCTCACACGTCGTTTGATTTTTGACGTCCAAATACCAACAGTTTGTTCCGTCGAACATAACGAAGAATTCCAATCTTCGTTGTGGAGGTGTTAAAGTGTTGATTGAATATTGTTTGACTGGGCCTTCTTCACTATTAAAAATGAATTGATTTCCTATGATCATGTCGATCATTAAATTGACTGTTTTGTTTTTGACGTATTGAGTAATTCGACGTTCTTGGTCTTTTTTCCCTTCACCGATTTTTAAAGAGTAAGCCTCCGTTCGAATATCTTCATAAGATAAGACTATTGCACCACTGGGATCTATTATTTTGGAAATGTGAATGAAGGGAAGAACACTTTTTACTACAGTCTTCTTGGGACGTGTTAATACAAAGGAATAGCCCATACAATCTAAAACAGAAAGATAGACTATCTCCCGCCGATTCTCATTCTGAACACTTTGACTCTTCCTCTTGACGACTTTTAATCGATTCAGCTGCTCTTTGGTCAACATTGGGGCGGTACTCATCAATCGGAAGATTTGCAGTTCCTCAACGGTTTAATAGTTTTTGAAATGTTTTTATAGAAACTTCATCTGATTTGTAAATACCACAGGACATTGGCTATTTTTTATTGTCCCATTCGCGTGGATTTTTTTGAAAACTGTTCATATTTTTTATTTGTTTGTTGCAACAGTTAAATTATAATAAATGGTAGTAATTTTAATTATATTTTCATCTCTTTTTCAGAATATCTATTTTAAAATTGAAAAAAGCAAAAACACTGGAAAATCACAGTTTTGGGAAAATAATTGTTTCACCAGAAAAAGTGAATATGTACTGGGATAAAACACCGTTTACAATCATCACGGTTTTTAAAAAAATAAAACTCAAGTGATCTATTGATTATCATTCGCCTGATTTTTTTTATTTAATTAATTAGTATTGATTGGCTCTTTTCTACCACTTGAGGTTTTCGAATTGAGAAATGTGGTTTGTTTTGGGGACAAAACTCAATGTTAATATTATAACTTTATGGTTATTTATTAATCACATGACAATTGACTGTTCTTCATAAAAAAACAAGTGTTAAAATGTTATTTTATATTGTATATTGTAATTAAAACAATAGTTAGTTGAATTGGAGTAGCATTTATTTGAATTACAATTCAATAACGATCTCGTTCCGAATTTGTCACTATTTAAACGTTTTTAATATCAAAAAGCGCATAATGGTTATTATTATAAATAGTTAATAAAACAAGTAAAAGTACCCCAATTATTATATTTTTAATATATTATTATTATTTTTTTAATATGAAGAAATGAGAATTCTTCTCATAATTATAATAATAGAATGAGTATGGTATTAAAATAATTAAAAAAAAAATCGACAACATTACTAAACACAGAAGTCACCAAAATAATAGATGTCTCTACAAAAATATTTTGTCACTTTTTCTCTGACCTTTTTGACTTTATTATTCATTTGAGTAAAAATAAGAAGCAAAAGAATGAATATAACAAATGTTCTGATTTTTTACTATAAATTTTACTATTCAAATTCCAAAAATTGTCGTTTCAAAGTCACGAAAACATTTCACATATTATAACAAAAACGTCAACTTTCAACACTCTCTTCCATATATTAATCTTTAATAATAAAAGAATTAATAGCAATACTAATAAGACAAACAAGAGTGAATTAACAGAGTGATAGACACTAGATTTACAACTTGACGAGTTTAACCCATTTACTCTCGATTTCCTCGACCTCTGGAGATGAGCAGGAAGAGTCTTCGTGAACGACGTCGAGTTCGACTGAGCAGAACTGTGTGAAGTCGTTCTTCTTATCTAAAAAGAGTCTTCGTCTGTTACGTTCGGAATCGATGTCGACAGGTTTTATATAGAGTGACTGAAGATCTTCCTTCTTCCCAAATAGTAATTTACTCGTCGGAATAAACGGCTTTGATGTTAAACATAAGTTGTGGTTTGTTGTGATGCGCGACGCCATTGTCTGATTATTTCGTTTTCTTTTTTTTATACTCGTTGAGTTCTGCGTTGATTTTTTTGACACGCAAAAAGGTTTTTCGTTTCGGAAGTGCCACTTTCTGCCATTTGTTTTTTTTTTCTTGACTTTTTTCTTCTCTTTTTTTCGTTTTTTCTTTTTTGTAAAATTTTTTCTTGTTTTCGTGAATGTAATAGTATGTTTTCATTATTTTTACTATTAATTGCATGACAACAAAGGGTAATAAAATTATTTTGAGGAAAAATAAATAAAAAAATAAGAAGGCGTTTGTTTGTTATGGTCAACACGCGGAGACCATTTGGATAAAAAAAATAAAAAATAAAATCGAGAAATGGAGTTTTGGGCACCAAATCAAGTGTAGTATAAAATTACACCAAAAAGTTAATAAAAATCGGGATAATGTGGGTTTAATAACATCTTATTTTCTGCAATTATATCTTTATTTGGATGATGTAAAATGTCATAAAAAGAAAAAACGATCTTAATTCAGCACCTCGACACTTTTAGCTCTTATTTTCGACCAATCATATTATAATTCATATTATTTAAAACCCCAAATTGTTTGAATCTAATAACAATATTTTAATTTAAATTATTAAACTAGAACTTCACAATTATTTTAATAGTATAATAGTTTAAAAATAATATATCATTAATATCTCTATTTTTTGATTGTTTATTATTTATTATAAAAATAACCCAAATCATAATAGAATTAAAAACCCCAGAACCCGTTTTATTTGATTTAAAAAATTCTGAGATGGCTATTCACAATTTCAGAGAAATCATCAAATGTCAATTACTCAAAAAAGAAGACTTCATACCTAACAAAAACTATATGAAATTATACAAAAACTCTATTTTAACTTTTGAACCATGTGTTGTTATCAAACACGAACTTCTCACCCAATCCTAATTTTTTTTTTGTTTTCTGTAAACGACTTTTATCAAAGACAAGAGTTAACGCCTCTGACTTCTCTCCCGCTTCCCCAACTATTTGCCCAAGTTCATTCACAACAAAAGAATGCCCACTAAACTCGATGCCAAGTTTATCAACTCCAATTCGACTTGTACAGAACACCCATACTCCATTTTCAATAGCACGTGTAGCGGCTAACGCTTTAATAGTGTGAAAAATTTTCGAGCCATAATTAATAGGACAAACGATGATGTCATAGTCGTTTGCGTCTGTTCGCCGAATGAAAGCGGGGTACTGGATGTCATAACAAATTGCTAAGAAAATGCGAACTCCTTTGTAAGTCACAACAACACGCAAGTTTCCTCGAACTAATTGGTTTTCACAGCCAAAATGATATAAATGTACTTTGTCGTATTTGGAAAGAAGACCATTTTTATCCACTACTATGACTCGATTGTAATATATCCCTTCATCTTCACATATAATACCACCTATAAAACTACAGTCGTACTTTTTACTAATGTCTTGTAGCTTTTTAATTATTTCATACCCACCTTTGGGATGTGCTATTGTGTATAAATTAGATGAAAACCCCGTTGTAAAACACTCGGTAAGTAAATATAAGTCAGAAGGATGGCTGTCGACAAGGCGTTCGATCTCGGAAAATGTTTGTGAAAGAGTTGGATACACATCTGTTTGAATTAAAGTTATTTTAATCGACATCCTGAATTTGTCGGATTAGATCTTTCGATGAAATTGTGTCTATTTAAACACCTTTTAAACTCTTTTTTTAATGTTTTCTTTACAACTAAATCTAATTCGACCTTTAGACTAAATTGTTTTTCTATTGTATAATTTCAACAGAAATTTAATAATAATTTATTAAACAGAATAATTTAATCATTTAACAAATTTTAATTAATATAAATTCTGTTAATATTTTATAGTAATTATTATTCATTAAAAGTTGTAATAATATTACTATTAATTATAATTATAAGTGTTTTTAAAAAAAAAATTATTACTTTTAATAAGATAGATAAAAACGTTTGAAATAATTAGTAATAATTATTATCATTTAACTTCTTTTATTTGACTTGATATAAATATTATTTTTTCTCTTTTTATAATAACAATTAAATAACATTTAATTAAAAAACTCAATATTTATTGAACACACAAAACAAATATAATAATATAATTATATTATAATTAAAAAATAAAGTAAATAGAATGCCACTGTGTTAGACTGAAAAAAAAAGAGATGGACGATATAGAAGAAGAGGTAGTAGATTGTTATCAAGTACTTGGGATAGAGAAAACGGCAACGGACACCGATATTAAAAAAGCTTTTTATCGGATGTCATTAAAATATCATCCCGACAAACACCCGGATGACGCTGAAGCCCTTCAACATTTCCATGAAGTCCAAATAGCATACAAAACCCTTAAAGACCCGTCTAAAAAGTATATTTATGACACTTTTGGTACAAAATCAAAGAAAGAGATTACTGGGGAGTGTGAAGAAGTCGATGAGACTGGTGATATCACAGTTGATCAAATCATGAGTTATATGAAAGCGATGGGGATGAGTGGGGATATCAAAGAAGCCGAAGAGATGCTTGCCAACCAAAATTTCAAAATGGATGAGAAGAGTGTGAGAAAGGGGGGCTTGAGTAAAGAACTGGAACGAGCGGAAAAGAGTGGAGTAACGCGGATTGATTGTTCGAAATTGGTGATTCGAGTGGTGAAGAGGGAATGCCTCCAATTTATGAATAACTTCATTTCAATCGACTTTTCTACTAATTCTATTCGAAATATACCAGACGGATTCGGACTGCTTCAAAATCTCAAAATACTCATTTTAAATGACAACAAATTTGAGACAATCCCAGACGAAATCTTCTCACTCAACAATCTCGAGATCTTCGAAATGGAACGAAACCAAATATCAGAGATCCCGGACACAATCTTTAGACTTGAAAAGTTGAAAAAACTCAACTTCTTCTCAAATAAAATAAAGACAGTCCCAATCAGACTTTGTTTTGATCTTAAGTGTATTCAACGGATCGATTTGTCGTGTAATTTCATTAATGAATACCCAACGAGTAAAGAAGGTGTTGATTTGTTGTTGGATAAAGATATGAAAGGGGCAGTTAGTTCCGGTTCGCTCGTTGCGAAGTACTTTGCATCAGTGGACAAAAAGCCAAGAAAGAAGTCGAACAAGTGAAAAAATTGAATGATTCTTATGTTGTCAATTTTGAATCAAATTACACTGATTTGAATGATTTTTTTAATTCAAATTTAATTTATTTTTTGCATAGTTTTCGTTAAATTCTTTTACTTTCTTAAAATAAAACAGAGTCTGGGCATTTTTATTCCATCCATGAAAACAAACAAATACAGAACCACATTTTTTGGTTTATTTATCATTACTTATAGTTATTTCATTTAATTAATAATCAAAAATAACACAAAATAAGTTTGTCAATAATTAAAATTTTTTTTAATAGTTTTTTACCATTATATACCTATATTACTAGTTAATTGAACTAAAAAATGAGGAAAACAGGATCGACAAATAATAGGTAAAATCGCCAATAAATACCTAAAATACTTGATATTCCAAGATTTTTGGCATTAAATAGGCCAAAATAATATGCCATAGTACTCATGGACTTTCTGGTAAAGTATTTTTTAATAAAAACAGATTGAAGGCATTTCCATTAATTTGGTAACAATTATCATCAAATGAAACAATTAAAAAAAAAGAAATAAAACAAAAAACAAAACTCAAAAAAGTATCAAATTAATAGTTTTAATTAATAATTTTAGTAAAAAATCCTAACATTTGTTTTAAACGATAATAATAGTTAGATAGCATTATTTGGTAATCGAAGGTATACAACGCCATCGATTATTTTTAAAAAGAGTGAGTTATCAAATTTAAATACAGTTCCCACAAATCAGGCGACATTTCGTGTAAAGTACCCAACGAAAACAGTCAATAGTATTAAAAAGAACTTTAGAAAAACGAAGCAGAATTCCGCCCGAGCAGTCCACAATTCTAACGTTGATTCATCAGATGCTCCAGAAATAGAATACAATAAATATGGTTTATGAAATTATATATTATAGTACTTGAAGTCACAAAAATGGTTTAAAATAGGGTCAGCCATTTACAGACAGTGAATCCCGACACATTCCAAGTAAACCCAATGAATTAAGTATGAAACATTCCAATTTCCATTAGAAAACGCCTTAGTTTTGAGAAATATAAATTGTGTCGCAACTGTATACTAACAAACAATGGAAAACAACGATCAATACCAATTAAGCACTTGGGGAAGCTTATGGCGTTATATTGGCATTGAACGCCACGCCACATATGGCTATTATTACATGCTTGGCTATGCGAAAGCGACGGACTATATCGATTGGTCGTTGTACTATTTAGGGTTAAAGGACCAAAAACCGCCTTTAAAAGGAGAGACTCCCGAAGACTTCTACATCAGAAAAATCTATTCGACATCTTATGATTGTTTCAACCGGCCAATTTGTGGCTCTGCTGCAAAGGAAATTACCGTTGGGATCAGACGAGAAGTTCCCATTGAAAATATGAAGCACTTAGTCTTAGTTGATGGCGTCGAACGAGAAGCTTTGAACTTTGGGTCGTACAATTACTTAGGATTTGGTGGATTACACCCGATAGTCACTCCACAGATATTAAAGACTTTAAATACTACGGGAGCTACAATGTCTGGCTTTGCATCGGAAGGTGGCGTTTCCGCAGAACAAGAAGAGCTCGAGGAGTTAATGGCCGACTTCTTACACAAAGAGTCTGCAATCGTCGTTCCAATGGGCTTTGCGACTAACAGCACTTTGATCCCAATTTTACTTGGAAAAGGCGATGTCGTGTTTTCCGATGAATTGAACCACTCGTCCATCATCACAGGAATTAAAAGCTCCAATGCGGAAGTCAAAGTGTTCAAACACAACGACATCTCAGACTTGAAGAACAAATTGGAACTCCTCAAGACTAAAGGAATGAAAGACGGAAGTCAACCCAAAAAGGTGATGGTTATAGCGGAAGGACTGTATTCGATGGAAGGGCAATTTTGTCCGTTAAGAGAATTAATAGCACTGAAAAAGATCTATGGGTTCTATTTATATATAGATGAGGCGCATTCCATTGGAGCACTTGGAGAAACGGGAAGAGGTATTACTGAGCACTTGGGCTGCAGTTTTGAAGATGTTGATGTCTTGATGGGGACCTTTTCAAAGTCATTTGCTTCAGCTGGTGGGTACATAGCTGCTGATAAGAAGACGATAGAGTTATTAAAGTCGAATTGTTATTCATACATCTATGGATCAGCAATGTCACCGATTGAAGCGCGACAGATTATAGCGGCTTTGAACTTAATGAAAACAGACGAAGGCAAACAAAGAATCGCACAATTAAGAAAGAATTCCATCACATTCAGAGAAAAGTTGATACACGCCGGGTGCCACGTCTTAGGCGACCGAGACTCTCCTGTTATTCCAGTGATGTTGTATCATGCTGGTAAAGTGAAAGATGTCTCTCGAGGATGTTTAAAGAGAGGAGTAGCTGTTGTTGGAGTTGGATATCCAGCTTGTTCGATTACTGCGTGTCGAGTTAGATTCTGTATATCAGCCGCCCATACTGATGCTGATATGGAGAAGGCGTTCAACGCGACTATGGAAAGTCTTAAAGAGGTGGATTGTATCTTTGGCAACACACCACAGCCAAATGTCCTCTACACGGCCAAGAAAGTAGATATAGAAGAGCTTGAGAACGAGCCAAAGAACCCACGAACGATGACTCCACTGTATGAAAACTCAGACAAACGACCCATTTTGGAGAAAATAGAACGACCGGAGAAGACTTTGACTGATTTATGCACATATGACATCTATGGGTTTGGCCAAGACAAAGAAAGAACACAGATCTTAGAGAATGTCATCAATCACTATGGATGTGGGTCGTGCGGGCCAAGAGGGTTCTATGGGACGACTTTAGAGCATCTTTCTATCGAAGCAGAGTTGATGAAGTTCTATAATGTGAATGACGCTCTTGTGTATTCCTATGGGAATAACACATTAACGTCTGTTGTCCCAGTCTATGGACAAGCCGGAGACACTGTTTTAGTCGATGAGATGTGCAACTATGAGATTCAGTTAGGGTGTAGATTAGCAAAGAAAGCCAAAATTGTGAAATTCAAACATAACGACGTGCAAGATGTCATCAAGAAAATCGGAGAGATTAAAGAGACTCTAGTCTTCCCGGGAAGAATCGCTATAGTCACGGAAGGCGTTTTCAGAGCAGACTTCTCCCTTGCGCCACTTGCCGAGTTGTCGAAATTAAGAAAGAAGAATGTCTTGTTAATAGTTGATGATTCTTTGGGGGTTGGGGTATTAGGAGCGCACTTAAAAGGTTCATTAGAGCAAGCTGGGTTGACAGTGAATGATGTTGATGTGTATTGTGGGAACATGGAAATGGTCTGTGACACGATAGGTGGGTTTGTTGTCGGTAAATATTCGATGATTGACAAACAACGCCTCTTTGGAGCGGGATACATCTTCTCTGCTTCAGCTCCACCATTTACATGCCGTGCTGCTACATATGCCTTCCAAACGTTTGATAAAGAAGGTGTCGATAAAGGAATTGAATTACGAGAGAGACGCAAAGTGTTTGATCAAATGTATGAAGAGCGTGTGAAGAATGTGAAGAAGATAGGAGACGATAAGACTCCATATGTCTTACTTGATGCTCCCGACAATGAAAATTTGGTGAAGGTTTTAAGAGAAAATGGATTCTTTGTAGCACAACAAGTCCATTTAATAGAGGATTGGTGTCAAACCAAATACGTCCGAGTTAATATAGGACAGAGCTTTACTCCCGAGAAGATCAAGACGTTCATTGAAGTCTTAGCAAAGTTGTAATTCGAAGTTGTTTGAGTTTACTTTAAGTTTCTTTCATATTAAAAGAGTTACTGAAAGACTTGATTAAATGTTAATATATTCTCAAATAGGTTTGTCATTGAAGTAAACACTTTCTCTTTCTTTTCAAGCTTCTGTGAGAGTAAAACACCAATTTCAGTTTTGAATTGGACGGCATACAGTAATACACTTCTCCCTTCGATTTCTATCACTTCAGACTTCTTCTCTTCATCTTTGAGTGGTGTTGTATTGAGCCATTGTAAGATGACATCTTTCACATGTGCATTCTGTCCCGCTGGAAATGACGTGACGGGCTGGACAAATTCGATCTTTTGGAAATAGAAGAACGCGATGTGGTCCTTCACTACTTTCTCAAATTGCTTTTCAAAGAAGTTTGAGGCGATGTTAACAAGCCCCGACATCTTAGCAACATCACCAAGGGCTTCTAACCATTTATTAAACATTTTAAAGAGGGGATATACTGCAAACGTCCGCATCGATTGAGGTATTAACTCGTCACACCCTTGTAAATCGCTCTGAACCTCTTCTTTCCAACTCGAGAGAAGTTGCGTGACTTCGCCGTGAAGAACACCGACGTTGTAATAATCCCGTTTGCGTAACACACACGTCGCTTTCAATAATTTCCGGATGATCTTCAACTCGTTCAGAATGTTCCTCTTCAGCGCTACTAAATACAAATTCTCGCTGTCGACAATCTCCTCGACACGCTTCTCGTCATACAAAATTTTCTTCGAGAAGATGTCTTGATACGCCGAGTCGTTCTCGAGTGGCATTTTAAGGTTCTCAAGTGCCTTTGGGATCTTCGGGAAGATCTCGACTAATTGCGCGCGAAGCGCGATAATTCGCGAGAGGCCGGTAACGCATCGGACGAGTGGGGACTCATCGGTGTAGAGATCGCCCAATTTGTTTCTTAAGTTATTAAAATCTTTGACGAAGTCGTTATACTTCAAAAGGGGGGAGTTTGGGATCAAAGAGAGTAAGGTATACCACGACTTCTCTTGTTTACAATGTTCGAATAAGATGCCATATAATTGTAAAATACTGACTTGATGGACGACACCGCCCAAATTCCGATTCACCAGTCGTGCTCCTTCTTCGAAGAGGAGATTCCCTTCTAAGACGAGGTACGCACGAATGCGTCGATCGACTTCCATTCTATACTTATTAATAAACAGTTCTATTTGATTGTAGTTGTTTGAAATAGTAAAAATCAATAGCATCTAAACTATAATGAATAAGAAAGAAATTCTATTGATTTAATATGTAATATTAATACCGATAAAAATTCCGCCGTGGAGGATTCACTGTCGGATAGAGACTTATAACGGTTGTTGCTTCAAAATAGGGATTCCTGTTACTGTACACATCGTCAACTTCTATAACAGTCGGAGTCGTCGCAAACTGTTCTTCAGGAAGAATTGATAAGTCGACTTCGTGTGGGATTTTTTCAACTGGTTTTTGGGAAGAAGGCGCATCGTTATACTGTTTTTCATGTTGGAGAGGCTGCTCAATCTTCTCTTGAACGTTTTCATCTTCCGTCTCGGATTGTTCATTTTGTGATCCGCTAAGGTCCTTTTCCATAAAAATTCGCACTAATATAATCAGTTATTGATTTGTTAGTATATTTACTAGTTAATTACACTTATCAATAGTATCTACTATATTTACCACATTTAAACTATTAATTATAATAAAATAATATATAATTATTTAATATAATAAAAATATAAAACATTATAGTAAATAAGTTGATATACAATCAATTAATAGAAATGAAATGGATTTTGAAGAGATGAGTGAGATTATTCATAGTATCTTCTCTTCCTCCCTTTACTTTGATTGATCCAATATTGCAAAGTAGAAGAAGAAAGACCATAGTATTCTTCATATCGAGTTTCGAGTAAATAAGTAATGGTCTTTGATACTCCAATTTTTTGAGCCATTTTAACAGCTTGAATTTTTGATTCCATTTCCCACTTTCTCTTGTGAGTTTCTCGTTGTTGGAGACGAATTGGAGAGACTGGGACATTCTCACTTTTATCTTCACTTGTGGAGAACCCATTTACTACTTTACGATATCCTATAAACAATTGATAATTGTTAATATCACTGACTGGACGGAATGCTGATTGCATAACACTGAATAGATGAAAAAAAAAGAGTTCGGTTTTTATAGAGTATTCCAACTCTGTGTTTTATTTTATTGAACGCAATAAATTTAATTAAAACGTTTCTTCTTCAAATGTCTATCACAGACTTTTCTTTCTTGTAAATACTCTTTTAGTTGTATTTGTTATAATTCTTTTATACTTTTTTTACTATCACTTCTGAAAAGCATTTTTCTATGGAAGTTTCTTGGTTTTCAATCTTTTTTTCTCAAAGCAAAATAGAGAAAAAAATCACTCATTTTAGCAGCGTTTTATTTTTAAATTTAAAATTTCGTTGATAAAAAAAAAGAGCATGATGGCTTTAATTATCTTTGAAAAATGTTTAATTAATGAATTATTCCAAATAGATTAAAAAAAACACTAAATTATTGTTAAAAAAATCATAAATAGTTGGAGTCTAATTTTTTTTATTTTTTATATAATTCACTTTAATTTTTTTATCAATGGTATAATTTTAATTTTGATATAGTTTATTTGATAATTATTATTTATCATTGATAATAAATATGGTTATTTAAACTATAATTTTAAAATTTGTTCTAAAAATCAATTATGAAGTGTTTTTTAAAGTCAATTTTATAAAATTTCGTTGGTTTTTCTGTGGCAAAAACAACTTCTTTTTATTTTTTTGTTCATTTTTTCAATAAAAATTAATAAAAAAGAACAATAAAAATGGTTTTGCAGATATTAAATATGTATCCCAAAATTTTGTTCTAAAAATAATATAAAAAATAAGTTAAGAAATCTTTTCAATAGAGTATCCCGTTTTTTACTGATAAAACAAAAAAATATACAAATTACTATTCTTGAACACTTTTCTTTAAAAACGACAAAATAATTAAATTTAATAAAATTTACACCAAATTATTACTGTTTATTACAACAATTTGGGTTTTTTCATTTTTCAGTCGAAATAAAGTATTACAATAAAAAATAGTTATAAATTTCATTAATATATTTTAATGTACCAAAATACAATAATTAATTGTAGTTTATTATTAATACATTTTTTCAATTCACATAAATGAAATTACGAAGTTTTTTTTGAAAGTACTCATTATCATTAAAATAAATAGTTTACTTTATATAATGTTTAGTTAACATGAAAGAGACATAACAATCGAAAAGAGATTATATTTCACTTTACTCACCACACGTTTAAAAATTTTTTCGTTGAGGAAATGTTTGTGCCGATTTCACGTCGATTTTCAATTTAATAATTTCCTTTAATGTTTCGACTATTTTATCTCTTTCCTTTGATTGTCTAAATAGTTAGTACTTAATTAATATATACTAAATAATATAATAAAATATTCTCTACTAATGTAATAATATTAATAACTAGAAACAAACGGTAAACTTTCAAGTACATTTTCCAAGTTGTCTTCAATGAAAACCAATTGGGTATACATCCCATCTGTATCCAACGAATTTCTTGTATCAAAGGAAAGTTCTTTTTGTAACTCACCTGTAGAAGGATTTGGTGTTCTTCTTTTATTTTTTTCTTTACGTAAAGGGAGTGGATACAATTCCTTGAAAAGAGGTCTATTCTTTTCTGTGTATGAATTGAGAGCGCAGTGCACGATGAAGTAAATAGGGAATTTCCGTGGGTAGTTAAAGAAGATATTAAAGACATTTAACCCATCTCCGGAACACACTGTTTCTCGTGGTAATGACATCACGACAACGCACAAATGGTTCAATAGTTCCAACAAATTATCATGTGCGAAGAGGACGTCCCAGATGTAATACAAGTCTGTAGTATTAAAGACTTGGCAGAAGAGAATACGTACCCACCGTAACAAGAAGAGTTGTGGTTCGACTTCCAATTCGCAAAAGATTTGGTAGATATGTGGATCTTTAATACTTAAGTACTTCACAATATCATCGCATCGCTCAAGAATGTGTTTCGACTCATTTTCATTCGTCTCGTACCACACACGTATCCCCTCCATCAACTTCTCAAATAATATGTACACGTCATGCTCCAAATTTTGCTGTGAAAACAACTCTCTTAAGAACGAGTTAGTCGGCGAATTACTTTGTTTCTCTAATAAGGTATTCACTTTCATATAATCGTTCATCATCACATTAAATAAGACCGCTATCAACTCATTAAACCCTTGGGTGTAATTGATTTCGGGATGTTTCATCGCATATAAGAAAAGGATCTTGTGTAACATCTGCCGATTCTCACACGTTTGAATCCGCTTCTCTAATTTCGTCCGTTTGATATCTTTTTTGATGTCCCAACTCACTCGCGCTTTGATCGCATCATTCCCTACAAACTCATCTTGGTCCGGTCCTATCAAATTCGCATCACTCGAATACGAGTCTAACGGATTTTGCTCGAAAAGTTCGACTAAATCAGAAGACCGTTCGATGCAAAGGTCTTCATACGCTTTTCGGTGTTTCCGAATCTCAGTAGTCCACTGGGTACCATCGGTAGGAAGACACTTTAAGAAAAGTTTCCACCGCAAGGAAAGTAAAAGACTCGATACCTCAGATGGATGCGTCACTCCCCAAAGAGCTTTCTCTTTCTCTAACTGTAAATCACATTTTAAAGCTTCAACCTGCGTAAGAACTGACTCGTATGTCAGACGAGTCGGTGGCGGTGCTATTTCGTCAAGCATTTCAGAAGCTTGTGCGCAGAATAAGGAATGAATTAAGTGGAACGACATAAAAGCAATCGGCGTTTGTTGTTGCTTTGTGAGTTGAGGCATATGTTTGCAGTAAAAATTCTTCTGGTAGACACGTATATCAAACATGAATTAGTTTGTTTTGAAACAAATTCAGTTCAGAACTGTACTTAATATAGTTTAATGAGACATTCTAAATTATAGTTATTATTATATTATTATTATATTATTATTATATTATTATTATATTATTATTATATTATTATTATATTATTATTATATTATTATTATATTATTATTATATTATTATTATATTATTATTATTTGAATTATACAATTATAGTAAATGTATCATCTGAATATATCACTAAAAATATGGTTTATTTATTAAAATAATTAATACTAATAATAACTTCAAACTATTTTTTGCTAAACTGGTGATAACAAATTTTAAAATATTAATTAAATATATCATTGAAAATAGTTATTTTTTATTGATAAAGAAATAAAGCATTATACTATATTTTTCTAATAAATATCTAATTTGAAAGGAAACTACAAATACACATATCCATTTGATGGAAACTGAAACAAAAGATGTTTGGGAAGGAAGAGAGCATTTACTCGAAGAATTACCTGCAGATCCATTAAAGCAACTGGATACCATACAATGCACTTTTTTTGAGCAATATGAGAAAATAGTGAAACCGTCGCTTGAACGAACTGAGAAAAAGTCGAAAGCGACTATAACAAAAGAAGCTGTAGTGAAACAGTAATTTGATATGTTGATTGATTACTCTAATTTGGTATTACTTTATAAATGAACAAGAAAACGCAATCAATAGAATCTCCGTGGCAATGTTTCAGTTACACTTTTTTACCATCGCCAACAACTTCTTCTTTATCCTTAGTAATGATGTCAATCTGTTCTTTCGACATCTCTTGTAGCTTCACCTTCCGTTCTTCGACGACTTTCTGTAATTCGACTCGCTCTGTTTTGCTTAAAGCTTTGTGTGTACATTTCACACTAATTTCCGACCGTTTCTTTATTAAAGCGTCAACAACAAATTCCTTTCCTTTATTCACATCTTCCAGAAACGCATTTAAAGGTGCCGAGACATCAACAAGAAGATCCTTTTTCACATTCATCCCAACGTAATAATAATCGACGGCATTCTCCACCTCTAAATACCCTTCCGGTATCACATTCACTTCTATCACCTCTTCCATCTCTTCTAAACTTCTCACAAACCTCACTATTTTCGATTCAAACATCCCAATTTTGTTCTCAAGAGACTCCAGACTCCCACGGACACTAAACTCGACAAAGATATAATACCCACAGAAACAATGTCTCTTCTTAAATAAAAGGTTCCAATCATTCCCCCCCTCACTCTTATACCCTTTCACTATCCTCTCCCCTCGCAACATCTCACGCTTTAATAATTCTAATGATGACCGAGTCATGTTATACATCGAATTCTCACGCGGCGCAGCAGGGGTGATGACTTGTACCATTTCTTCTTTCTTTCTCTCGGGACGGTCATCACTGACTCCAAGCATCACTGGATTTCTCGCCCAGTCCCATGTCGCGTATGCGTGGAAGAACTTTTCTAATAGTCTGACGTTGTCAAGTTGGTAGTTTTCACTGATGACTTGTGCGACTAAGATTTCGATGGAAATGCCATTTAAATAGGAGTACACGTAGCCGTAGATCCCTCTCTTCTTACTCCACATCTTGATCGCACGGACTATCACTTTAAACGCTTCGACGGAGTGCGGCGGGACAAAGTTATTGATCATATCAGTGTTTCTTCGTCCATTAATAGCTCTTGTAGAAAGCTCATCCATTTCGTCTAATATCCTTTCGGAGAGGATATCCATCTCTTTAGGTAAGGTGGTATGTGCTGTTCTCGCAAAGTTCAAATCGATATCTATTTTCATATAAGTCATAGTAAGAATAGGTGCTCTGACGGACTTGATTTGACGGATCTCGCGAACATCAGGGTTATTCTTTAAATCTTCATATAAGTCATTGAAAAAATCTTCTCGCTCTATTGTGGAGTTTGTGACGACACACGCGTCGATATCGGCATTGTTGCCATAGACATCTAACCGATATGACCCATATGTAAAGATCTTCGCAGCACAAACATCAGTGTTTTCAGAAGTCCCCGTCTTCGATATGTAGATCTTCTTCCCCCATTTCTCAACTACTTCATTTAAATAGGAGATCGCCTTCTCTCGTTCTTTCTTTTCTTCTGGTGTCGGGTACATCCCATTTTTCTCTAAATACCCACGTAACTCATCAGTCATCTCTTTTCGAGATTGCTTTTTTTTTCGATGGTAATATCGTTTTTAACTATTTAATTATTTATTAAAATAATTAACTTTTGATTATTTTACTCGCTAATTTGTTTTCAATAAAATAAACGTTAAATTGATGAGTAATTTACTAATTGTATGTTATAAAACTAATAATTTTATAATATTATTTTTTATAATCAATTTAAATAAAATGATAATAGTAATTAATTATTAATTTATTAATAACGTATTTTTTACTTCATTATTGTAATTAAAGAAACGTGAATAAAAATAACACAAGTTTGTTCCAAAAATGCATTTAAAATGACGTATGTGTGATCTATATTAAAAATAGTTAGAAATTTTTAAAAGAATGGCAAAAATGACCTATAGAAAACAAGTTTGAGAGATAACGAACGTTTCTTTGACAATTTTGGGAAGAGAAAAAAGATGCAAAAATTATTTGATACTAAAAAATTGATATCTTGACATATAAACTGAAACCAATTAATGTGTAGTCAATCGGTGTTTTAAAAAATAAACAAAAAAACATTTGATTAATTTCCCATTTTATTGCATATTTTTATAGTTTTATATTATAAATATTAACCGATACATTTTAAAAATTTAATTAAATTCGTGTTTTTTACCTATAAAACGGGACATTTTGGAATGATATGGAAGAAAGCCCGATTTTAAAAGGACTAACTTGTGGATGGATCATAATTTATCTCCAATAAATCCCCCTTTCGCTTCTTTGCACAATTGGAACCTGTTTGGGATACTATCAATTAAGTTGTTAATAACTTCAATATCAATCGAGTTCCATGAAGTGACAAGAGCAACTTTAAGTTTTTCAATTGTGTTGTAATTTTGAACATTTTCGCGTAGTTTGTTTTCCATGATTGACCACAAATGTTCAATCGGACTTAAATCCGGTGAATTTGGTGGCCACCCTTTCAGCAGATTAATTCCATTCTTTTTCAATGCTTCTTTGACTGATAGTGCTGTGTGGCACGGTGCTCCGTCTTGTTGAAAAACAAAGTGTGTTTTACCCCATTTTTCTTGTGCACTTTCAAACACCCCAGAAGACATTATCATTTCAAGGTAAGATGTTCGGTTCAATCGTTTTGGACAAAATATCAAACTACTTTTGAAATCTTTGGCTATAGCAGCCCAAACCATTACCTTTTTATCATATTTAGGTGTCTCCTGGAACACTTCTTTGTTATGCATACCCCTCTTTCTCCATAAAAAGGTGCCATCAGAATGCATTGAAAAATGCTTTCATCAGAAATAAGCACACAGTTAGTCCATTTTTTAATATTTTTCTTTTGTGTTTGTTTTTTACAAAAACTAAGTCTCTTCTTAATCTGAACTTTATTCAATTCTGTTTTTTTAATTGGAGAAGCCCAAAAAAACCCAAGACTGTGTCGATAGTTGTTGATGGTTGTCTTTGAAAGAGAAGACATTTGTGATAGCTTAAAACTGCTTATCCTTGGATGTTTGAGAGTTTCTTGGTGAATTAACTCGATGTGATTTTGTGTGACTTTGTTTGGTCTTCCCTTTTTAACGATTAAAGGTTGATAATATGGATTTTTGTCGACTTCATCACACAACTTAATGACATCAGTCAAAGACATTTTAAAAATTTTAGTCAATTTTCTTCTGGAAATGCCTTCTTTGTAAGCTTTGCACATGGATATTTTTTTCATGAAAATTTGTTTCTCATAAACAGTTGGAGTTCGATTCATTTGTATTTATGAGTTAAATAGATAGAATTACGTTTTTGTTTTATCGAAACAATTTGCCAAATAATGCTATATTTTACCAGATATTTTTACACACTTTCGGGGGTGGTTCAATTTTACTTGAAAAATAATTATTTTTTTCAAACAAATAATTTTCGTTGAGTAAAAAATATTCGGGGGTGGGTAAAAAAAACAAAGAAAAAATCATTATTTTTTTTCGAAAAAATCAACAATTACCAAAATAATTGAAAAATAACAAAGATAATAAAAATGCTTTCACTACAGATTAATTATTTTCAGTTTAAAATAACTTCATAAAACAAACATTAAAAAGAGTTAATGTCTATTGATCCTGATATAAGTTCTAAGTTGGGGTTGCTTAATTATAAGGTTGGATTCCTTGATAAACAAACAACAAGTTATTTACTTTATTTATTAAAAATTCAAACCAAAACAGATGCTCTTATATATCTCTCTGGTGTTGGTGAATATAAAAACGTTTATGAACCAATTTATGATGCGTTTAATATCAATTAAAAAGAGTTGGAACTTTTCAAGAGTAAAATGAGTTTTATTTCTCAAGATATTTTACATATCAATTTGAAAGAATTTGAATTAAGAATCAAATTTTTAATAGCAACACATAAAGACAATGTATTAATAGATTTGGTTGACTCTGTGATTTCTTCAAATACATTCCAACATTTGAAAGCACTTGAACAATTATGTCCTGAAATTACTTTTGGTAGAAAGTTAAAAAGATTGGAATTGGCTGTTGGATATCAAGAAAGATTATCTTCTCAACTCAAAGGAAACACAAACTTTATTATTGATAACATAATAAAACCAAATTCAAATAATTGTTTATTAAAAAAAGTTGTAAAGGAAGATAAACCAGTGAGTGACGACAAAGAACACAAAGAGAAGATTATTAATATAAAAATTAAACATAGTGATATGACTCCCCCAACTCAAATTATCATCAACACAACTCCGAAAATGGTTTTTAAACCTTCAAAGAAAAAGAAAGAACCATTAAAAATGGAAAAATAGAAATTATTTTTCTAGACAAGAAATTCGTTTTTAAAATAATTTGTTTTGTAAATTAAAGTAATTTAAAATAGACCAAATCTCTTTTTCTTTTCTTTGTCCTCGCTTTGGGCATCTTCCTTTTTCTCTTTCTTGGCTTCTTCCTTCACTTTTTTCTCTTCCACTTTTTGTGACTTCCTTTTTTCATTCTTTTCTTTGAGTTTCGACATCAAACCGTGGTGCTTTTTCTCTATCTTTTCCGACTTAATTCCTTCTGTACTATTCTCCTCAAATGTCACAAGGGTTGCAGAATTGTTTGATGACTCTGAATCTGATGAAGAACTTTTATTTGTTTCATGTGAAGTAGCGCATGACGCCGCCAATGATTCTGAGCTTTGTGAGGCTGTAATTTCTACCTTCAATTTATCACTTTCATTTGATCTTGGAGTTTTCTGTTTTGTTCCAAATGCTTGCGCGCTTTTACTTTCTGTCAATTTGTGTTGTTCCTCTTCTTTCTTTTTTTCATCACTTTTGGCACTAGACGTTTTTCCAAACATCTTTAAAAAGTCTCTTGATTTACTGTTTTCTCTTGGACTTTCTTTTGGTTTCGCTTCTTCTTTGGGTGTTGAAACTGATGCGTCCGCAGTAGGAATATGCTTTTTAATTCTGTTTTGCAAAGTTGCTGCCTTGATTGGCTTGTTGTATTTAATTTTCATTATTTCACCACTCTTTAATATAACATCAATACCGTCCATCCCACTCGATACTGTTTTGATCTCGCTCAGATCAACTCCGTCTTTGAAGTGTAAATGTTGAGTGTCCAACACAAAAATTCTTTGATTTGTCAATACCAAAATATCTCCATCATCAATCTCATCTGTTTCTTCAATACCTTCTTTGCTGTTCTTGCAAATCTGTTTAATGCAATCTTCTGGCGTATCACCGCTCACCAACTTATCTTTTTGTATGTCACATGTGTAATTTCTCATCCCCTTTTCATTACAGTAAATTCTTGGATCTCTCTTTCTCTTTTCTTTCTCATCTCCGTTGATGCTTTCTGCTGCCCCAGCCGCGGTGGATGATACTAAGTCGACAGCTCCAGTAATTGGCTTTGTAACAAGACCAACAACACCCTTTCCAATGCCTTTTCCAAACCCACTTATTCCACCATCTTTGGCACCTTTGAGCGGATCAACAAACACACCTTTCACCCCTCCGACAAGGCCATTTCCGAAACTTGACAAACCACTTGTCAATCCTCCAACAAGCCCTTTGTCTTTCTTGTTCATTTTTCTTTGACGTTCCTGAATGTACTCTTCATCCATTGTAAGTCCAGCCACACCAGTAGCCAAAGTGTTTCCAATCTTACTCGCACTGTTGAGCACACCACTCCCTGTTGAGGTTAAAAGCTTCTTTGATCCTCTGCCAACGCCACAAGCAAACTCGCCTGGAGAGACTGTCAATCCTTGAATTGGTTCATAGAAAAACGCCTTCACTCCACTACCAACATTTGAGACCAACCCAACTGGGTTTCCAAGGAAATCGGCAGAACCAAGTAAGAGATACAAATCTTTAACAACCTGCATGGTGACGTGGTTCACAATCATCGAAACAAAACGGTCGACTTTTTCGTAGCAGTTGGCAACAAAGAAGTTGTTGATTGAGATTGGCGAGTGGTCCAAATTGCCAAGCATCGAGCCAAATGTGTGAATGAGTGCGGTCATTGCGTTGTAAGGCAACAGTTCCAAACTTGCCGACCCGAGTTTAAAAGTTAAAACAAATTTCATTGGCTGGAGTTGGAAATCTTTGAAAAACAAGTACACTGGTGGTGTTTTTGGTGGGATTTCTGGGAGGTATGGGTTGTAATCGCCCTTCTTTTCCGGTAATACTTTGTTGAATGGCAGGCTCGAAACGTAGTTCAAAATTCCAAACAGAGCAGTACCGTCGACCATTATGTCCAGTTGTTGCAACAGTGCAGTAAAGTACTCGAACTGCAATGTTTGTATATCGCCAACGTCTCGTTTGATGAGAGTAACATGGAGGACTTGCTTCTTTTCACTTTTTTCCTCTTTGTGTTTGCATAACAAAACTGGGTACGGCGTGTCAAGAGCCATGTTATCGATTTGGAAGTCATCGACGTTCAAAATCGCTTTCAGTTGCTTTCCAGCGATGGAGACATCTGCTTCGATATTTTCCAATGTCACCGATAACAAATCGTCTGGCCATTCGTTTGACAGGTTGACTTCAACACCCTCAACCAACAAATTCATTCTCACGTTTGTTTGTTTTGTAGACCTCTCGTCGTTGCTTCGAACATCCTGGTCTATCAACAATGTTCGTGTCCCTTCCAACACAATCACCTTAATGCCAATTCCTTCGATGCTCTTATACCTCTTGTCGATTTTGTTAAAATCAATTTTCTCTTCTTTTGTTCCAATTTTCAATTTGATGACGGGTTCCTTGCGTGGGTTTGGAAGGTAAAACCCGATTTTTTGTTGTGCTTTGATTTCAGTATTTTGTCCATCCTGGCTCGCAGTTACATCCAATTTACTGTTGTTAATGATCCTGTATGGTGGACTTGATTCACTTCGTTCATACAAACAAATGTACGTCAAGTGTTTGAATTCTTTCACCGAAACGTCAAATTTGCCACACTTCATGGCCAACGGATATTCACCAACTTCGTTCATCGGAAATTCGATTGACTTTTCTCCGTTGATGCCAATTTGGAAATTGCGGTCATCACCCCCAACAAGAAGCGACTTGCAGCACATCTTTTCAAAGTCTTTCTCGTTGTAATTTTCGGGCTTACACTTCACAAAGTTTTCAACACCGCCTGCACAAATTTTAATATCAAATTTGGTTGAATTTGCAGCAATGTAATTGTCATAAATTTTGATTTGTCTTGTTCTTGTGTAGTTTCTTCCATTCATCGCAACTTCGTATCTTATACAGTCTATATTATTGGGGATTCTTCTTGGACAGTCCACAACCTTTTTAAACCCGACTTCACTCGTTGGAAGTGCGTCACCACTTTTTCCAAAGTCGGAAAATTCGGTGTGGAACATCAGTTTTGTATCTGCTGGGTTTTCTTCCTGTCCCAAAATCAAGAACGGAATTCCTTTTGGTGGCAACCCTTTCTCATTTTGTCCTGGCAATTCTTTATTCGACATTGTTCCCGGTGTTGCAAAGAACAGTGAGTGTGTTGAGTAGTTCATTACATAGAAAGCGGCATACAGAACGATCTCAGTGTGAGAAAACGACGTAAAATAGTCTGCATAAACAAATCCTCGTCTTCCTTTTGAATCCTTTACTTCCACGGCTCTTTGTGCGCTTTTGAGTTCAATCGTTCCAATCACCTCACTTGTTTTGTCAATCTCGAGATTTTGATACGTCGAAATTGAGAAGTTGACAACTTCAGATTTGCTGACATAGAAATTGGCGGTATTTAAGGAATTCAAAATGGTGGTACCACCCGACACATTGATGGTCATATCATAAGGAGTCGAGTTTAGTAAAGTAAACGTTGGGGTAATTTTAATGACTATCATTTGACTTCGAGGGTCGTCGAAAACCTTCTTTGAATGAATCGAGACAACAACTCGTTTCGTCTCTTTCTCCTTTCCCAAATAAAACTTGGTTGTGGATTGGACAGTGAAAAACTTCTCGATCAGCCCAATCGAAGTGAAGTCGCCATCTTTATTTTGGGTTTTCAAGAAAATCTCACCGCGGCTTAAACACAATGGAAGACTTTTTGTTGTCTGTTTTTCCGAGATGAAAGACGTTGAGTTTTGCGTGTTTTTAACAACAAATTCCAAAGCGAAGTCAGTTTTGTTTTCAATCATAACATCACTATGTAAATAGAGTTTCTTTCTTCCGTCTTCACTTGTCACGACCTCGCTGATCAACGGGTTGAACTTTGTTTGGGTGGTTTTGTTCTCTATTAAGAAGAGCTTTGGATTTTTCGAAACGATGGCATCGACGGATATACTCTGATTGTCGATTTTCACGACTTTTTGGAACGCTTTTGTTATCAAATTTCTACCAGTGGAAATACCTTGACACTCATGTTCAAAGTCAAAAACAAGAGGAAGCTCTTTGTCGTTTTCAAGGGAAGCAAACTCGTCGTTGTTTTCAATCAAAATTTTTTCTCCGGTCTCATTCAAGTACGTCAAGTACACTTCGGATTTATCACTCTTTGTTTTGTTGTTTAAAGAAGCAACTGTGTTGAGTGCAGAAAGAATTGTTGCGTGGCAAATATTGACAGTGATTTTATCGACTTTGACACTTCCAATAACATTTTGTGAAATACCAATCTGGTACACTTCCACTTCACCACGAACGCCAAAATCGGAGATAAACGGCTCGAATTGCATTTGGTAGTCATTGAAAAACTTAACACAAACATTTGTTCCAAATTTGGTGGTAATGACCATATTTTCCATGTAAAATTCAGCCTCTGTATTTTTCACTTCCACTTTGAGTAATGGGAGTGTTCGCCCATTCAAATCGTTGACCAAGTACACTTCAATTGGGTTGAAACTTAAATTCGCAGAAATGACTGTCTCGTTCTTTGGCTCTGGTTCTGCAAAGTTTTTGTCATCTTTCAGATCAGTCTTTACATCATCGAGAGGTTTCAAACTTTCATTTTTATTGTCAACTTGTTGTTCCTCTTGTTTGGGTTGATTTTCAACTGGCTTGTTCTTGTCAAGACCCTTTACGATGTGGTCCAATACAGTGTTGATTGTGTTTATGTCGTTAAAACTCAAAAAGACTTTGAGGTCTTTTGTTCCATTCAGATTTGCCATGATCGACATTTTTTCGTTTTCTTGCCACACCTTTGCGAGTGCAGTGATTTCGAGTGAGTCGCAAATAAGTTCTTTTTTGATGTTACGATTGACCAAATTCTCGAGAATACCTCTATGAACGTCCGTATTGTGGATTTTTAAAAACGAGCTCAAGTACATATTCTCTTGTGCCATTTTGACTGAAGCCTGCAATGATGTTCGTGCCAAAATGTACTCCCCTTTCAGGTCGAATTCATTACTGACGACAATCAAAGTAGCTTGGTTTATGTTGACATTGGCGAATACATTTTGCACTCGTTGCGACACATTTTGATCCATAATGACTTGTGTTTCGACTGGAACTTTTTGGTTGTTCAACACAGAGAAATACTCTGCAATAACTGGATTGAACAAGTACGTTTTGTTTCTCTCAAACTGATCGTCGTCTGCTTTGTTTGATCTGACTAAAATATTATATTTATATGCAGTGGACAAGAAGTCAACAGCAGTCGATTCTGGAACAGCGTACTTTGTTACAATTGTTCTTATCAAACTCTCAGAATCAACACTTTTTAATGTCAAAGTCTTCAACTTACCTTCAAAATTGATTTGTTTTGTTACTTCACTTGATTGTGTTTGAGTATATGTCAGACGCAATAACTCAAGCATCGTTAAATCCTCCAATTTATCAGTTTCGCTCGAGTCTTTCTTCCCAACTTTCAAGAAGTTTAAGAAGCCAGACGATTGTTTAGTCATTTTGGTCGACATCCGATCGTCAAAAACGACTTTTCTTAAAATGTTATTAGTGTTAAAAATGATATCGTCACTCACGGCCACTTTGTTGTCAATTGTATTACACGTTTTATCCATTTGTGTGGCGTCCGACTTAACAGGCGTTTTTGGTAGCAAATTAGTAATTTCATTAACAATGAAAAGAACGTCACCAATGAAATCTGGAAGCACGCAGAGAGTTGGTTGTTCGATTGTGCATTGGTCAACAGAGTAATACTTGAGTGGAAGACACAACATGACTTGAGTAGTTAACAAGTCCTCTGTCCCAAAGCACCCAACGCATTTTCGCAATGCAATTGTTTTGTTTTCAATTGTTCTGACATCATTAATTTCAAGAGAGTGAACGACAAGACCAACTTGAATGAATTCGTCATATGTCATGTCGATTTGACTCTTAAGTCCAATTAAATTGAGTGCCATTAATTTATCGTTCTCAACTACTCCATTTGTTTTGTTGAGTGTCAAACACACATTTCGTATTGCAGCATCCACAATGAGTTTTGGTTTGCGCTTTGCCACTGGCGGCCATTCGATAGTCCCATCAGTTTGTTTTGTGTTTGTTGTGTACTTTTTCTCTGTTGAAATATCAGATTTCAGTGTTACTTTCTTTTCAACGTCTTTCATGTTCTTATTTGAAGACATTTCCTCAACTTCTGTAATATCTCCGGTTAACGAGTCTTGTGCAAAATTTGAGAATTCAAGGAGTTTTTGAATTTGAAGAGGGCAGATGTACGTTTCAATGTTATCGATATTCACTTTAAGCTTCAAAAATCCATTTTCTTTCATCTCCTCAGTGAAGCATTCTGGCCACTTGAATGTTTCCATTTGTGCGTTAATGACAATGTCCTTGACGATGTATGTTTTGTTTGTATCAATAGATGTTTCAACTTGAATTGAGTCGACACTTACTTTCATCGTTTCAACAATTGGAGTGTAAATAACTTTATCGAACACAATTGGATCACTTTTTTGTGAACGATTCGCGATTTTCAAATTTCCCATATTGATTTGGAGGAAGTCAACAGCATCCATATTTATTGGCAATTTAATTTTGGGGCCAGCAATTTCACATGTGATTTTCATTGTTGATGGGAGTAACTCAAATTCACTTTTATCTGACAAACAAATTATTCCACGTGGTTTAACACATTCATTTGTTGTCATTTGATTATCATCTTCAATGCCTTCTGAAATGTAGTCTTGTGAGTGTCGAATTGATTTCATGAATTTTTCATTCTTCACCGTCTTCAAAAGTTCTTTAATTAAATTCATGTCGACGTTTGTTGTAATTTGTGTTACAATTGCACCAACACTCAATTGCTTTGTTAGATTGTTGATTTTGATTTTGGCGCAAAGCAATTGTTCGTTGTTCACTGTGTCTAATACATTCTTGTTATTCTCGTCTTGAGTCACCATATTGACAACTAATAATCTTTGCACTGAACTTCTAACTGACATCCCCCACTCATACATCGCAATAGATGCTTTGATCTCTTGGACTTCAAGTTTAAGGACTTCATTTGTTTCATTCAATATCACAAGTCCAATCTTTCTCATATTCACTTCTATTTTCATTTTCTTAAGTAATTCTGGTGGATCTTCTCGTTTCAATTTCTCTAACAAATTTTTAGCTTTTTCATGTAACTTTTTACCATTTTTGTAATTTTGAAGGACTTGAGTAATTTCTTCGGTACTGTTCCTCAGTTGTTCGTCATTTTCATTTGGGCTTTTCAAAATTTCGCCAGATGTTGAACTTTTGGCGCTTTGTTTTGGAGGCACAAGACTCATCGCAAAGAGTGCAAGTTCTCCCAAAGTTTCGGGACGAAGAGCCAAATGGAAGTCCCGAATGTTTGCCAAAACGAACATTTCGCAATTTTTGAAATTTGGTGATTCCTTTTGAATCATTTCGACAAAAGCCTCAAAGAACGTTTCTTCGTCATAATAATTTGTTGTTGCGATAAAAAAGTTTTCATTTTTGCAAATACAGTCAAAGATTTTAATTTTTTGTACCAACGCTTCAACTTTCATTTCAAAGGTCTTTTGGAAAATTCCAAGTTGAATGTTAGAAATTTCCATTCGAATAATGTCGTTCATTTCATCCTCTTTTTTCTTGAGCGAAAGTTCAATCACTTTAATACCAACTTCTATTTTCATCACAGCTATTTGTTCAATTTGTGACTTCATCTTTTTAAAATCCTCTTCTTTACTCTTCTCAAGTACTTTGAGGTATTCATTCATCTCTTTGTCTTCAACCTTTTCGATATTGCGATGGTCGGAACTTAACTTCTCCCATCCACTCCCCCATTTTGGAAGAAATTGCACCAAAAAGTCATATCGTTTCACACTGAATTCAACACCAATTTTTTCAAACAAAACACTCAACTTCATCTGCGGCAAATTACTTTGTTTTTTCACTCCCATACCAAAAATGGTTTCAAACGAAATTGGATCTACAATGAAATTGTCTGCAGCCTTTGGCAATATATAATTTGCGTTGACAATTTGTGTTGCGATAGAAACGTCAGTTACATTAATATTAAAAATGTCGTAATCGCTTTCTGTCGCTGTAGAGACCTTTACTGAACCCAAATTCACTAAAATGCTTTCAGTTTCTTCTTTTGTTTCATCGAGTAAAACGGCAATTTTTGGCGCAAGAACTGTCGCATTGATTTCTGTTACATTTCGTTTTGGCTCTTCTTTAGTTTTCAACCCTTGTGTGCCCATCTTTTCTTGGACGGTGTTCCAAACATCTTGGAATTTGTCTGCGGTAAATTGTTTTGCTTTTTCCAAAGATGCGGTGTTTGGTATTTGGAAGAAAAGTGCCATATTTATCACAAATTGTTTAAAAAGCGTTATATCAATTTGTTGAACTTCTGCACCTATTCTTAAATCAACTTTATTATCAAGTGGTTTCATGTCTACTTGTGCCGTAACAAGTGGCTCATTTGTTATTTTTCTAATAATATAATTCCACGCCTTTTCCACGGAATTTTCAGTTATCATCATATCCGAAATTTCGGCGGTTAAAATGAAACCCTGAGGCCGTAAAATCATTTTGGCGGTTACATCACTAATTGTTGAGTTATAAATCACTTTATTCTCGTTTGTCAACACTAGTTGTATTTTGTTCAAACAGACGCCAAATTTCATTTTCTTATAATCGGCGGGTTCTCCATGTAATGCTTCGGGATCGACTTTAAAATCTCCGATTGCTGTCAAAGTCTTCATATCAAGACTTTCTTGTTTGACAAAGAACCCCAAACAAAACTCTTTCACTTTTTCAACAAAACTCTTCTTCTTCCGAAGTTGTGGATTTTCAATGAGAAATGCTTCAATTTCCCGACGGGCGCGCTCTCTGTTGTGTAATATTTCTTCAGTTTCCATTTTTGATTCGAACTCGTCCATAAGAGTGACTTCCTTTTTCGTTAAAGTTGGCAAAAACGAATAGCCGAGCGTCTTTTTGTATAACGCCATATATTCCTCATTATCATTTCCATTCCATTTTGGTTTGTTTTTTTCTTTAATTTCATCCAATTTGACATTATAAATATACTTCCACCACAGTTTTGGATTCGTTTTGACAGGTACGTTTTGTGGACGATACTTCAGATATTTTGTAGACATGCCGTATTCAAAAAACATGTCTAATAAAGAAATGACACCTACATATTGTGATTTATCAATTGTCACAAGAATATCAGAAATATTAACTTGCCCAACTACTTTAGAAAAATTAATATTAAATCCTTTAGAAATATTAATAGCCGCAACTAACTCTATAGTTGTTGGCGAAATTAATAAATTGTTTTTATATCCTTTATCTGAATAAGGCGATGGTATTAAGCTTCTCATGTATGTTAAAAACTGTTTAGTGTTATACTCGGAGTAGTTTTGAATAAGTAAGTTTGGGCAGATATATACACTGAAATGATTGATTTTAATAGCTTTCATCTTAAACACGGGAGTGTTTGGTATACTTGGGTTTTTAATAGTAGAAACGTCGATTGACTCAATACAAACACCAATGGTCAATGCACTTTTTTCGGTGTTTGGACGTAAAAATTGAAAGTGGACATTTTCTATAGAAATTTTGATATTTTCGATGATCTTCCCTATTAATTGCGTCACAATCCCGTCACCCGCATTTTTTGTCTCTTCAAACGCTTTTTGAATTTCGTATTCGGTAAGTGTGACTTTCTTTTTGTTCGCAAGGTCTTCTTTAGCTTTGTTCTCATCATACTTCATGTTATTATATTTATGATTTATTTTTATTATTGTATTAGTATCGTGAGTAACAAACAACAAAGACTTTTTGTGGCTCAACAAGACCAGCAATATCACTCAAAAGTACTTGAATTGGTTTGTTCAGCAAATCAGACCATGGGATCAACACCGTCAAATTCCCTAAAACTCCCCGACTCACTGAGACGGGGAGATTTAAGAAATCAAGTGCAGACTTCTTGATTTCGAGATTGTGTAGTTCAATCACTCCACCTATAATCCCTAACTTCAATTGGTCCGCACTCAGACCTTCTATAAAGTTACCAAGAACAGCTGTTAAAACTTGGCTTACAACGCCCTCAAACACTGTGTGTAATTTCAATTGTTCCTTCTTACTAAACAACAAACTTTTTGTGTTAATAAGTTTTTCTGGTTTGATAGTTTTATAATCACTCTTATATTTAGTATAGTATAATATAGTTATTTATATTAATTATTTTGGATGTTTTTCTTAACATTTTTTTCTTTAATTGTTTAATGCAAACTGAACTTGTAATAAAAACCTCAAACTATTTCAAGATGTATTTTGTTTTTTTATAATAACATTTTTATAACAATAACTATTTTGTGTTATTTTTCGGTGAAGAAAAAAAACAAAACGGTTTTTTTCGACTTCTCACATTTTCATCATATTACTAATTTAAATTATTATAAAAATAACCATATTAAAAAATTATATGGTAAACAGTAATAGTTAATTATTATTATTTTAACTATATTTTTCATTAATTGCTGATGTGGTGTTTTGTTGCAAAACTTGTTTGAAAAAGAAACATCTAATTTGTTTTGTTTCTTGTTTTTGAAAGGAATAAATAGAAAGCTAAATCTTTATTATCATATACTATAAATTAATAACAAATAAGTTAGATATTCTTTTTAGGGAAATAACCTACAGCTCGACAAAGATAGATATTCTAATACCACTTTAAAATATCCCAAAGGAATTATAACTATATAATTAGTAATTGTTACCAAATGATAAAAAATGCTTCAATGGTATTGTATTAAAAGGATTAATATAATAAACAGAAACAACAATTTTCTATATGTAAAGCATAGAAGAGAGTGGAACAGTGCGAAATAATAAGGTCATCTTCAAATCTCTATCAGACAATGGAAAATGTCTTGAAATACCCTCTCAGACTGTTGGACAACTATCCAAGACACCTATTATCCGGTTTGCTATATAATACATCGGGATTTCTCTTTTGGATTGTGGTACCTTTGTTGTTTAATGAACAAGGTGCATCTGCTATCGAGCTAGCGCTTTTGCAAACGATTTGCTTTGTCATCTTTGCTGCACTTGCTCCTTTTGGTGGGAAAATATCAGACCTAATAAGTCCATTTATAGTGGTCAGAATTTCGTTGGTTCTTCTAACAATAGGCGAAGCAATTGTTGCAATTTGGCCAACGAACAAAGCTGCTATTTACATTTCTTGTGCGTTCTGGGCATTCTCTGCATTCCTCTTTTGGCCAGCCGCGGTTGGTACTGTTGGGAAGGAATCTAAACCTGGAAAGGAAGCAAGAAACAGTGGGCTTTTTGCAGTCTCGTGGTCGTTTGGTAAGTCAATTGGATATGTTGTGGGTGGTTCGTTAAAAGCAGCCTTGGGGGCAAGCACTTCGTTGTACATTTCCATTGGAATAAACGCACTTATTTTTCTTGTCTACCCGTATACGCATGTAAAGTGGTTGAAAGACAAACTCATTGAAGAGAAACAAAAGAAACAACAAATGGAAGAAGAACTCAAAGATGAGGAGAACGTGAATAACAAGGAGAAAGATAGCAACGGTGTTGATATAAAAATTGAAAATAATGATGTTGTAATACCCAACGAAATGGCTAAAGAATTGGGTATTCCAAAAATAGAAAAACCCTTAAAATCTGAAACTAAAATGACTGGAAAAGTGAAATGGACTGAAGAACAGCTAAAAAACAAGACATACATATTTCTGGGGTATATCATGCAACTTGGGGTGTTTGGTTCATCATCTATACTCACTAACCAATACATCAAAGTCGCAGACGCAAAGTCGATTGGCATTCCAATTGGAGGAGATCCAGAAGACAATTTTGTCGCTTGGAACTTTTTTATTTTATACTTTTCTCAAACGTTGACTTTTATCGCAATGAGTATCACTGATAAATGGACGTACCACAGATCGCTCATTTTGGCAGCAATGACGATCTTCATGATGTACCTTACTGTACTTGTACTGGTGTTTAATCCATATGTCATTTTTGTCGCATCGTTTTTCGCTGGCATTGCGACAGGGTTCTCTTATCAAACGTCCACCTACTACAGTCTCAAAGCAAATGACAAGTCAAAAAGTTTGTTTGTGGGTTTTAATGAAGGCGTTGCTGCTTTGTCTAATGCTTTACTTCCGCTTTTTGCTGCTTTGCTCTCTGAGTCGTTTGGTGTATTTTCTACGATTTATCTTGCAATCGCTGTGGTTTTGTTTTGTCTTGTGATCATTCAAATAGTTTGTTGTACATTACTTACTTTGATTGAACTAACTTGATAGGTGTATCATATCGCAAGTAGAGTCAATGCGTCGAGACAGTCTAAAAGAAATGGTACAATCACCTTGCATAGAACCGAAAACTCCAATGAAGAAGTTGCCAACAAAACTGATATTACAATTAAAGAGGAGAAGAGTAGCAAGTCGAGTAGTGACTCGACGCCTCTTTAAAAAACAACCTGAATGAATTGAATAGTAAATGTTTATAGTTATGTTATAATATTATTTATTACAAAAAGAAACGCGAGTTATTAATAAATTTTAGTAAAATAATCTAGTTTACATGAAATAATAAATAAATTATATTTTGTAGTTTTTATTATTCATTAAAATAACAACAAATCAAAAAATGTTATTCATTTTTTATTAATTTTTCCATAAGAATTGTAAAAAAAGTTAAAAAATAGAAACAATTTTTATTGATCTTAAAATAGAAATAGTACCAAATAAACAAATAATTAACACTTTTTGGTTCTTTGTTATTATAAGTTACTATAAAGATTTTAGTAACTTCATCATTATTTTTCTGATTTGCCGACTTCAATATGTTAAATTTCATTTATTAAAAGAAATAAAACCCGAAATATTAAAGAAAAAAATGCTATAACTTAATTTATTTAATTATTATTTTTTCATAACAAAACACATATGTCTCTGAATGATTTTTGGATCTTTTTTAATGAAAAACGGTATTAGTATAATTAAGTCTGTACTATCGGGATGAATAATTAAAAACAACCAACCAAAACATCAAGTAGAATCTCAAAACAACTAATCACATCCGTACCAGAGTTTATTAGTAATTAAATTATAAATTAATAATAAAATAAGCTGTTTTTAAATTGGATATTAATTCTTTGTTTTTATCGAATCCCGATTTGGTGCCTGTTTGTTACTCTTTATGACCACAAAACAACTCTTGTTCTTATTTTTTCCATCCAGAAATGGGTTTGAAAATGCAAATTGAGGAGTTTTCCCATTGATTAGGGGGTATTTGAAGTGTTATAAATATCCCACCACCATTGTTAAAAACCATTTCAAACGACAGAATTAAGAATGCACCTCCGAAAACTCCCACATGTTACTCGCAAATTGCTGTTATATTCCACTCATTATTTACAGTGCGGCAAACACAACACACTTTCCCCTTGGATTCCCGAAAAGACACAACAAAAAGCCCATTAATGAACGCACCAAACAAATAAGAACATATTTTCTAATGTTCTCGTTTACGACAAACTTGGAAATGACAAATGTTTGCTTCGATAGCTGAAGTGCTTTCGTCCACCCACAAATACCAACCACTTCCCGCAAACGTCACACGATTGGGTTATTTCAATACACCATTCATGGTGGTAACACCGCATGGCACTGTGATCAACGATTCGATTATCATTTACTGTCACACGTTAACAGAAACCCTCGAACAAGCGCTTGAAACAGCTCAAATCGTCTCGGACATCTGTGGAGTCCCAACATTATGTTTTGAGTATTGCGGGTTTTACAGTTCGTCGGAGTACACAAAAGGAAATTTACTATGTGTGATGTTGGATGTCTATCAGTACGTATTAACTCAATATCCGTCGTCATCGATATACTTGATTGGTAACGTAGAAGGCTGTTTCCCCGCAATTGAATTGGTCGACATCTGTCGGCGCCAGAAATTGGAATTATCGGGCGTTATACTGTTAAACCCTTCCGAGCTCAAGACAAGTAAATACAAAGTCTCGAAGTTCCGGAGTTGCGTCATGTCAAGTAGCTCCATCACGCTTCGCGGAAAGGCTAAGAAAGTCGCGAAGAAGTTTGAAAGGTGTCAAGAAGTCTTTTTTGAGACAAAGGAACTCAATCTGTTCGAAGCCGAGACAGATGAAGTCATGAGAAATATCATTCAGATCATTCGAATGGAAATGGTCGACGTAAAAACAATGGAAAAGGAGTTTCTGACCTTCGAAAAGCCCGCAATGTTTAAAGGACCCTTTGAACTCGTCAACGAATTTGTGAATGATGAACCTCTGGCCAATTTCCTTTTAAGTTATGGCTATTTCGACAAAGAAATCATTTGCTCAATGACCCACGACGAGATTGAAAGCTTGCCAATCGATATAACACAAAAAGAAATTCTCAAAAATGTTATTGAAAAGTCAAAGAAAAATAGTGAAGTCGTCGAAAGCCCATCAGCACCTGCGGCTTCGCCGCAGTTGCCCAAAACACCGGCTTTTGTCACAGTCCCCATTAAAGAGAGCAAATTTAAAGGACTTTCCCCTCTTTTTACGGGAAGAAGTATTTTCTCACAGTCAAAAAGAACTCTTGGCGTTTCGTCTAGCATCTCAATCTCCGAGAAGAAAAGTGATAAAAGTCAAAAAAACATCAAGAAGAGAAGTGAGGTCTTCAGGATTAAAACGCCAGAACGAGCGCAGCGCAAAAGCGACGAAATTATAGAGGTAGTACTTGATGATGAAAATGAAAAGGTGAACAAGCAGAAAATCCATCGAACTCATTTCACTACAGACGCTGATGTCATGATACTTTAAAACCCCGTTTCGCTTTTTCAATTCAATGTGTTTAATTTACTGTTTCATATTTCGTTATTAATAGTACAAATGTACTATCTAAAACAACCATCTGTTATTAATAAAAAAACTAAATTAATTACTTTTACGATACACAACAAAATTTTCAGTGCCTAAGACTTGCACTAGATAATCAACACCGTCAAATGAAATATTCATCTTGATAAAGTTCCCCACAGAAGCCATATCCATTAACCCCTTTGTGCTTCGCAACATGTTTGCGACAGTTTTTGTCATTTCTTCATCAAGCGTGACTTTCTCTAACTTGTCTGCCATCAAACCCTAGTAATTGGTTTTCGAGTTTTCAAATAGTATAATTATAGTATATTTATTAATAATAAACCATATTTGGTATAGTACATCAGATAGTATCATTCTAGTATATGTTTATTGAGTACAAATAGTAAAACGACTAGTAAAATAGAAAGCACCTAGCGATATAGTAAAAAGAGTTAAATACAAACTAGTAAATAGTGAAACTTAAAAAAGAACCCTGAGGAAGGATGTCAGCGCCGAAGTGGTTTGTCCCAACGAAGTCGAATGGCACGAAGATGCCGGAGTACTATCCGACTGATGATATGATCGTAGAACAAAAGAGAAAGTTAAGAACAAAGAAGGGCCCCAAGCAAACCCCCCTTGACAAACCCGCAGCCAATCTTGAGCATTTGAGAAAGAGTATTGTTCCTGGTGTTATTTGCATAATTGTAGCTGGGAAATATGCCGGAAAGAAAGTTGTTTATTTGAAGCAATGCATTAAATCGGGATCTTTGATTGTCACTGGCCCATTCAAGCTCTCTGGTGTCCCATTACTTCAAATCAATCAACGCTATGTCATCGCTACGTCTCAAAAAGTCGACGTCTCTAAGGTCAACACTGAAGGAATCGATTTCATGTTCTTCAAGAAGAATACTCCTAAGAAGAGAGACCACTTCAGAAAGGTCCTCCCACAAGAAGAGATCAAAAAGGACTTCGAAAGCAAGAAGGAAATCCTCTTGAACAAACAAAAACAAGTCGACGAGACTCTCATCCCAGAAATTAAGAAGACTCAGTACCTCAAGGAATACATGAAGTCCCCATTCTCCGTCAGAGTCGGTCAATTCCCTCACCTCTTGAAGTTCTAATTGATTTATCCTTTTTTAGTTATTTACTATTACAATATAGTTTATTCATATCTTATTCTAAATAAATATCATGTGATAATGATAATACCTAAGAAAAATTTTTCTTTATTGAAGATGGAATAATATATAATATTATTAATATATTATTAAGAGAAAGGACGGACATGGGGACGAAGGACGGGAATATAGGCCGAAGGACGTCCTTTGTGGTTTAGGGATGTCCTCCCGCTATAAAGGGCGTCCTTTATGTGTATATGGTGTCCTTTCTATTTTTTTCGTGTCCGCGGCATTTTTTATTCATTATCTAAACTATATAACGAAGTATATTTTTATTATAAATATACAATCAAAAAATATAATTATTTCCAAAAATAAATTAATTCAAAGACAAAAACTATTTAACAAGTAATTTTGTTATATATTATTGGTTTATAAAAAATTATCATTTTTTTTTCATTTTACCATTGAGTTTTCTTTGAAAAACTAATTAAATTTGCATTTTTTATAAAAACCATTAATTTATAACGAAATTACTTGTTGTTTAAAATTT